TGCCTAGTGTATGAGCCGGACGCACACAATGCCCGCATCCGACTGACGGTATCCTCATAGGTATGAAAGGCCGAGACGATGTGTAGTGTCTTGTACGTACTTGCAGATGCAAAACTTGCCGGTGCTGTTTTGCTGCCGGGTCGGCATGGCATTGGCAATGGCATGATATCCAAAGTGGTCTGATCTGCAGCTTTACACAAGAAAGTGGACTTTGCCTAGCCGCAGCTGGGAAGGTGAGGTGGATGGTGTTATCGCGCCTCAAAGAAGCCTCTCAAGGTTCTTTCAGGCATGCTCCAGACGTTTCCCTCAATTTCATTCATCACTTGTAAGGTATTATCGCCAACACGGTCAGCCGGGCAAGACCCAACACTCATTACATTTCCGCCCAAGATACATCTTTGCTTTAGCCTAGCAACACTGTTGTATTCATCATTCTCTTTGTCGCTAAAGGGTCTGCCAGGTTAAGGGCGACAACATCCGGACCCTGTCAGATCGATCGCTGGGCAGGTTCGCCCGCCCCCCGTGCCGACAGCGGCGCGGCACAGTTCTTTCAGTCACTCAGCCGCTGCCGCATGGCCATCCGACGTTGGTTTTTTGGTTTTTTTTTCTTTTTCCTCCATCCGTCCCGTTTCGCCGATGTTTCTTTAACAGCTCGGCAAGCAAAGGGTATAAAGTAAGGACGGTTCGTTATCTCCTTCAATGCCATTCGTGCAATCTTCCTTTCGCATGCCAACTCGAGGGCTTGAGATAGGCCCAGGGAAAGGGAGGGTTGCAATCCTGTTTGGCACTTTTTGGCCACCCTTTTGGTTGATTGATTTGAGGAAGATGATGAGAACTGATGGACCGCATTGCATATCTGCAGCACTCCTGCTGTCCGGCCTGCCCTTCGCGCTGCGAGGTGCGACCTGCGCTGCATGCCTGCTATATTAACAGCGAAGAGTGAAGCGACACACCAGACACGAACGGTGGGAGGCTATCAAATTGCACAGATCCGATGCGACAGTCGGCAATCTTTATCCTTTTGTCTGCATTGCCTCCAAAAACCCACCCGGAACTCAGACAAGAAGGTAGGAAGGAAACTCAGACAAGAGGGTAGGAAGGAAAGCTATGGATACGGCCCCCCTCCCTGTAGGTGCAGGATGGTTGAGATGGTGTGTGGTGTGTGGGATTGCGGTTGTACTTCCCACCCTCCTGCAGGCGCGTTGGGGACTGGGGTGGGTTACTTTGCATTGGATGTCTTGGACTTGCCCGCCGCCTGCCAGTTGCACTCACGGCCATCATGGCCTGGGCATTTCGGTGGTTGTGCAAGCATCTCGCCGTTGCAACATAGGTTGGCCAATAAAGTACACATTTGGAGACGGGTGCAGATTCTCATGCTATTATCAGGAGAAATGCTGCAAGATTGACGCTTCTGTTACCCACCACCTCCCCCTGAGAGCTCCATGGTTGGCTGCAGGCCGTAAAGGCAAAGGACATAGGGACCGTTCATGTCCACCCACACCACCGCCAGAAGACACAAAATGACGGTCCACCGGTCGATGAATATACACCACAGTCTGGCTTTCACCGATCTGTTGCCGGTCGGTTCAGTCATATTCGCCAAGTAACACGCTCTGAGCCTATGATTTGGAGAGATCCGGCCGGTGAGCTGATGAAGGGTGGGCGGCATTGGGGAAAAGGATTGGGTTTCTGTCAACTTCCGCCTTTCTGTTGTGGTGCACAAAAACATGGGAAGAAATACCCGACCGTCCCAACTATGCAGCAGAAATTCCAGGACTTGATTGACTACCCCCATAGCGCAAGCTTGTCATCCAATGGCTCGTCGCGAGTGTAGTTGGTGAACACCACTTCCACACATCTGGATGGGTCGGCTCAGGGTCCCTTTCAGGGTCCTGCTTTTGACCAAGGGTCCGACTCGAGACGGGTCGCCGCGTTGTGGGTGACGGCGAGACAAGATGGAAATCATGATTTTCCCCAGTCCCCACCATCATTCTCTATTTCCTGTTTCTACGCAGTATATTTGGTTTTTGACCTACATTGGTGTGTAAACCCACGCCACTCCCTCCTCAACTTGCACCCTACACCCTTCCCCGCAAGCGTTGACACCCTTCTTCTCGCGTCCGCCCCCATTGTACGTATTTAACACGCACCCTGCCCTCCCTGGCTCGCCTCCCTCCTCCCGGGCAGCCATGGCGTTTAGGTCTCTCAGCCAATGAGCGAGCAGGCCTGCTCAGACTCACGGAGATATCTTTCGATGGGGTGTAGCATGGTGGAGACGTCTAGGGAGGCGTTTCCTTTTGGGGTCGTGGTTGCATAGGCGGTTGGATGATATGATGATTTATGATACATTTTACACGAGTGCTTGGGTCTGGGTGCTGCTCCCGGTTGCGAGAGCAAGAAATTGAAGTATGAGAGCAGTGGAAGGGATGTTGGATGGCCACCCTTTGGACAACTGTCGCACCTCATGAACTAGCCTTATCTTCCCGCCTGCCCGCCCTGTGGTGAGGACCCAACGGGAGGGGAAAAGACGTTGGCGGCGGCAGGAATAGTTGCACAAGGCAGGCAAAGAAGCCGTTTTTATCCGCTGGTAGCCCATGGCTGGAACTCTTGGGCTTGTGAAACAGAAAGTTGCTCAACGAATTCATTGCGTTTCGGCACACGAGTCCTGCTAGAAAAATGCCACATGGGTTAGGCATTCGTGGAGGGAGCTTTGGCTGCGTCTTTCAAAAAAACTGTTTGGGTTCTAGTTTGGGATATATAGGGGATTGTCGTCAAGAAGCAAACGCGAACCGTTGGCACAAACACACGGGGAGGGGCACACCTAGCACTTGACGTATAACATCCGCCCGTGACATTCATGGAGTCCTGATCTTCTTGAGGAGTGACCGCATACCTTGGTAGTGCTAGTTCGGAGGTTGGTATGGACTAGATATGACGGTCTTCGCTGTGCTGTTTCAGACGATGGACCCCCCCCCCCCCCACCGAGTCGAGGACACACAAGCGGAACCATGTGCGATAGGCGGATGATCTAGAAGGCTCGAAAGTTGCACAGTGGTCTGGGGTGGTGTCAATGTTATTACCGGTCAGCATGGCTGCAGATCAGAGGGTGGTGTTGGGACAGCTCGGTGGGATGGCTTGGGGTGCACAAACGATATCAGCACAATCCAGATGCTCCCAGAACAGCAATGGAAAGAAATATTTGGGTTGCACAGACTTGAAGAAGATAGGCAGGCAGTCAGGACGGATGGTTGTAATGATGGACAAAAGCCTACATCTGTCTTCAGATCGGTATTCAGTAAGGCAGATGAATGTGGTAGGTGAGCGCAGAGTCCGGCCGCGCAATGCTGTGATGGCCTCTCGCCAACTGTCGGTAGATAGTTTAGCATCTTGAAAACACGCTACGTTGATGCAGTCTGTATGGGTGTGATCTACCTTCCAGCGACTGATAGGAGCTGTCTTGCCGACACACCTCCCCCTTGCTGAAGGGCCAAGCATGTATCCAGTACCTTTTTGTCTTGGGGGTGTGGAAAAGACCCAACCTAACTTGCTCCCACAGAATGATCCGACTCCCTGGGTTCCATTGAGTATGCCGTGACTAGAAGCCGGTGACAAACTTCAGAAGTCTGGAAAGTTATCGAAGACTCTGTGTCGTTATGATGATGCATCAAACTGCCCAAAGACTAGCTTGATATCACATACCAACCATGTTGGCTGGCGATCACTTCACATGGCGTGTACGTTATTCCTTAAGACATCATACCAGCCCTGAAAAAAGTCTTGTGCAAAAGCCGCAAGCCCCAGGTCGTAGAGTAGTACGAGGTGGTAGGATCCCCGGCCGATACTTGATTCAACATCACTTTTCCAGTATGGCTGCAAATGCACCATGATAGTACGTTGCTCTTTATACGAACGACGATCTTGCTCCCATCCGTTGCATGTTACGTCTGCTACATGATTATATTAGGCCTCCATGCTCTTGATGGAACCGGGCTCTACGACTCATACGTTGCCGAGTTCCTGACAATCTTCTTGCCATCGAGGGCTGAGTGGGCCATTGATAGGACTACACAACAACACGGATGCTGATCCTCTAGTTCGATTATTTCATCGTACATTGGGAACATGTCATAGCTCCGATCATCGGTGGACCCTTCAACGTTATCTTATGGAATTCAGGGTCCTTGTCAACTTTCTCGGCGTGCATATGCATACGGTGGCGGATGTCGATCACACAAAGCCGATCAACAACAAACGACCGCCGGCAATTTACAGCCTTCAAACCTGCCAAAGTCGAAATGTATCTGTTTTCATCGAGGCACTGTGCTGAACTGTATGACATGGTGAATGTGATTCCTCACATACCGGTATCTCATGGCTTGGCAATAATGCCACATACCAAGAGCCCAGTTTGGGCTTCAGTTGAGTTCTTAATGCCAGTACAATGTACATCATTGCCTGGGTATCAACCGCAATTTCATCATTGGGCAACTAGCAGTGATGGGTATGTCATCATGCCTTTGCCACAGGCAGCTGGCCCCTGACCCCCCTGACAGTTGCCCAGGCAACGGACAGACATGTAAGAAAAGCGCTACTACAGCACACAATATCAGAGGTAGCCTTTACCTGGAAAGAAAAAAACAATGCCAAAGAATATACAGAATTTAAAATGATCAGAGTGAGATTCGAACTCACGCCCCTTACGAGACCACGGAACTCTTTTGGTGGAGTGGAATCAAGGTTGATACCTTAACGTGGCGCCTTAGACCGCTCGGCCATCTGACCTTGGATAAATTGATGGAAATCGGCTAGGACTGACTACTTTTGTGTGTAGTCGTGATTTCGAGCAGGCATGAATCGTGTATAGTTAGGGTTTTGGAAGTGGAGGCTGGTGGAGTTGGGTATGCGATGTGTGGAGACTGGATGCGCTCACGAAGTCGCACGCAGAGAACGAGGGGCGTTGGTGAGAATCGGAATCTCAAATGCATTTTATTATATTTAGCTTACTTCGGGCCAGGAAAGTTTATCTCTCCACTCTTGACCAGGCCACCAAACATCACCCTCATGTCCTCAACCAAGAGCTCTGGAACTTCCCAAGCAGCAAAGTGGCCTCCCTTGTTATGCCAATTCTCAAACACCAGCGGACCCAAGGTCCGATAGTGGTAGCTTGGCGACATCAACAAGTCCTTTGGGAAGGTTGACACGCCCAGCTTCACTCCCGGATTGTATTCCTCCACCTTCTTGGCAGTTGCCGAGTGGTAGTAAATGCGGCAGCCAGCCTTGGGCCCTGCACTGGCGAACTGGTAGATGCTGATCCAGGTAAGAATCTCGTCGTCTGTCCAGGGGTAAGAGTCTGTCCAGTCGTAGAGCTTCTCGTAGATCCACGATAACAAGGCCACAGGCGAGTCCCTCAAAGCAATGCCAATGGTGGTTGGGTTGTGGCAGTGGAGGCCGTTGTAGGCGGCACCTTCTTCCCAAAACCGGTGGGTTCGAGCCAAGCCTTCTTTTTCTCGTTTGCTGTACGTGGAAAACAGATACTTGAGGTACACAAGGGACCCATGCTGTGGGATGGTACTGATGGAAGGAGGAACGGCTAGGTTGTGGTTGATGTGACTGGCCAAGACGGCTCCAGATTTCTTGGTCGCGGACGACGACGCAGGACCATATCTGATGTCCATGAAACGTGTGATGCCGTAACCCCAGTCTCCTCCTTGTGTGGCTATGGGATGGCTGTCAGCAGCCGCATGTGCAGACAAACCAAAATGGGGAACGCACCGTAGTTTGAATACCCAAGCTTGAGCATCAGCTTGTGACAAGATTCTGCGTACTGCTCGAGCGCAAATCCTGGCTTGGAAGGGCCAGATGAGAAGCCAAAATTGGGCAGAGATGGAGCAACGTCATCGAAGCACGGCTGATCTTGACTGTCCGGATTGGCCAAGAGAGGGAGAATTTTGGCCACTTCGATGAAGCTACCAGGTCCTATGGGAAGGTACAAGTCAGTGGGGAATGCTTGCCGATGCAGTTGACTCACATCCGTGACAAAACAAGAGGGGAATGGCTCCCAGGCGACTGCCCTTCTTGTGAACGAAGTGTATCTTGAGCGGATCGAAACCATCGACATGGATTGTTGTTGTGTACTGGGGCAAATCACGGTTCAGTACCGTCTCTCTTGCTGGCGCCAGTCGAAATCGCCCTTCAAGTAGTTGACCAGTCGCTTGATGTCACTGAGGGCAACACCACCTGCCCAATCATCGGACAAGGGTGTCTCGTCGGGGAAAGTGGCATGCTCCAGCTTGTGGTGCAGCTGGGTGATTTTGGCATCCGAAATGCTGATGTTGAAGGGCTTGATGTCGGAGTCCATGTTGTGCCAGTTTGCGCTGTGTTGTTTATTGTTGGGTAGGTATTATTCGGTCTACAACTATTTAAGTCGATTGGTGACGTCAAAGGGCGCGGTTGACAGGTGGGAAGGAGCAACTCCATTTCTGCCGATCAATACCTACTTGCACCTCCCGCTGCAGCATCAGCCCAGCAATTGAGCACAAAGCCTCAGCATTACCTTAATATGGGGCCTCTCCAGATACCTCTCCACGTCGGCCTCCAACCCAGCCAGCTTTTCCTCTCTGTACTCGGCCAAATCAACATCCTCTGTGGTTGGCGGGTTGAACCGGAAGTACCACACTCCCTCGGCCCTCATCAGCTGGTCAAATCTGCGATGCACGTTTTCGACATTGGTCAGGTTCTCCAGCAGCTGCGCTCCCTTGGAGATGGCAGGATGTGACGCAATCCAGCTCCGCTTCTTTCGCGAAGGGTCAAATCTTCCTGTTCCCAGACTCAGCACACATTTGACAACCGGCTTATCTGTTATCCAGCGGGGAAACAACAGGCTTTTCTCAGCCCAGAGTTCATCCACGGGATTGTTGTTTGCTAGTGCTCCATCCCAGAACTCCGTCCTACCTATCGTTGCTGGGGGGAAATAAAAGGGCGCCGCCGATGTCGCGCGAGCAGCCTGAACGATGGTAGCCGAACTGTATGTTGGCAGTGAACCATCGGGAAATCTGTAAGAGCGAAAGCGAAGAGCGAAGTTGTCCCTTGACCTGACGGAAGTGACAAAGCTTCTTTCATCAGCAAGCTATTTTCTGCAAGGGGAGAACGGAAAGTCAATTACACTTGACACCCTTCAGTGCCTGGCACAGAGCTGTGGTCCAGCAAAGTAGCATTTGGATCTAGCCCCTGAGCAACGACCTCGTCTCGGACTGCATGCTCGAGCGACGAGCCCTCGTACCAAGATAAGCCAAACATCGTTCTGATGTAGGCACCGCCTAAATATTTAGAGATGAAGCTGGGCTGGAACAAGGTTTGTGACAATGATTTGTACGCCGTTATCGCTTCATCGATCGACATGCTCTGTAAAATGTGTTAGCCGGTGTGGTTTGTCAACATTCAGCCAACCTCTGTCACGCATAGCAAACTCACTAATCGAAAGAGCATAATGCAGATCAAGCCCCCCGTACTTGTTCCTCCAGCAAGCTTAAAACACTCCGCCGGCGTCTTTGCTTTGCTTGTCCCATTCTCTCTATTGGCATCATCCATAATGGCTTTTAGGATTCGAAGACTGACCAGTCCCCGAACGCCTCCACCATCTATGCCCTCCGCTGTCAGCAATGCATTCTCTTTCTTTTCTGGAAATAGTGGACACGAACCAACAGCCAGCAAAGTCAGCCCACCTGCAGGCACATTCCTAGAATTCGTTGCATCTGGCAGTGGAAACCCTCCACTTTCCTCAGGTCTGATCTCCCATTAGCTTGATTGTACGCTTGGGGGGATCCCAGAAGATTTCACCAACCCTGAAAGAAACCCGAGTGTTTTGTCTAATTTTCTTGCTTGCTCTCTCAAGTCACAAAGGCCCCTTTTCACCCGCATTTTGAACGCCTTTAATTCGTTGCCTTGGCTGACGGTAGCGTCGCAGTTATTCAATGCCATAGTATCGAAATACTCAAGGAGTGAACTGAGACAGCCTGCAACAGCATTGTGTCTCCATTTTGGATCGTCGAAATACTGATCGTGGTACAGCTCCAGGACGCGGAGTTGTAAGTCGATATCTTCTAGAACTGCGGCCATGGGATGTGTTTAGTAGACTAAAAGATGAAGCCAGTCCTAATATGACTACATACGGTAGCTAGCTTCTCGCAGGTCCGGGCCATCAATACCTGCAAAGTCCAAGTCGCGTATACAATGTCGGCAGGCATCTGCTACTTGAGCGACAAACGGTTTGCTGTGCGATGCAGTTGCAAAGACCGACTGTGTTTGTGCCATATTTTTACAATATAGGTGAGTGGTAAAAAAAAAAAAAGAAATGTCCCTCGGTTTGGTCTCCTCCAAATCATCTACATTTCGTTGATTTATAGGTTGATGGCCATTCGTGCCCTGAGACAAGTCCCGGTGCGTGGTTCTCTGAGTGTGTGTGGAGAGTCATTGTTGGGAGGTCAGCAGGGAGTCCTGTAGCTGACCCCCATTCTGTCGGGTGATGCCACCCAAGAAATTCTTAGCTCGCGTAGGATCATAGTCTGGCTTACCATCGGGTTCTAAATACAACGCACCCCGGACACCACTGCTGTCATGTGAGAACTAGTGAGACAAAGAGTGAGCAGCAGTATGAGCTTGAAAACCCCCATGATGAACTGAATCAAGTGATTATTTACTCGTTCATTTGATTACACATTTTTGGAGTTTATACAGCCAAAAACACCACACCCTTTACAGTTGCACTACCCTTCAAAACCAACCTTAAACCCTAGCGGTACCATGCCTTCCATTGCTATAACCCATATGCGTTTGTTGGTGTCCGTTTGCAACGGTAGGTCCGTGGTGTACACCATCGGAGTGCCTCATCTGCTGGTGGTGGGTCGCAATGGCATGCCCGTCACTTCCCGCCTTGTGGTGCTTGCTATACATGTCGCGCACTTCATGGAAAGCAGCTGTAATGGCATGAAAAACCCTGGTTTCTTCCTTGTCAGTGTCGTGTGGACCTCGGGACTTTCTTGTGGAGTAACTCACGTGCTGACGATAGCCAGGATGAACGTTCCCCAAGGTAAGTCACAGCTATCATCGCCTGTCGTCGTCTCACCAGTTACGTTTGCCGCGTCTGCCGCATCTCTATCGTCATAGCAGTGCCTTGGTCCAGCCATACCTCCGTTTGGAGATGTGATAACAGCAACTGCGATGAAAGCGCCAACAAACAAGATATCGAAGAGAACCCAGAGCCAGCGGAGCCACCTGGGACCACCTCCCTTGAGAAGAAATGCCATGACAGTCGTGATGAGCGTGTATAGGACGGCGGCGGCAAGGATGCCCTCAACGGCCCCGATGGCACTGTTGACTCCGCGGCGAGTTTTGATCGAGTTGACCAGACGGTATACCTTGTACATGCGCTGAGAGAAGATGCCAAGAGAGATGACGGAGGAGAGGAATTGCAGGACGCGCGTGAGGCGGAGGAACCAGCGGTAAAGACGCGAATGCTTGAGGCGATCAGGAACCCATCGGGTTAACAACCCTGTTTCATTGGATCTGTTCGTGTTTGCCATTTTGCACGTAGTTGGGAGGCTTGATAAATTGAATTGTATGCGGGAGGCGATGGTCAAGGTCTGAAGACAGGACTTTTCGAGGGACCATCACTTAAGCTACATTGAGCCATATATATATTTGAGTGATAACTATCCCTCCCAGCTTTCTACGCGCTTGGCGTTCCACTGGCCGTTGCATTATTGACATGTGCAAAACTTGATTTTGTGTGGGTGCTTATCCCCGTAGCAGTCGATGTTGTCATGACCCGCCATTCAACGTCACGACCTTGTAGTCACCCAACGAATTGTTTTGCAAAGTTGGAATACTGTACGATGTTATTCAGATACTTGCTCAGAAAAGAAATTTGATGGTTTGCGGAGTATAGTAAGGTAGGTTATCAGAAATGTGATATGATGTCATCCGACATTGCCGTCCTACCCGCCCCCCTGGACTTTGGAGGCTTCCCTCTACACCCACTGTTGGTTCCCATAATGAGAGACAAAAGCACCTCCATCCCCTTTCTCCAAGCTTGACGCCTCAATAACATCCCGCATCATTCTCACCGAAACCTCTGGCGCCTTTGGCCTTTCATAACCAGGTGAATACTCCTTGAAGATACTCAGGAGGGGTTCCACGGCAGCTAGGTCATCCGCTGTAGCCCCGTCATAATGTCCAACTTCCACTGGCCCGGGACAGACAGCCAGAAACAAAACCCCGTCCTTCTTGAACTGCGCGTTGAACTTGGCAACAACAGTGTTCATGGCGGCCTTACTCGCAGCATACAACGCACCGGGAGTGGCCCCCCATTGATTGGTGAAGGAGTTATCAGCAAGGCCGGATGTTATGGTGACAATCTTTTTGACGTGACCGGCGAGGATAAGGGGGAGAAAGAGGTTGAAAAGATGGACGTTGCCAATGACATTGATCTCGAAGGCCTCGCGGAAGGTCTTGGTGAGCTCTCCCGGTTGTTTGCCCCTGTTTTGCAGTGTTAGTAGAAAAGAATTTCCTATAAGTGAAGTCTGAAGAACATACAGTTCGCCAATCGGTAGAAACAAGTCGAATTTTGGCACAAGACCCGCGTTGGCAATGATGTAGTCCAGAGACCCGCCCGTGATCTCAGCCGTGTCGGCAGCCGCTTGCTGATGTGATTCATTAGCGTCAATCGTCGCAATATAATAATCTGCCGTCTCTCTTCGAATATTGTCAGACTCATTCGTACCTTCAACGCATTGTAATCGGTGATATCAGCTTGTAGGATGTAAATGTTCGGTCGCCCTTGTAGGACTGCATCCTCAGACACCTTTTTCTCTGTGGCAGATTTGTTGCGGACAAGTGCAATGACAGTATTTTTCGCATCACTTGAGTACTGACGAAGAAATTCGTACTGTGTGAGGTATGGCGGGTTAGTCCTTTGACCAAAATCAGCAAGATGGCTTTGACATTGCTCACCCCAATGCCCCTAGAGGCTCCAGTGATCAGAACGAAAGGCATTTTTACCCTGAAACAATGAACCGAATAGATGTGGGCGTAAGATGAGGTTGATGTAAAGAGACGGGCCGCAGAACATTGGGAAGGGATCACTGACTATTTGTACAAGTTGCAGGGCTCCAGTATTTACTGGATCCCCACTGGGAAGAGTAGAAAACCTCATTGTTAACACTAGTTGCTCGTTTCATCCTGGTTTGTAAGTCACTCTAAGGTGTGCTTACCTGACAGTTGCCAAAGTTTCGTGCTTTGATCGGCATTGCATGGCAACCGCGCTTGGTTGCTGAATTCGGAAGTTGGTGTAACCTCAACAACCAACATGACCCAAGAAAGGTATCCGGAGAGACGAAATGCGTCAGTAGTGTGCCATTGAGAGCAGAAGCTGCATGGAATTTGTGCATGGCGCCCAACAGATGGTAAAACTAGGCCAGATAAGAGCCTCTTCCCGTCTTCTACAACACCTTGATTGCCTTGGCCACATTGAATATTGAATCTTGATATGAAGACATGATGTTCCACGAGCACATACATACATACCCGGCACAACCTGGAAGCACATCATTACGCCAATCCTGTTGAGACCCTGAAACTCCTTTCTTAGCATCGTGAAAGCCAATCAGACCATTCTTGGCCACTTGGCCAGGCATTTCCCCACCAAGATGTTGACTCCATTTTGCCTTAACTCTGATACTCCACCTTCACATCGTGTTCCGCCTGCTTGGAACCCACCTGGATCGTCCACTTAGGCTGTCCCCCGAATCTCATAGCCAGTGACATCTCGTCAAACTTCCGCCACCCATCTGCCAGGTTGCCCACCGGTTTCCACTGTTCAAAAGGCTTATCCCACTCACACTCAATCCGACACAACTCCGTCACGGTCTCATCCTTTCTTTTGGGAGGTATGTCTGACTGGCTGTACTCGATGACAAATACACATTTCGATTGGGCCGTCTGCTTGGTGGCGTATTGGTGATATCCAAACAGGACGGGCTCTTTCTTGCTCACTTCGTCGCCTTTCTTCAGGTACCAGTCCATGCGTCGTGTGACCTCTGTCTTCTCAGGGTTCCGCTTCACTCGGTCGTGAGCTGGATCGAAGTCGCGCAGGGCTGCCACGGCCACCTCGCTCTGAATGCCGTAGCTGTATCTTGCCTTTCGAGTGACGACCTCGGGAATTCGGGAAATGACACGATGCTGACTGGGGGTGAGGCTTGACAGCATTGACATTTTGTCTTGAAGAAGTCGAATTACCGCCCCGCGGGCGACAGCAGACCAGCTAAAGAACCCATCCTGTTAGCCGCATCTAGCATTTCCGAGTCAAGGTTATGGTGTATGACACTTACGCTTTATCGAATGGTCTCAGAATGATCTTCTCCTTCGTCATTCCTGGTTCAGTTAGGCTGTTGTCGTATTCTTTGTCAAGCTGATTGTAGATGTACTGCGAGCCACCAAGACCGCCCACAAGGAGGATTTTCTAGTCAACACATGTTAGATTGGCAAAGCTCCGCAAACACCTCACCTTGATGGCAATGCAGGGCCACGTTCATACCCTTGGTTTTCTCCCCGTTTGGACCTCAACACCTTTGATTTGCTCCGTGAGCAGGGAGCGGATCCCAACCAGAGACTGGTCGAAGAACCCGGCCATTGCTTCTCTGCCATATACCAAGAATGATTTGGTTAGCCACTGTCTTGGAAATTGTGCTATGGTTGATGGAAGGCTAGGATGGAAACATCATCACTCACCGACTGATAGAGAAGGACCCTTTGCCTCTGAGTCTGTCTATCTTGCCAAAAGCCTTTGTAGGGGGGGTCAGAAAGAACCTCGGCGGCTGAGGGTTCCCCGTGAAACTGCGCTTTGCACCCATCTCCCAGTCCTTGGTGACAAACAGATTGTGCTCAGCAGTATCGAGCGAATCCAGCTTTAGTTTTATCTCCCATTTCAGGTAGGCTGCAAATGCTTCATCCACCTTGAAAGCCCCGGAAAGCTTCCCTAGATCTAAGCATCAGTATTGATCATGATTGTTTGGCTAAACAGGGCACTCACCGTCGCCATTGACGCACTCTCCGATGCGAAACGGGCTGAGGGATTTGACGGTGTAACTAATGACATCCTGGAATACCTTTTATTAGCCAGGAGCCACGTTGGCGAAAGCCAAGTTAAAGAACAAACTTACAACCGTTCCTCCGCCGGCATCGCAAACAACAAATGACTCTCCGGGCTTGAAAGGCACAATCAGCTCACCAAACCATTGAAACCTTCGAGATATATCATACCTGAATTTCAGGAAAGTCTCGGCGGTCGAGAAATATGGACAGGCCAGCAGCCTCTGGCTCTTGAATCAAATCGAGCGTTGTGGGGCCAATGTCCCTGTCGATGGTGATGCCAGCAATCTTGGCAGCCTCTCTCATAGCCTGCTCTGCATACTACGTTGTTTGGCTTCTGTTAGCACCAGTAAACCCAAGCTCGTCCTGGGTGATGTTAAACAACTTACGGGAGGCCAGATGGCGGGGACAGTGATGGCTACCCGAAGTGGCAGGTTGTCAATCACTAACATCTCGCCCAGCTTCTTATATGTATGTGCCCATAACTTCTTGAGATATAAGCCCACAACCTCGGTAGGAGTCATCCCACGTGCTCTTATCTGTTGCTGGGCGTCTTTTAGAGGACGCGAATTTCGGATCTCGTCTCGGATGATATCCTGGTCCTTGAGCAGAAGGAGTTTAAACCACTTTATGGGCTTCATCTGCGGTGTGACCTCATACCCCCATTTCCCTGATGCGAGATCAAATTGAGTAGGCACTTGGTCCTCGCCAGCATTCAAGTGAAACTCGGAAGGCCATTCTGTGATTTCATGAATATCACCCGGACTTTCCGAGAAGGCCCAAGACACACCGCAGTATCTGACATGAACCCAAAGTTAGTACACACAAAGGTATTGTCTTCACCTATTGCAAAAACCCACGTGGTCCCGAAGTCGATACCTACGGCTACAAACTTGCCGCCAGCAACGGCTCCACTGATAGATGGGCTAGGACTCGCAAGAGAAGACCGAAGCCGGTAGGGTAGTGACGACATGATGTGGTTGGATAGCTATCAGAGAGATTGACTGGAGGTGTATCGTTTTTTCCTTTGTGAAAGATAGACAGAAAAATGGTGTAAAGGGGTATCGATGAGATGGATGACCTGATCAACAACAGGGCCGCAGCCAAAGTACCAAACATCCCGTCAACACCCCCCCGCGTCTCAGCTCGAAACCGGGGTACAGCGCTTGCAGGTCTTCGGAGGACATGCTTGGCGCAGTACCCGATGAAGGCAAGGCTGGGATACAACCACCCCTCCCCCATCCACGTCAAAAATCCCATCGGTCTTTGAGGAGGAGGTTTATTTCATAAAACTCGCCCCAAAATAGCGATTCTTCTTCCGACATACCTTGGCCAGCAGAACGCCAGAGAGTGCAGAAAAGTTCATCATGGACAGCGAGAGGGAGGGCATCATTCTCCTCTTGGGGGTGACGGGGGCTGGAAAGAGTTATTTCATCAATCAACTGAAGAAGAAGGGTCCTGTAACCGAACGACCTGTGAGAGAGGGACACACTCTTTGTTCTCGTGAGTACCTTATCCACTGGAAACACAGACAGGAGCGCCAGCATAGTTACCAGGTTCATGGTTGCTAACGTTGATCCAGAGACTTCACGCTGTCAACTGGTTCAAATGGTTCTCGAAGACGATGACGGAGACGAGAGGAGCATCTCGGTTGTTGATACGCCTGGATTTGATGACACTGAACGACCGGATGGCGAAGTGTTGGCTGAGATTACCGAGTTTCTGGCAACCCAGCACGCACTTGGCATACCACTCAAAGGTGTGTTGTACCTTCACAAGATCACCGACAACCGGATGACCGGGTCCTCGGGGACCTATCTGCGGCTCCTTCAATCCTTGATTGGAGATTCTGCCATGGCCAACGTCGTCTTGGTCACCACAATGTGGTATATGTTGCGTGACGAGTACGAAGGGGAGGGTCTTCGACGCCAGACGCAACTCAGTGAAAAATACTGGAAATCCCTGACAGAAAAAGGGGCGGGGGTAACGAAGTTTGAGGGGACTCCCGAAAGCGCATGGTCCATTGTCCGTAAGCTGGCGCCAAAGGAACCTGTGGTTCTTGACTACCAACGGCAAGTTATCGAAGAGGGCCGCGATCTCATTCGCACCAATGCTGGGAACAGTCTACTTCAGAAGCTGGAGTCGACCAAGGTGGAATACAGCATCAGGCTCAAGGACCTCGAAGATCAACACGATGAAGCCATCGCCATCGGAGACAAGGCAGTGGCTCGGGACAAGGAAAGAGAGATAAGCGAGGCCCAGGATGTGTTGAGGCGAATCGACAAGTCGGTGGCCAAGCTGGGGGCACAGCCAGGTCCGCGGATCAAGGAAGGGGTTGCCAGGGCCATGAAAGGCCAGGCGGCAGGGCGGGCGGTGACGGTGCTGGCAGCCATTCTAAACATCACCTTGTTTGTCGTGCAGCTGGTGGTGGGTGTGTGAGATAATAGCTCCTCGGCTAGCTTAAAAGTGCCCCGCCCTCACTCCAAAGTTCAAACCTCAGCTGCCTGCGGCCCCCCATTGAGTGTTCCGCCGACCTACTATTCGACAATTTCAAGATAAGCGCCTAGATTTACTCACCTACCTTACCTACTCATACCATTTCGTTACCCGCAATGTGTTCTGATTGCCTTCATTTTTGGCCCCGTTGTGTCATGGGGGACCCGAATGGATCCCAACAGGCAGGCTGCGAGTCCTTGTGCGGCCCCTGTTTTCTTAGCGAGTGCGGCCAGGTAGTACCTATCCTTCTGGCTAGCCTGAGGCGTTCATGGCGTCGTTGTGGCTGCCTCCATGTCAATAGCGTGATGCATGTTGCTTCCACACCCCGGTGTACAAACCACCATTCAGGTAGCACAAGTCTCTTGAGGCTGAGGGCGCCAAAATTCTCGAAGGCACAGGGCTAAGAACATGCATTTCAACCATGTTGCCAGGATGGGGGATGTGGTGGGCTCAGGAGATTTCCTTTTCTTCACTTCGTCAGTCATATGGACTATTCACTTCGAGAACGAAGCTTGACCGGACAGAATTATCCACCTCTAACAACTCATCACAGATCCCGACCACTGGATCCAAGGCCACGCACAGCAGACGAAAGTAGCATGAGCGCGACTTCGTGGTTTCAGAAGGCGAGGATACTTCCCATACCAACAGTCCTGCCTGACGATGACCGTCTCAACGGGTCGCCCAGGCCATCTGGTGGCAATTCCTCTCAACACTCTCGTTCAAGGGACTCGGCTTCGTATCACGACATTTCAGCAGGCCCAACAACCCATCGGTCCGCATGGTATCGATTAAAGAAGAAGCCGAAGCTTGGGTCACCAAGAGTGTCAAACAAAAGTTTTGACGGTGGTATCGTGAGCGTCGCTGGTTCACGAAGCAGCTTCTCAGCGGCGGACCAGCCCTCTAAGTTGGGCAAAAGGAACCCAAATGGACTTGTCTCTCTCGACAGCCCTCCAGCTGTTCCACCGAAGCTTCATGTCGAAACCGTGTCAACTCTCGAAGTCGTGGCATCTCGTTTGAGCATGAGCGCCAACCCAGTTATTGAGCAGCACAATCGAAAAGGGAGTGTGCCCAAATGCGGTACTGTGGCTATCACAACCACTTTGCTCCAGCAAGTTGACAGCGCCATTGACACCAGTACCATCCCGAGCCCACAGCCAGTGCCCAGCACCAGCATCGCATCCGATTTTTCCTGGCAGCAAGCAAAAGATCGGATGAACTACCTTGAACAGGAGCTCCGCCAGGCCCAGCACGAGATCGAGCATGCCCATAATGAGATCACGCAGCGAGACCAGGAGATCGTCAGGCTGGGGGTAGAGCTCAATGCGGCCAGACAGGTTCTCCCGCCAGAAATAGCCGCTTACGAGGAGCAGCTCGCTGCCCAAAACGCTCTCATCGAGCGCCTCCGCACCAAGGCAGCCGATTCTGCCGGCATGGCAGCTGAGACACCGCTCGGGCAGTCCCGACTGCAGATGACGGAGAGCAGAATTCTCGAGGCATGGCGAGAGCTGACCTTTGAGGTACACAATTTTGTTCGCTGCTATCTGAGCATCGGAGACTTGGGTGCGCGCAAGATGGAACAGTGGGCCAAGGCCCGCGGGGACAAGCTGAAAGAAATATGTCCCGGCTATGATCGAATGGTGCTCGACAAGGCGGCATCAGATTGGTTTGTCGAGGCGGCCATCTGGAAAGTCCTACATGGTGCTGTCTTTGTTAGCTCGACGACCCATGGGAATGCCTGCTGGGCGGGGAGATACCAGAGCAGACTCGAAAAGCTGAGTGTGTTGTTCCTCGTTCGTTTCTTCTGCAAGAAGATGTGGTGTTTGTGTGCTAACCGCGAACGGGACGATGAAGGCGTGGCGCTTGCATCATCCATCAAACCCTCTGAACCAGACAAAACGCGCCACTTCCACCAGTGGAAAGCAGCTACCACTTCTCTGATCTATACCCTGGGCCCCAAAGCCACCGATGTCCAGGAGACCATCCTAGATGTATCTGACAAGCTCGAGGAGCTCATCGATCCGTTCAGATCCCGCCTGCCCATGGTTGCTGTGCGGGATATGCTTCGCAAGATTGTCACAAAAGCCATCGCCTTTGACGAAACATTGTGTGGTCAGCAGAGCTGGTATTATCTCTGCTACCCGGACCTCCGCGACAACTTTGAACTAGACAGCAAGTTGGCCAATGTGGCCGAAAAAGAGTGCGTCACAGGCCAAAAGGCCAAGTTCGTGATTCGGCCAGGCCTCAGTCGGACAGGAGGGAGAAGGGGAGAAGGCAACTATGCCGAAGGGCAGGTGCTGGACAAGTGGCTGGCGTACGTTTAGTTATGCCCCTGGGTTCAACATTATCATTGACAACAGAACATGATGGGTTTGATCCACAGACTCCAGTGGTCTATTTTATCTACCGTTAATTACCGAAGCTGTGACATGTCAATACATTCATCGAAACGCAAAACCGTCAGGGCTCTCTTTGATCATCAAAGCCAACTCTGCAGCAAGGCAGAGTGGTTCAGATCTGCTCTCAGATGTCTGATCAAGAGGTTGAACTGGTTGAGGAGGTCCCTCCAGAAGAACTCATCCTTTCAGTACATCCGGGCAGTAAGTGTTTGCTCATCATCCGGTTCGCAAGATGTTGCTATCAGTGTTTTATACATGAAGCGTAAATGGAGAGAGACTGTGCCAGCTTTCACAAGGTGGGTAAAATTGCATAACTCCTGGATGAACCAACAGGCTTGCTTTTCTGCCCCAACGGAGAAAATAAAAGACAGACTACTTCCTCTTCTTAGTGGTGGTAGCAATGATCCTCTTCTTCTTCGCCTTGGGTATCTTCTCGGCCCTCTTGGCTCTCTTCTCCTCCTTGACCGTTTGCTTGTGCTGCCTCTTCTCGTCTTTGTCCTCATGCTTTTTTCCTCTTGGCGGGCCCTTGTCAAATATGCTTTGGTCGATCTCGCTGCTCTCTGACCTGTCATCACCGTCCGCCGTAGTGCCATCTTCTGAGTCCTCTTCCGAGCCCTCTTCTGCGGCCTCCGGTTTCACGGAAACTGTATTGGCAAGCATGCTGTTGTAGACTAGCTGCTCAACGGGCATTTTGGCATCCCGTTCCATATCGTAGACCTCGTCCAGGGTTCGGGGGATGAACTGGTTGCGGAAGACTTCGACATCAACTTCCTCGGTCGCGGCATCCTGGATGGAAGGGCGGGTCTCGTAGAGTCGCTCGATGGCCTCGAAAAGCTCTGGCTCCTCGACAGGACCATCGATCGCCGTGATGAAGTCAAATATGGCGCGGTCCTGGAGGGTGTCGACACCTTTGCGGCGGAAAAAATCACCCACATTCTTAATGTCCATGCGCAAGAACTCGAGGGCACGCGGGTGCTCGTGCTCGACTGACTGCGAGACGTCGATAATGTACAGCTTGTTCTTGTCATAGAGGATGTTGTACTCGCTCAGATCGGCATGTACCAGGTTGCAGACCCTGAAAAGACGGCGCATGATGCCCAAGAGCTGGATGTACACAGGCCTCCACGGGTTTTCGGTGCCCTCATCCGAAAGAGTGGCATCCCGCAGTCTTGGGTAGGCATAACCCCGTTTATTTCCCAGGAACTCCATCACCAAGACGTGAGACTTGAGCTCCAGAGGTTCTGGGCATGGAATGCCGGCAGCATGCAGACGCTTCAAGTTGCGGAACTCCTTCTCGGCCCATTGCTTGACCATCTCCCGGTTGTTCTTCTTATTCGCACCTCTCTTGAACCTATGCTCGCCTGTAATGTACCTTTCTCTGTCCTTGAAGACGAGAATGGCCGTCTTGTAAATCTTGATGGCGCGGTGCAAGGGGCGGGTTCCATCCAGGGGATCCAACACGGCACCGTAAACGTTGGCCTCCTTGCCTGTGCTGATGGCACCGTGCACCTCGCTGACAATACCGCGGCTGATCATCTTGAGCAGAATCATGCGTGTGCGCTGGTCCATCACCAACTCGTTGGTGGCGCGGTCGGCCTTGTCCTTGTCCTTGTCCTTGACCTCGCCCGTGCGGTCATCTCCGTTCCAGAAGTCGTCGTCATCGATTATAAGATCGGTCTTGAGCTTCCTTGCGTGCTTTGCCAGTTCGGAATCGAGGTCGTCAAGGTGGTTCGAGTTGTTGGCCTTTGGCTTCTGGGCGTTGGAGCGGGGGAGAGCTGTGGGTGCTCCATTGTTGGCGCCTTGAAGCTGACGCTGGCGGTTGACCTGTTTGGTGATGTCGCCCGAGTTACCTTCGCCACCCTCCAGGTAATCATCGTCGAGTTCGTCGCTGTAGGCCACATCATCATCGCTGTCTTCCCACAGGTACTCGTCGATACCACGCGGGGCAGCATTGGCGAGCTCAGTGGGGATGGGCTCAGTCGTTGCATAGCCTTGGTTTGGCTGGTAGGTATAGGGCGGCTGGTGCGGCGCCGCACTTCCGGGTGCTACTGGCTCCGAGGAAGACATCATGGACGGCAGGACTTTGAGATATACGAACTGTCGCAGAGGCAGGGTAGTCGGGGAGCACGGCGATGAAATACTGGATTGGTGGCGGTTGGAAGTTTTTGGTGGGGCGGACGCTCTTATCTTATCGGCGGACCGCGGGGGTGGTTGCCTGTCAGGTCCGGGTGCTGCGATGCAGCAAGGACGATGGTCAAGTGAGAACACGCTCGTTTATAAGAACTGCAGCAGGATGAATCAAGGTCAAACCTGGCCACACTTCAAAAGTGACATAAAGTCAAAATATCCGAAGCCAAATTTTAAGAGAATCAGCCAGCGTTCAGTCGCCAGAGATGATCCCATCATTTCTGGCGTCCATCATCATGAACCTTCGATGACCCCTGGCAAAACATTAGCATTCACCACCAGACCTTCATCATCTCACCTAGGACGACAGGAACCTGTCCCTCAAGGGACAGTAACACGTCTATCTCGGGCTACTGTCGAAGGTAGCGCAATTGCCGGTAGGTACAGTACATAGAGATGCAGCACGCGTAAGTGGAATCCGACACAGATGGACGGTGTAGGTGGCAGACATACTTGGCTCGTGCGTCCCCTGCTATCGCTGGCGATAAGCTATTGACAACACCCACGGACGGCTGCAACACCGACAAGGCTCCAGAGTCAAAGCTCCAGACATTCAGCTGTTCATCAACAAGACAGGGCAGAAGTCTCGTGGGAAGTCCCCTTCTTTCTCCACCATCATCAACAAAGATGCCGAGACCCGCGGGCCGCATCTGCTCTCCTGTTTCCGTCACCACAACACCCTTCCCAGCCTAGCACTTGACGCATCCGACTTCCAGGTTGCCCCAATCCAATGGCATCTCCCGGCTCAGCCTCGTCAACAGGCGCACCTTTGCGGCCGATATCAACCCAAGGCCAAAAGCCGCCACCGTCAAGCTTCAATGCCGATAATGTTCCTGTCGAGGTGCTGGTCAAGCATTTGCTTGCCGCGAAGCAGTCGCTCTCTTCCATGGCGCTTGTGCTTCGCGCCAACGGCCTTTCCACCCATGCCCGCCAGATGCACGAGGAGTCGGTTGTCCTGAGCGCGCAGACGGCCTTCTTGCGCAGTGGCATCAACGACCAGATCTTCATCCTGCGACAGGTGCGCCGAAAGATGGTTTCCGTCTACAACAGCGGGCGCAAGGATTTTGACCGGCTTATCCGCGCGCTGGACGGCGTCAATGGCCGGCTCGAGAAGACCATCCAGATGCTTCGTGATACGGTTGTGGAGCCTGCATTCCGCCCTCCAGGTGAAGAGACCAGGTCGTTGATAGACTTTGTCGATGAGGGCCAGGTTGACATACTCCGAGAATCCTTAAAATCTAGCATAGCCGAGCTCAAAGTATGATGCCATCTGTTGCTCTGATATCCTTTCTCACTGTCCCGGTCACTAATGGTTGTCCTTGTGTAGGCCGCGCAAACCTCCTTCGACGGCGACCTCCTACGGTTCGAAGACGATTTACGTTTTCTCAACAAACGTCTTCCGTGCGCGTCCTCGAACCCCTCCCCGTCTTCCTCGAGCTCCCACAACCAGATGCCCCAGCTCTTGAGCCAGCTCTCCGACCTCTCGCATTCCATGGCACAGCATCTCAGCTCCCTAACTCAGCATTTCGACATGTGCGTTACTGCCGTCCGGTCAACCGAGGGGGGCGTCGCTCTTGCTCGTCGCAGAGCCGCAGAAACAACCGAGGACAGCGGAGATCCCGTCTCCATCTCCGGCGTAATTACAGAGCAGGAATCTCGCATGGCCGAGCTCGAGCCAATGGATCCCCACGAGAGGGCCGAGATAATACAAGTCGTCTTGGAAGATTCGCCTCAGGTGGAGGAAGTTGTTTCGGACATACAGAATGTGCTGCAGCGCATGGAGGACGTCTTTGGAGCACTGAAAGACCAAGCCGACACAATTCGCGCCGAACATGTGTCTACTGTCAATGCGTTCGCACTGCTGGAGGATATCGGAGCCAAATTGCCGAGTTATGTTGGTGCCGAGGACGAATTTGTACAACGTTGGGAGGGAGAAAAGGAAACAATCTTTGAAAAGATGGATGAGATGGAGCGCCTGAAGGAGTTTTATGAGGGGTACTTGACTTCCTATGACCGACTGAGGGAGGAGGCAGACAGACGAAGGGTTGTAGAGGACAAGATTGCCAATACCTGGCGCAAGGCGAAGGAGATTGTGGATGATTTGCTAAGAGCAGACCAGGCTAAGCGAGAGCTCTTCCGGCAGGAAGATGGAGAGTTCCTGCCTACGGATCTATGGCCAGGAATGAACGACCCGCCCAAACGATGGGAGGTGGTGCCGGTGGAAGAGGAGCCAAGCACGCCTCGACCTGCCAAGGCACAACCAAATGTTATGAGGAATAGCTAAGATTTTGCTTTTGGTTTATTCCAGATATTGTTTTTAAGCGGGGAGGAATGGTATCTCAAGTAGCTAGGCGTTGGTTGGGTGTTGGTTTCGGGATACCCGGACTTGTATCTTTTTTTGTTATCAACATGGCCAGTGATAGGAGATCTGTGATTATACCTACGCAACATGCTGTCTTTAATCTGACTTCCTTGTCGCTACACAAGTTTACACGCGTCGGACAGTTGAACGTCTTGAGGATGGACAAAGTCATCTTGGCTTATACTCAGGAGTGGATCTCTAGCAAATATTGATGCGACTCATAAGAGACGGGACCACAGTGTATTCAGGGTCTCATATTGGAGGTTGCAAACGCTTCGCATGGAACTGCTGCTAATACTTGCCAGAGAGGCCTATGAACTTGCTATACTCCGCCAAATCCTTTGCCATACACTATTAACACCCTCATCATGCCTTTCGTGATGTGCGTGAGTGGGTGGGTGACGTTGAATTGTGGGGCCACAGAGAGTACATAGACAGCATCCAAACTCAAGTGGGGCCAATGCCAACCCAAACGCTCGGGTCGAAACATGCATGGCGAAGGTCTTGGCGGCTGGTTCCACCAAAAGGTTGCTGTCGGAAACTAAAGATGTGGTTAATTTCTGATCAAAATTTCCAAAACTTCCAGAACGGTATAGTAAGTAAAAAGAAGGATTCTTTTTTTAAGGGCACCCTAACCCTAGCTTTTTCCTACTTTTTCGCCCTAGCACCTTTTTTACCTCAGCAAATTTAGCTTAAAAGCATACGTAAATACTACGAAAATTAAACTTTTAGCGTATACTATAACGGAAAATACTTTAAATTTAAAAAAAAAGTTTAATTTTAGTAAAAATTATAATAAATTTATAAATGTTTTCTTTTACCTTTTTATTAGCGGCTTTTTAAAATACTTTTTTAAATATACAATACTTATTAATTAATAATAATTATAATAGTAATAATGTTACAGTTAACCCAACAGCAGGCCGCGCCACATGTGGGGCGCAGGATGTCCCTAGCCAATCATTAGAGAAGTGAGGAGACAGCCAATCAGGGCTGGACGAAAGCGCTATGGCGCCAAGACACACGAGCACTCTGCAGGATGCAAGATGCTACGAGTGATCAGAGGCATAGCACGACGAGCACTTTGCAGGATGCAATGTGCTATGGGTAATCGGGGCCGTAGCAGGGCGAGCACCTCAGGGCCCCAGGATCTATATATACGGAGGAACTGGCTGGTGTAGATAGATAGTTCCGCAGTATGCAATCCACAATTGTATTCACGGTATCTTGTGTTTACATTGAGACATCTTGTTGTGCACTGTCTAGTGTCACAGTTAACCCAACGGCAGGTCGCGCCACATGTGGGGCGCAGGTCGCCCCTAGCCAATCATTAAGGAAGCCAGGGAACAAGCCAATCAGGCCAGGACAAAAGTGCTATGGCGCCAAGGCTCACGAGCAGTCTACAGGATGCAAGATACTAAGGGTGATCAGAGGCATAGCACGACGAGCACGTTGCAGGATGCAATGTGCTAGGGGTGATCGGGGCCATAGTAGGGTGAGCACCTCACGGTCCCAAGGTCTATATATACGGAGGAACTGGCTGGTGTAGATAGATAGTTCCGCAGTATACAATGACAAGTCACAATCGTGGTATCTTAGCTATTGTGATCGAGACAAGCCATTTGTTATGCACTATTTAGCTGCACCGAACCAGGATTATTTAGAAGTTACCTTTAACTAGTATCCCTTTCAGAGGTTCTGGATAGGGGTTCGTCATATCTAGCTGCACCGAACCAATTATCAGAAATTACCTTTAACCCGTATCCCTTTTAGAGGTTCTATATAAGGGTTCGTCACAAATAATTATTAAAAGTAATTAATATTTTTAGCTTTTACTTTAATATAAACTACTTATATATAACTTTATTAATATTATACTAAGCTATTTTAATATTAATAATATTATATTAAAGTAGATTTATATAAAAATAATAAAAGTAATAATAGAATTATAAGATTTTATAAGTTTATTTCGTTATTATTAGGCTAAGTAATAGAGTTAAAAAAAATAAGCCTTATCTCTAATAGGGCTAGGGATAATGTAGTAAAAGTAATAATTTTAATAAAGTTCCATTTCATAATATCCTTAGTCGGAACCTACTGGCGCCTAAAGCTCCCGTCCTGATAAAGCTATAGAAATAAAAGCATAGGTAAGTGTGACGAACCTTTGTATAAAACCTCTAAAAGGGATACGGGTTAAAGGTAACTTATTACGCCCTAAGTATAATAACCCCGTGAAGGAACCACTGGGTGGTTCCCGAGGTGCTGGGATACCTTAGCCAATCATTGGGCCAGGGATAAGAAGACCTATAAAGTCCCTATGTAACTAATCAGGAGGTGCTTAGTTTGATTAGTGGCCAAGACCACTGAGTATACTGAGCATATCGATTATGAAAGATTGCTTAGTCTGCTTAGCCGCTAAGACCATTAAGCACACTAAGTAAGGTATAAAGATATTTCAGAAATATATATAGATAGCTGCACATAAATAGGAAGGAGCGCCTAGCGCTCTCCGTGTCGAGGAATCTGACTCCTCACGTAAGTAATTAAGTTTATTTATCTATAATCTACTCGTAAGTAGTTCTTTGTAGAACGACCTGTTGTTGACAATAAACCCCTTGTCTGAGACGCTTGTCACAACCTTCGATTATCCTGTCATATTCACCTCTGGCGTACTGCCTTGCAGTCTGTATCCATTCCCGGTGCAGGTTGTAACATAACTTCTGATAATTGGTTCGGTGCAGCTAAACAGTGCACAACAAGATGTCTCAATGTAAACACAAGATACCGTGAATACAATTGTGAATTGCATACTGCGGAACTGTCTATCTACACTAGCCAGTTCCTCCGTATATATAGACCTGTTTATCACTATTATCACTAGTGATAATGTCGATTATCACTCGTCGTTCACCGAAGGCTGGTGATAATCGCGATTATCACCCTTGGCGCTAGTGATAATCTGACTTCCCCACTTTTCCGTTCCTAGTGGTTGGACGGGTCGCGCCCCGCGCTCCCCACTTATGTCAGGTCCGTGACAGTAAGAGATGCTGAGCTCTCTTTCAGCCGCAGACCACTAACGGCTTGTCAACCATGACCTCGAGGCTTGTCCCGACACGGTGCATCTGGGCGCCCTCACTTTATCCCGTCCATGCCTACTTATTGAAAACGGATGGCGTATGGACCTTGTTCACGTCCGGCAGCCAGTCGGGCAGACTGGACATAAAGGCCCTTTTTACTGCTCTTTGGCGCGTAATTCTTCCACCGCTAATCTCATCCCCTTCTTGTTGACTACCCCTGACATCCATCATGGCGGCAGCACCATGTTTCCCGGCGACACTGACGCCCTTGCCAGCTCCAACAACAGATCGAACCGACATTGCCCCCCTGAGAGCCATGCTTCGACGGCAATATGACAATAGGACCATGACCACCACTTCCGGGGCGGCGACCACCGCCATGACAATAGCAATTACCACAGACGACAACCATTCTTGCACTGTTAGCCAGCTGTCCCAGTCAACCTTCACGCCACTGTCCTAATGCCTAGGAACAGAGCTTCAATGGCTTCTCTACCTGCAGCTCAGCAGGTGATTACGGGGCTTGTTTTGCCAGCTCCTCCACAGATCACTGTAACTGCAATAACGGCATACAGTATCTTGAGTGCGTCTCCGTTGCCCTTGCTACGTCCAGCTGTTGGTGAGCGGTAGGCGGTGAGCCTAACTGGGAGGCCTACGAACAGTCCTGGTTCCAGAATGCATGCCCAGCACCTCCCAGCAGTGTGATGGCACAGCTACCTCAGCCGTATGCTCCTTATTTGTTCCCGGAATGTTCAATCTGGATCGCTGACAGGAAGCAGTTCAACAGTTCAACTCGAACTAAGCCCCGTCTCAACCATAATTTCCCCTGGACCTATTACTGCTCCCCCACTCCCTGTAGCCCCAAGCATCATCCTAGGCGAAGGGGCACCCTTGCTCGAAGGCGACTGCACCGCGACTTCGTTCTCCATGATACAAGGTGATGACAAGGTGTTTTATGTTCCTTTCATCGGCTGCGACAACTCGAGACCGGAGTGTTGTCCATTCAGTGTTCGCACAGTCGCCGTTGCTGATGGCAGCAAACAACAAGCGAACCGTATGGCGGCCGTTCCCGGGCAGTTTCCACAACCTCAGTCAGGAGACACTGCGAAATTGGTGAAATGTCCTATGGACTATTACAGCGTTCCTAGAGGATTATGTTGCCCAAAGTGAGTTGACAAACCTTTTAGTCTGTCTTCAACGGTTATATTAACAGTGAGACCCAGCGGTTACTTCAAGTTCACATCTACCTTGGCCAGTGCAACCCCTTTTTTCAGCTCCTTAATTGAAAAGGCCTCCCCGCCTGTGATAACGGCAGGTGACGCGAAGAATCCCGCCAACTCTGATTTCCCGACGTCGGCAATCTTAAATGCGGCCTGGGCGATTGGGTATAGCCTTAGGGTGTCACAGGCAGGAGGCTCCAATAGCTTGTCGCCAGGCGCCGTAGTAGAGATTGCGGTTAGAGTTGGGATGCTAGTCCTACTTGGAGCCTTGGTTGCGTTTGCACTGGTGAGTCATAAAAAGAAGAAGAGGGAGGCTCAAAGTTTTAGTGGTCCAACTGTGGCACCAGGTGGAGGAGGGATGGCACACCAGTCTGGGTATCATGCTCCACCGGGCAGTCCGCCACCTGCCTCAACTGCTTCACCAGCAGGAAGTCCAGGCGCCAAGTACGCAGGGATAGTATCATCACAATACGCCCCCAATGCTGTCAATGCTGCTGCTAGTGGCGGCGGTCAGGAAGATGGCAAGAGCAACGACCTCTTTATCCGTCTCGCCTGCGTATGGACATGGGTGGCAACAACATCCAGTTTATGATGGGCACACACATCAATGGGAATGGCAACGTGAACAACACCAGCAACAAGGGCACACTTATGAACCATATCGTCGATACCAACTAGAATGTCACTGTTTCTCAGTTCCTTGGCGCTTTGAGCACCATGGTCTTATATATGAAAGCCCGGACGGACGGAACATGGTCTTAGGAATGAATAGTCCAAAAACTTGTTGAATTTCGAAACTTGACATTTAGTCGCCCTACCTTCCCACATTCCTGTCAGCAGTTTGAAATGGGCGTGAGAGTGGAGTCTCCACTTCTGCCATCCAAGAGCTTCGTGATCCTTTCAAGCACTCCGCGAGCCAACGTCATGCACCAACATTACAACCTGTTGGTTGCAGCCAAGAAGCCAACTCGGACCGCCCTGCCAATATGCTGATTAATGTTGTTGATGACAAAACAGGATTTCACTAACGGAAGCTTCTTGATCCTCTTTCTCGATTTTATAAAGGTGTAATTTTCCAGGTGTCAGCGGACTATAGCGTTCCACTTCCACTCTTCAGTGAACTTCGTTACCTAGCCTGTCAGCAAGGCCACAAGGCACATCTTTCCAACATGAACAACTCAGACCCATCTTCCAAGCCAGTCTTCTTCACTTACCCCGGCCAGGGAGAAGCATTGTCCAACGGGTTCCACTACAGCCAAGCGGTCCGCATTGGAAATCGAATCGAGATATCCGGCCAAGGTACGTCCAGGACTGAGGCCTCTCACTTTGATAGACATGATCTGACACGAGAGCCGTCCCCGGATTCAGGTGGTTGGGACCCAGCCAGCGGAGCCATCCCTTCCTCTCTCACCAAAGAAATCGAGCAGGCATTCTCCAACGTCGAGTTGGCTCTCCAGGCGGCATCTCCCGACCCCAGCAAGAAGATCACCTGGCGCCAGGTGTACTCGGCTCGCTCTTTCAACACGCCGGCCAGCTTGACAGAGGAAGGCCTTGCAGCTACCGCGGCCGCACTCAGGAAGTTCTGTGGACCAGACCATCGGCCTCTTCTCACTGCTGTCGGAACACCACAACTTGCGCTCCCGGGAATGAATATTGAGATCGAGGTTGTGGCTTTGGTGGATCTGAATAACTAAACCATGTGTCGGGCTCAGATAAGGTTCTTACTTGGGGAGGCGAAATAGAAGAGTATACTGTGTGTTTTGAACTGTAGCTTCCAGTCTCCAATGCTCCGGCTACGAAAACAGATGACAGAGGCGGGGGGCCATGCTGTATGACAGCATCCTTGGCTGAGTTGTCAACAAGCAGTGAAGCACTTCCAGGGGGAACAGATAGATTACTTCCCTATGACACGATAATGAGCAAAGGACAGCTGCGGGTGACAACAGCTTTTGTGTAGGTAAGGTAACTTTGCGTTACTGTTCGGAGCAGCTTGACGCACGGTGGAGGTGGCATTTGCGTGCAGTGCCGATCTATGCAGGCCGCGAGGAACAGGTATTGTTGAAAATAGCTGACACAAAAAAGATCGATGAGGAATGGCCAAATGGTCGAACCGGTGGAGTTTAATGTCTTCAGGGGGAGGGGGGAGCTACGAGATGCACTACTTACCCCGCATCATTCAATGTGAAGTGGAGGAGGAGCCGAGGCTCGTCGATGACGATTTCTCCATCTGTTATTTGGCCATCAGCCTTGGGAGCTCTCGGCTGAGACGAGTACCTACCTAGTAGACGAGCGGCTGGAAGAAGTTGGTAAGTTCGGATGAGATGATGACTGGTACATCATGATGATAAAGATGATGATGCTGAATTCTGCTAGGCCTAATCGCCGATGCTATGCTTTGTAATGCAGCTTCGTTTTGAGATCAAAATAGAGTTGGCCGCGGCCCCACAGTCACCCCCCTTCCCCGCAAAAACTCCAAACTGACGGGCTCGGCGGAGTTCGACAACAACCGTCTCCAACTGACTGTTTTGATATCAGGATATCACAATATACTGTGTAGGTATACCACCAAATACTACGAAAATGTCCCCGTGGGCTCCTGCGATACTACCTAGCACCAACAAGAAGTACGACCCCTCACCTCATGCACTTCATCAATCCCGTCAGGTCCCTTTTGCGCCGGGTTATCTCCGCGTCGGCAATGACGGCAAGCTCCAAGCTGCTGTTGCTCGACATGGATGTTCAAGTGCTTTTGTTGGTGGGCCAGTGATTGTGCAACTAATTCCTGCATGGAAAGGCGCAAATCGACTTCAACGCCCCCCTGTCAGTCAAGCTTAATCAAAACCGACCACATGCCCACGCTCTTCATCCCTCTATTTCTTGGCTCCCATCTTCAACTGAGCCGCAGGAGTCCAGCATGAGACTTTGCATGTTCCATCTTCCCTCACCCCCATTTAGACGAAATGGATGAAAAGGCCGCCCGCCAAAGCCGAGAGCAATCGACATCAGCGCCAGCCACGCTCGCCGCCGAACCGCCATCCTCGGGCTCTAGTGCTTCCTCGGTGGGTCACAAGAGGGAAGCAACTTCTTCTCCAGTTGGATTACCTCCTCAAAAGTCATTCGACTCTGGAGATGATGGTCAAAGCCGCGCCATCCATCCCGATATCGACCATGAAGAGGCAGAAGCAGCGGATCCTGGCCATGAGCTTGATGTCGAACTTGGCAGAGTAAGTCCACCTCACCGCCTTGTATTATGGTGTTAACCTTCCCAGGCGCACGGCATAGAAGACATCAGGCGCATCGAAACTCGTGGCAGCGTCAAAAGCAAGGTTTCCCGAGTTTTGAGCGTCGTCAGCCGCCGCAAGGCCAAGGAGCGTGAACGAATCCCCTTTGCCCCCGTACCCGTCACCAATCTTGACCAAGGCATTGTCGGCTGGGAAGGTCAGGATGACCCATTGATGCCGCTCAACTTTCCTAACCGCAAGAAATACCTTATCCTCTGCCTGCTCTCAGCCATCACCCTGTTGACACCCTTCGCATCGTCAATTTTGGCCCCGGGTATCACCTATTTGAACCGAGATTTTGAAAATGACAACGAGATTGTGGGCGCCATGACAGTTAGCGTGTATCTGCTTGGCTATACCGTCGGCCCATTGTTCCTGGCGCCGTTGAGTGAAATATATGGGCGGAGGGTTGTTTTGAGTGCCGCAAACTGGTTCTTTTGCGCCTGGCAGATTGGTTGCGCCTTGGCGCCGACGATTGAGTCACTAATAGTGTTTCGATTCCTCGCTGGCGTGGGTGGTGCTGGATGCTTGGTAAGTCTCGACTTGGGAAAAGACGATGGTCGTGCGCTCGTTGCTGATGACTGACTCTTCCCAGACACTCGGGGCAGGCATCATTGCCGACATGTTCAGGACAGATGAAAGAGGATTCGCAATAGGCATTGTAACCTTGGGGCCTTTGATCGGTTGGTGCACGCATTTGGGGTAACGTGGATAGCAACAGGGTTTGGCTAACTTTGTCTCCAGGCCCAACTGTTGGCCCCGTCATTGGTGGCTTCGTATCTCAAACTATCGGGTGGCGCTGGGATTTCTGGATCGTGCTGATCATATCCGTCGTGGTATGCGGGCTTACAGAGCTCTTCAACCAGGAAACGAACCCTCGCGTTTTGATTGAGCGGAAGGTGAAGCGGCTCGCCTCGGAGTCGGGCCGGAAAGATCTGAGGAGCTGTTTCGAGACCGGAGAGCAGATGAGCCAGAAGCGTATTCTTCTCAATGGTCTTGTGCGGCCGACCAAGATGCTCTTCCTGTCACCGCTCGTCTTTTTCGTCTCCATTTACATCGCCTTCACCTATGGTACGCTGTATCTGCTCTTCACCACTATTCCCCTCGTGTTCCAGGAGACTTATGGCTGGAGCATCGGCATAACGGGCCTCATCTACATTTGTCTGGGCATTGGAAACATGTGCGGGTGGGCGGTTGTCACGGCCACCTCAGACAAGGGTGTTGTTCGGCGTACCAAGCAGAACAACGGGGTGTTCGAACCAGAGATGCGTCTTTCGCTGAGTATATGGGCCAGCACGTTGCTGCCCATCACCTTCTTCTGGTACGGCTGGACGACACACTATCACACGCACTGGATCGTGCCAGTTATTGCCCTGTTCCCTTTTTCGTTTGGAATCATTGGAATCTTCATCCCTCTGACGACATACCTCATCGACTGTTATCCAATATACGCTGCATCAGCTATAGCAGCCAACACGGTCGCCCGCAGCTTGGCCGGGATGTTGCTTCCACTTGCCGGGCCGTCCATGTACGAGAATCTTGGATTGGGTTGGGGCAATTCGTTACTTGGGTTCATCTGCATTCTCATGATTCCCGTACCGCTATTGCTCGGCAGGTATGGGGCAAGGTTGAGAAAGATGGGCCTCCAGTTGTAGACCAGGAATTTTGGGTAACGATATCACTTCGGGCGCGGTTCCGCCAAGTTGGCAGATGGCTTCAGCGGTGTTGGGTTGCACTGTTATACATGCCCGTGTTGCATCTCGAGGAGTTTAGGTTACCGGTAGGTTGTTGACATGGCGAGATTTTGTTTTTCTTTTTCGAATCGTAGCTAGCTAGGTAGACATTTGACTTTGAAGGTTTAAAGTTTGTTGGGCCATTTCTCTCAAATTTTCAAGTCAACATATCATGGGGCCCCGAGACAGACAGTCACCACAGCAGCATACCTGTTGTTTGTTAGGAGCCATACCCATTCTTTTAATCGGTGGCACAGAAGCATCAATACTTACCCGGCAATGGCAGCGGCAATCTCAAATGTTCTCGCTTTGGTCATAGCGGTAACAAGGAGAACAAAACCGGAAATCGAACCGCAAACAACTGCGAGGCGACCCTCTTACATTTCCTGCCGCTTGACAAGATCTGGACCATGATAAAGCGTGCTCCCTGCGATCGAAGCCATGTTTAGCTCAGAATTCTTCGTCCCGTCAAACTGGGTGCAAAGCATCGCGATGGGCTTGACAATCATCGACCACCCACGGACCAGAGTCGTCAAAGGCGATGAGGTTGGACCTCGAACCGCCGAGACTTTTCCGGGATATGATGATGACGACGAGCATGAAGCGGTCGAGACTGTGTTGAGCGGGACACACTCTTCCTTGACATAAAGACCAACAGCGACACGACCAAAGCATCAAGCACGACAAGCTCAAGCGCATCAATGCTCCTCCCACCTGCACGATCTTTTGAAGTGCAACGAGATCAACCTGGAAGGTGGGCACCTTATTTGTTCTGAGCAAGGCCGGATCAGAAAACCTTATGCTGACATGATTTCAAACAGAAGACTTGACAGCATGAAAAAGTTGAGTAGCTGATAGACATGGACAAGAATCAACCATGTTCTGCTGGCAGATATACTTTCCATGCGTTGAGCACTGAAGATGAGTCGATCACGGATCAACGGAGACGGAGCGGGCCGTGGACCGGCTACTGGCTGTTGCGTACAGGGGTCCATTACCGACAGCTTAGTGGCCTCCAGGGTCATGAGGGTCAGCAGATGCAAGGATGGCCCGACACAACGGCCAATAACACACGGCAAAAGGAAAAATACATTCTCCATGCAACCATCACAGCTGCATTGTGGGTGAATTGGGACGTCCCGGGAGATGGTTTGATGCCTTTTGGCATTTTATCCCGGGTGGGGATTGCAACTGCAGTGCGCCATTTCCCGGAGACATGGCACTAGGTGGAGTGCCCTGAACCCAGACATCGTGGAGGCATAAGTAAACAATTTAACCTCACTTTGGACTGTCAGATGCATCTCAGCTTTGCTACCCCAACTCCCTTTTGATACCCCAAAACTTGCTGCCGGCCATCCACAAAGCCTCAGTACCTACCTACTCCAGGCCGTCGACACCATCTTACAAACACTACACCTTACGGCACTTATCGACACCGTCAACATCGAAAAACACTGCCAACGATCAACATGTTTCGCACGAGCCTTTCAAGAACCGCTACCCGTGCAGTACGCACATTGTCTACCTCCGCCACCAAATCATCCTCCATCCCTCTCCGCATCTGCGGGCGTGGGACAGGCACCCAGCAGACCATCACCATCAAAGACAAGCCATACAGCATTCAAACCGATACATACCCCGTTCTCGGTGGCGCCGACTCGGCCCCATCACCAGTTGCCTACAGCCTTGCCTCTCTTACCTCCTGCAACCAAGTAACGGGTGCCAAGGTAGCTGAGGACCACGGCATTAAGCTTGGCCAGTGGAACGTCAGACTCGACGCCGTGCTTCCCACGGACGTACTTATCAAGGGCAAGTGCGAGGGTAACCCCAACTGGGAGAGTGTGAAACTCTTCGTCAGAGTCCAGACCAACATTCTAGAGTCTGTAAAGGGAGACAACTTGGAGGCTGATGCGAGGTTTCGTCATTTTGTCAGGGAGGTGGAGAGAAGGTGCCCAATTACACAGCTCTTCAAGAGAAGTGGTGTGCAGTATGAGAGTGAGTGGCTGAACGAAGCTCTTTAAAGAGGTTGGCATGGAAGATTGTTGGTGGACATTGTACATATATACCCTCGAAGGCAGGGCGGGCTAGGCATTTGTTGGGTTTATTGAGCGGGTCTTGTATCTGGTAGTTTCCTTTCTTGATTTACAGGTATCTCGGCGTTACGAAATCCAATAGCATTTGTTCGCAATATCAAGGGAAAGACATGGACAAAAATCCTTTACATGCACTAGAGCTGATGATCTTTACTGTTCCTACACAGAAAATCAGCTTACGTTACGTCGCCAAGATGCTGTCACACACATTAGACCCTCCGGACATAACGGATTTGGAGTGGTCAGGAAATCCTGCTGCTCAGTGATCAAGGATTGGGCGCGAGGAACCAACCTGCATTCAAATGCAACTAAGTTGGCAATAGTCGCACTTGTGTTTACAGCCGGAACCTACTGAAATCCCAACACTCCCGTCACACTCCTGGGTAGGTATCAGCAATCCTCCACAACTAGAGACGGTCAACAACGATGACGGAACTACAGAACTCGATCATTCAACTTCGCCCGAAGGGGTGGGAAGCAGATCCAGAGCACGAATATTTCAATCTGTCCACACTAGACTACTGCGTTGGACAGGTGTATACCAACTACGCCTTGTTCTTCAAGCTTTCTCCCAACGCGGACAAGTCGAGGATCATATCTACGATCAAAGATGGATTGGAAGTCACCCTGTCCCAGTGCCGTCAGCTGTGTGGCACTCTGCAGGAGCAACCCTCTGGAGGTGGCGACCTTTGTTTTCACAAGACCAGAGACAGCACGGTCGAATTTCACGTTCAGTTTCTCGACACCGCCGAATCGAAGCCCGAAGGAGAGTATCAGACGTTCGGATCACTGGAAGCACAGCATTTCGCCTCAAGAGCGCTGGGAAACATGAAAACCTGGTGTGTTTCGCCTATGACATATGGCGAGAAGCCCGAAGCACAACCATCCAGCCATCCTAAATGTGCCGCCTTCAAAATCACTTTCATCCCAGGGGGCTTCCTGCTCATGATGCACCATCATCACTACGCCAACGACATCATGGGTTGGGCGGGAGAGTTGCACCAACTGGCCGAGAACTGTGCCACCATTTGGGACAACCCTAGCGCCCCGGCTTTGCCTCCTTGGGATCCATCCTGCCTCGACCTGTCCAGAATTACTGCGCCGAACGTACCCGAAGACAAGAAGATTGATGGCCCAGCCTCACCCCTCCGCCATCCTGATCACAAAAAGGCTCAATGGCTGCTGTTCCATCTGTCCAAGACCAAAACTGCCGCTTTGAAGCAACTCGCCAGTCCGAAAGATGGCAGCTATTACGTGTCCAGCTATGATGCCTACAATGCTCTCATATGGAGACTCCTGACTAAACACCGCCTCGCACTCTTCGCCGATGATGTTCCCTCTAATACCCCCATGGTATGGGGAGAAGCAGTTGACATGCGTCGCCGCTTCACCAACCCACCTATCGCGCCCCGCACTCAGGGCAACGTTGTCTACGTGGCTCTTAGCAGCCAGTCACCACCCGAGCTCAAGCCTTTGGCTGCTTCTGAGGTCGCCTCAGACGCATCATTGGAGAAGCTGGCGTGGTACATCCGTCAGTTGACAAACTCTGTCACCCAAGAGTCTCTTGCTGCTGCATTGAATGGCATCGCGCCCATCCGGGACAAGACGGCCCTGTTTCTCCGTGTGGACTCACTCCCACCGCTGAGTATCTTCGTCACAGAATGGCGAGACACTCGTCCTTGTGATGCAGACTTTGGTTTCGGCAAGCCGCATGCATTCAGGTTCCCGTTTGACACAATCACCAATGGCCTGGTTGTGGTCTACCCGGTCCGAGGGAATGGGCCTTGCGGGGATGATGAAGGGAATGAGTTCAGCATTGCGGTCGAGATGGGAATAAAGGACAGCCTACTGGCAGATGAGGAATGGAACAGCTGGTTTGACTTTAGAGGAGTAGATGCTGATGATATGCAGAGGGACTGATGTCAAGGTAACGCGCACGGGCCACATTCTTTACCCCTGAATGCCCCCGATTTTCACAAACACGGGTGTTTCTTTGTTCACGTTGCAAGGAAACAAATTAGCTGTGAATACATACTATGAATCGCTTTTGACCAAAACCAACCCGCAATTTAAGCATCTTCGAGATGTAAATGGAGCATATCTTTTCCGGATCATGCTTTCCGTCGCCGGCCCGCCGGCTGATTGACCATTCCCCCTGAGTGACCCTTCACGCGCGTGCTCAACTGTATGTTTTGCAATAACACCTTACTCACTAGCCCTTCTTCCACCAAGATGTAAGACGCCCTTTATACCGTCCCATACCGCGGAATGAGATGTGTCGCTAGAGCTTGAGCTTGCGCTCCACATGCTACTTCGCCGTCTCTCGGTGCTTTCTGAGGATGTGCCCATAGAGGAAGCCACTATCCTGGCTTCTGTATAAGACCCTGCATATTTGTCAGTATTGAATGATGGAACTGGATGGGATAGTTTTAACGAGCATGGGATATCATACGGATATTTCCTGCGCCTCCCCTACCAAAAGACCGCCGACGTTCCCGAGGTTCTTGACTCGAGTGCCCGATGAAATGCATCCTGTGGAATGTGTGTCGCTTCAAAGTTGGCTTGCAGCATATCATGCGCATCGGTAGGCATTCTTGGGCTTTATAATTCTTGGCTTTCAGAATGACTGACTTCATAGGAGCACACGAACGAGCCCGAGCACTTTTGATAAGGTCCGACATTGCCATTGGCCCCCCGAGATATTTGTGGTCATTACTGTCCATCACTGATGTCGATCTCTGGCGGAGATAACCGTGTCTTAGTCGCAGTGTGGGGTGGCACTGTCTGGGAAGCCAAAGTGACGTACACAAAAACCCAATGCCCGTTAAATCCGTTCGCGGTTACACTTAGTTGATATTCGTCAAATTTGAACATTCAAGGTTGCGATTGCGATCTTGGTGTTCGGGGCTTCCAATTCTTCAAAGTGAGGTAATTGCAGCGTAGCATTTCTTTGGTGTATTTAACTAGCAGTGTACATCTCTCATCACCAGTCTTGAACTTCACGGGCAGTATATACCCGACTTCTGAACTTATCCGAGAATCATACCTTGAAGGAGCTGACCTCAATAGAGATACCTATTGCCCCTGCCATCCTGGTTGGCTTCAGGTACCGCAACCTGCATCCAGGGTTTATCCATGGGTCAACTCCATGCACCAAAAGACCCTGAGCTCCACATCACAAAGGGAAGAAAAAAAGGAGAAAGGAAAAAAGAACAAAACTATGATGAGAGGGGCGAGATTCGAACTCGCGCCCCTTTCGAGACTACGGAATTCTGAAGGGAATTTGGATCAAGGTATTCACCTTAACGTAGCGCCTTAGACCGCTCGGCCACCCTCCCACTTTTGATGGTATTCCCCGACAGAAATCCGGACCCTAGAACACCTCTGCACCTTTGAACATGGCAATGTTCAGACTCTCTTTGTCAGCCTAACTTCGAGTCCCTCCTGCCTGACAAAAAAGCTGTTGATGACTTTCCACTCCTTCGCCCCGTCAGCTGGCTCAACGTTGTAAAGCAACGCTAATGTTGCGAGGCCTTTATAGATTTGCATCAGCGCCAAATTCTTTCCAAGACACATTCTGCTCCCAGCACCGAAAGTCAAGTCTGCGCTGTTCATCATCTGCAGCCTTTCTTGGTATCTGGTCTCATTCTCTCCGCCAGCCCTCAGCCACCTTTCAGGCTTGAACTCGTCCACATTTTCACCCCAGATTTGCTTGTTCCGAGAAAGGACATAAGGGTTCATGGCCACTGCTGTACCTTCTGGCAGGTAGTGCCCCGAAGGCAATGTGAAACCTCCTTTGGGAACATGTCTTTCCAATCCTAGCGCAATGCCCGGCAAAATTCTCATGCTCTCCCTTACCAACCCCTCCAGGTATGGCACACTCCTAGCATCTCTGTAACTGACTGGGCACTTTTCTCTGTTGATTCCAGCTTTCTCTAGTTCTTCTCTCAACTTTTTCCACCTCCCTTCTGCCATCATCGAGTAGTAGATAGCAGTCTTGATGATACTCGAGGTGGTGTCTGCCCCTGCAATCATGTTGCTCAGAGTATATCTGACGACCATGGCGTCATCCACCACCTCTGGCCACTTTTGACGTGCTTCGAGAAACATATCCAGATAGTCTGCATCTCTGCTCTTCTGCTCTGTGCCTTGATCTTCCTGGAATCGCTTCATGATATGCCCTACACTCAGTCCGACGATGTGATTGAAGCTCGGCGGTCCGATTCTCATGATTCTGTTCTTGTCAAAGACGTAATCAAGCCAAGGGATTGATGTTATGAAAGCAAAGTAGTCGAGCGTTTTATCTGCTGTCAAAAGCGTCCCGTCAAAGTCTTTGCCCTCGCGCAAGTACCCGAGCGGTTGGGAAAATGTGACGTTCCCGATGACGTCCCAAGTGTCTATCTTTGGGTCAGATACAAAGTTCATTTCACGCGGCATGTTCAGGGGCTATTAGCTTAGCAAGGACTTACAGTAGACGATCCACTTCCCCAGATCAACCCCCCCTTGCCCATCATTGCCACTGACCCTTTTGTCCAACTCCTGACATAGCATATCGACCACTTCATCCATCTTGCTTTCTACTCTGGCCACCGCGGCGGCGGAGTAATACTTGGCCACTGGTCTCTTCCACTTGGCATGCAACTCTGGATCAATTTGACTGAACAGGTTGTACATGATCTCCCCCGTTTCCTTGACTCGCGTGCTGCTAGAGAGGTAGAACCCTGTCTTTTTCCACTCGGCTTTTTGTTTTGTAGTCGTCCCAAAGACAACTTTGATCGGCTCGGGGTAGTCAATATCGACGGTGTTGGGGCCAATTCGAACGACGGGACCGTATGTTTTGTGCAATCGAGTGATGTGGAGATGGAAAGACCCGCGGGTGGTATGGTAGAGGCGGTAGAGGTTAGTATAGCCTGTTATCTCACTTGTCGGTACGACTTTCAGGAGGACAAGACGATCTAGAGCAACAGGGGTAGGACTAGGACTTACGGGCCAGAAATGGACCAGGAATTGATCGGAGAGGTGATAGGAGATGCGGAACAACAAAGTATCCCAACAGTGTGAGGACCAGAGTGGCTATGACCAGCAAGTTTGCGGTCAGAGAGACAGAGGTGCCATTGATGGACGTGGAAACCATAAAAGTCCAGTCATCAAGACCACGGACCGTCATTTTGGATGACATTGGCTTCGACGGGACGTTCTTGGAGACTGGGTTTTGCTTGGGAAGGTTTGGTTTGGCCACAAAGTCCCTTACTGGGTCAAAAGGTTCTAGTAACTTTTTTTCAAGATCCCATTACCCACAGCTCCTCATAAGAGCAGCCTGAAACACCCACCTAGTAGGGACCGCATACCACCTTATCAAATGCCGGTCTACCTTTATCCTGTCTGACCACCACGTTAATGTTACACCAGTGGTTTTATCTACCACAATTCAGGTTACACAACAGCATTTCAACTACCAACATGTCAACGTGCAGAGAATTGACGCTCGTGCATTGCATCGATCATCCAGTCAACATGGCTTGGCAACCAGTCCCAGCCCTTGCAGGCTGCCTCGGCGTCAATAGTCGATGCAGGTTGCTGGAGACAGCCCACGCTGAATGTGTCTAATTCTTGGCAGATATCAGTCCATACCTGTCTCGCCATGACAAGGTTTCACGCAAAGTTGACTGTCTCGCCATGACAAGGTTTCACGCAAAGTTGACTGTTCCCCGCATTGATTACCACACTGGATTAGAGGGAGACAGGGTTCTTAAATCTTGTCAATAAACCAGTATATTGATTGTTATATCCTACTCCATATGTACATTTCTCCTTCCAATGTGCGCAATTCAAGTTCCAGATAACAAGGTGAGCTCCACTCCAGCCTCAATGTGCGCCTAGCTTCGGTGTCGTAGCCATGTGTGAGGGTCTGGCAAGTGACTGCCATTTTACTTCATGTTCAACAGCAGGTATCTAAGACCGGCCCAGGTCTCGACACCGCTGGGAACGATCTGGCTAGCAGGGAGAACGAAGCCGTTGGCACCAGTGTCACGAAGCTCGGCGGTGAATGTGTACTCAGAGCCGCCCACATCGTTGGCCCAGTCGACACTGCTACCGGTGGCCTTGTAGATGGTGCTGCAGATAGGTCCGGAGGTAAACCTGGTGCCGTAAACGGCCTGGATAGCCGAGGCAGCGCCAGCAGCAAGGGACACAAGCTCGGTATGCTTAGCAGCTCTGGCAGTGCAGGAGTATCCGTAAGCTGAGTAAGAAGTTGTTAGCTTCGATTGACACTGTGATTCCATCAAGAAGGGCAGGACGTACGGGTCATGAACAGCTGAGAGTAAGCATGCCAGTCAATGAAGAGCTTCAAGCCCTGGCTGGACTTGACGCTGCGGATGAAGTTGGCCAGGTTGGTAGTCTCGGGGGCATCAGAGGCGGCTCTTCCCTTGTAGTCCTCGGCGCAGGGGTTAGTGGAAGCACCGCCAGTAACGGACCACTGGAAGTTCCAGTTACGGTTGATGTCACGGCCAATGCAAGTGCTGCCAGTGTTGGATTGACGGTTCTTGCGCCACAGACGAGTGTTGGTCTGGGTGAAGACGAAGCCGTCAGGGTTAACAACGGGGAAGACGTAGAAGTCGTACTTGTCGACGAAGCTCTTGATCTCGGCGTCGGTGTCGTACTTGGTCAGGAGGTTGAAGGCCAGGTACTCGTTGACCATGGTGGTGATCCACTCGCGCGCGTGGACGGTGCTGTGGAAGATGACAGCAGGCTTTTTGCCCTTCCCGGAGCTTCCCCAGAAGTGAATACCTGTGATAGGTCTTCCCTCGTTGGAGTTGCCCGACGTGACGATGGCCGAGCGGGTTGGGTAGGTGGCCTGGAGATCCCGCAGGAACTGGAGATGGTCGTTGTACGAATGGTATGAGTTGAACCACGTAGCGTTGGCAGAACCAACTGGGGGTTGATGTTAGTACAAGATACAACTCTTCAAGGGTGGTACAAAGATGGCGTACCTGCATATGCAGAGAAGTTGGACTCCTCCTCAATAGAAGCAGCCAAGTCCTCGTGCATGGTAGTGACCTCCATGCCGGCGACAGCCGCCTCGAACTCGGCCACTTTGGATGGTGGGACAACAATATCGGCGAGAGCGCCAGGGGCCTTGGGTGCCTTCCATGTCTCGAGCTCTAGCTGCTCGATGATCTTGGAGACCTTGTTGACCTGGTTCTTGACAGCGACACGGAAGACTTTGTATCCATCGTAGGCGGTGACAGCGGGTCTGACCTGGCGTTCGGGGACAGCAGCCGCCGAGGCGAGGGCCAGGAGAGTGGAAAAAGCGAAAACCGACTTCATCTTGAAGAGCTGGGAACTTGCGTCTTGACCGTGGAGTTCCTGGAGAAGCTCTTTTCCTCGAGCGACTCCGGTGAGACCTGGCTGCTTTATAGCTTCCTGGAATGACCGTGGGTTGGAGGTAGTACACATGAGTGGTTACCTGCCTGTGGCATGGGATGAACACACCTAGGAGGAGTAGCACTGCCTCGGGTGGACATGACCAACGACGTGACCATGGGCCAGATAACCTTCCCTTTTCGGCCGAATAGCGATGCGGAGGGGGGCCAAGTCTGGATGTTTGTCACCTTCCCGGGATGACGCACGATGCAACAGTCTGGGGTTGCAAAAGCCGATCCCGCATTATACCCGCTTGCCCCTAGCCAATGTGCTTTTAACAATCAGCTCGGCATTGTGCTGGGCGATCTCGCTCCGCCTGCGACCAGGGGCTTTGGCCAGATGCCGAACCAGGATTGTCGCCCCGAGGCCGACAAGACCACCTTCCGCAACTGGGTCAGCTTCGCGCCTATGCTTCATTGCCTTGTTCTAGAACAATGCATATGATCTTGTGAGAATGTTATACAGCCAAAGCGCCTGGGGCGAGGCAATGACACTATTGGCGGTGTGCGCGTACCGACAGGTTCGTCCTACCGCTGAGCTGTTTATTTGCTATTGATAATCTTGATTGGGAAAGTCATTAAGCCATATCAAAACCGTTATCTTGGCCCCTGCCCACTCGCAACAACCAACACCAAACGTGGGGATGTGGGGGTGGCTACAATCATAATACACAATCGGCTGGAGTCAAAAAAGCTTCGCTGTTGCTCCCCGCCCCCCCCCTTCCCCCCCCGGACCTGCAGTCAATGAACAAAGCTTGGCTTTACAACTGGTCCAGCCCTGTTTAGATTTCCATGCTTTGCCCCTTCTTGGCGCACATCCCTCCCGCTTCTTCTGCATCTGCCGAGCACTGAGTTTGACTGTTTAAAGAGGATTCAGCCAACGATCAGACTTCCACCCCTGCTCACCGACGTTGTCCAGGTCGAAGGTACGGTCCTCGTCTACCGTCATTTGACTGTATGAGCTCATGCAAATCCTGCATCAGTTCTGTCGCAGTATCTAGCTGACAGTTAGCAAGCTCGGCGAACTCAGCGGGGGTGGAAAGAGTTAGGAGGTTTGTGGAGTGGGTGTGATTCATCTTGTTGTTGTGGTTGTTGTGGTTGTTGTTGCTGCTGTTGCTGGTGGTGGTGGTGATGGCGGTGGTGCCGTTACTGCTATTGCCAGACATCTTTTCTGGGGAGGGTTGAAGGTTGAAGGTAGAGGTAGGTATGGTAAGAGGAAGAAAGTCTTGGTCGGCGATTGAGTTGTTATAAAGGTGTGATGGAGAGAATGATGATGAGACAGTGAGAGAATTCCAGGTATATATCTATTTAGCAGTAAGACAGTAGTGGTACGCGCTCCTTATATAGTCGCAGCAGGAAAAAAATGAAACAACACGTTCCACATTATCTCTCTAAGAACGCAGGCCTTGTTCATGAAAGGCTTTCCTTATTCAACAAACAACCTCTTTCGTATGGAAAATAATTCTGATTTCCAGAAACCTACAGAGGCTTTGAAGATTCTTAAAGTTCAGTGGTTCACCATAGAATGAGGTACACATTTGTGGAGCATGACGATCTGGCCTTTTGTCACAGAGGGAGTGTTCGAGCACTCACTCATACCTAGGCAGCGACCCACAAGAACAATTATACACTGTCAAAGTGACCGGAGACGTTTTGTTGTACCATCATTACCTTAGGCAGCATTCAGTTACGATGCCATTCAAAAAGAGGGAAATAGCTCCACAGTGATGACTCATGGGACGCTGAGGTATTAGTTGTTTCAAGTTCCTGAATTGAATCGAAGCTTCTAAAGCTTGAGATTGGAATGGCTGCCTAGAGGTACCTTAAGCCAAGAAGCTTCCAATATAGTCTCTTTTGCCAACTGGAACGCCTTTGCTCCTGAGAATGGCATACGCCGTGTTGAGATGGAAGAAGAAGTTGGGGATTCCCTGGTTGAGGACTGAGTCTCTGCTGACAATCTTGATGGTTGTTGGCCCCAAAGCACTATGTTTTTCAAAATCAGCAATGTGTCCTTTGTTACAAGCTCCTCCACGATGGGTCGGGTTGACTCACAGATCGACAGTTTCATCGGCTTTGGCGTCAATAGCAGCAGCATCGGCCTCCTTGATAACCTGCCTCGCCTTCTCAATGCGGGCATACAAATCGGCAAATGTCTTCTCTCCATCTTCCCAAGGCTCATCAGCCTTCCCTTGGGAGCGGGTGAGGGTTTTGCGGACAGTGTTGGTAACATTCTGAACTTGAAAGGTCAGGGGGAGCATGTCATCGATGAGCCTGGCATTGATGTACTCGGCATTGGCGTCGAGGCCCTGTGATGCAGCATATTCTTCGGCCTTTTGGAGAATATGAACAAGTGTGGAGAGACCCTTGGAAAAGGTAGAAATAGTAACGGAAGAGAGAGTGAGAGACATGTTGGCGGTTTGTGCACTGCTCGTGACGAGGAAGAAAAGATGATGATAAGGTAAGTTGAGTGGTAGTGTATATGGCAATCTGCGCTGAGGGTAGAGGAATGGTATGAGAAGTTTTCAGAGCTTTTGACAGAGGAAACAAAGACGTGTTTATACTTCTGGTTAGGTTCTTCTCGCTCTCTCAGGTCGCACAACCAGGGCCCTGCATCACCTCGCATTATTAATGTATTCCACCCAATGGTGTGCTTTTAGTTTCTGCAGCGGGATGTGTCAACTGGAATTACAAATCCACGTTACGTGTGGCTCGTCAACAATTATTCAGCTCGACTTTAGCAGCTGCTGTCCAGGGAACGTAACAATCACCTCGATGCCAGTGCTTGGCTGTCCGTCATCGGACCAACTATCAGAGCTTGGAAGACGCCAGAAGAACCGAGACTCCATGCTGCCAGTTGAAATGCACCGAATAGGATGAGAGGCGGGTTCCTTGCAGGTTGTTGTGGTGTAGCTGGTGTTGCAATTGATACCAAAAGGATGTCGTGATGTGGGGTACAGCATTTGCAACACAATGGCGGGTTATGGCCGCCGAGCCGGAACCGGGGTTTGCCGGCATTATCGCCGAACCACACAATTATTTTCGGTATGGTCAAAATATCACGAATTCCGCAGCCGGCATGTCGTCATGTCACAGATCATGTACTCCCAATACTGAAAATGAACCTTGTATGATTTTTGAACTACTTAGGTACTACATCGTAACCGCTCTTTGCACTGTAGATTGTGATCCTTCTCCATCTGCGCACCAAATGGCCTCAGTTCGGCATGTATGGGCCAAGATTCTTGTAGAAGGCGCATCTGTCCCCACGGTAAGCCTCCCAAGTGTTGGCATTCTGAACTGAAATGGCATTCTTGATGCCCGGACCCTCATACTGGGGATAGGGCCCCACCAACGGAAGCTCAACAGTGGCGAGAGTCCCGCCGGTTGTGTTGAAGTTGACAAACTGGGGCGCGTTCTGGTTCCAGACAGGCCAGTTGGATGCGGGGTGGTATGCGCTAGGAGACGCAGAGGAGGCTCCGTTCGCAATCGTGTTGGCGATGGATGGGTTTCCACCGACGATAAAGTTGCCCCAGGCCTTGCGGAACGCGAGGGTAATGTCGCTGGGGAGGCTGGGGGTGCTGGGTCCAAAGGCTGCGTTGATATCGGCTCCGTGGTAGGCAAAAGGAACAGAGAACTGATACAGCCAGGAAGACTTGCCCGGGTTGCCCGAGTAAGCATCGGCGAGCCAGTACGCAGGGCATGCAAAGGTGGCCTCGGCGTAGATATTGTTGCCTCTCTGCTTCTGGCCGACGCCGTCGGGGCTGGTGTTGATGGCGTTGAAGCCGCCGGTGTTGAGACCATCAGTCTCAAACCTGGGACCGGAAGCAGAGCTCAGCGCCGAGTTGGGATTGATGGCCAGGATGCTGTTCAGCTGGGCCGAAGAGAGGTTGGGGAACCAGAGAGCCATCCAGGCGAGGAGGTCGGCCTGAGTCTCGATCGCATCGGGCCCAGGCACAAAGAGGGGTCCCTCATGAGCGTTGTAACCCACGAGGAGCTTGTTGCCGTTGACCCTCTTGGCGGTGAGCTGTGCAGTGGGACGGTTCTTGATGTACACGCCATCAGTCACAGGCCAGAAGCCCCAACTTCCCTGGGTTGACGACGCAGTGACTGAAAGCGAAGCAAGCTCGAGGTCGGCAGCGCTCTTGCTAAGCAGGCAAGAAAAGACGCTGCCGGAGGAAGGGCAGCCGGCAGCGGCGGAGAAGGCATAATATCTGCTGGTAGGGATAGCATCGTTGAAGTTGGGCTGGTAAGGCAGGTAGGGAGACTGAGCAAGTCCCTTGTCGAACAAAAGAGAGCCGAGGTCACCGTTGACAGCCAATGCGTGGTGCATAACGGAGCCAGCACCGGCGGACTGCCCAGCGATAGTGACCTTGGAAGGATCACCACCAAATTTGCAGATGTGGAGCTTGACCCAGGCCAAAGCAAGAGCCTGGTCAAGATGACCGGCATTGACAACACCATTGTCCTTGACCTCCTGGGAGGACAGGTAACCAAAGGCACCAAGCTTTTTGAGCATGTATGTCAGTAACCACTTTTCCAAAGTACAAAGCACGATGTTGTACGAGGGGATGCACAACTTACACGATAGTTGATAGAAACACCAATGAAAGTCTTCCCATTGTCGTTGATAAGCTGGGTCAGATCTTGCGAACTATCACCATACCCATAGCCTCCGCCGTGGATCCAAACCACGACTGGAAGCTTGGTGGCATTGGCAGGGGCGACGACATTGAGGAAGAGGCAATCTTCGCTACCAGGGGGCCCAGGGAAAGAGCCAAATGCTGTACGCGGAGTGTGTTGATAGCATGTGTTGCCAAAGGCGTCGGCATCAGTGACTGGCGCAGATGGGGCCAGAGCAGGGAAACGGGGAGGCTGCCATCTCAGACTTCCCGTGGGAGCCTGCGAGTATCGGATGCTAAGGTATTCTTGTCAGCAGAGAGGTCAGGAAAGAGGAATTTGCTATGTCTCGAACTTACCCCTTCCAGTGATTCAGAGCAGATGCCGAGTCGTAGTAGCCCCTGTACTTGGCATAGCCAGTGTCCACGACCAAGGTCGATTCTTGAGCGCACTGGGGCGCACGGATTTGATGATCGTTGTAGGCTGCAGTCAGTTCGGCAACAAGATTATCCACAAACTCGGTGGCGGCATCTGTAGTGCGTGCGACGACTTTGGAGCTGGGCAAGGCAGAAGAAAGCGAGGAGCCTGCGAGGAGCAGGCCCATCCACTGTTTGATGGCCATCGTGACTAGGGATGACGATGTTGGCAAGATGGTCCTGGTTGCCAAAGTGAAAGCAGAAGAGAGGAGGCCATTGTGACTTTAAATATCAGAAATGCCATGGCCCTCTGCCTGCCAGCCGGAACTATGGTGTCCCAAGCAAGTTCACAATGACAGCGGATAAACTGGGGTGAAGTCAAAAAAAAGTTAGCGGATACTACGCTGTATACCCAGCTCCATCGCTAAGGCGTAGCGTACCCCATCATATTCCAGGCAGTCGCTTTTCTCTGCCATCTTATGGGCGCGGAGTTTTGTAGAGGGCTGTTTTGGCAGCGACGGCTCCATTTGTACAGCCTCCCAAGACCATAGCTGTCAATAAAGTCATGACGGTGTGGTTTCCGTGACAGAAAACACGTGCGGCAAATCGGGCAGCTTTCCCGGTCGCGGGATGGTGCGGGATGCTATTGGTCGTCCGCGAGTGTTCTGTGTCTCCAGCGGTGACGGCAGTGGATGGGTTCTCTTCCCCCTGCCTTAGTAAGGAATCAAATGTTGCCTGATTGATGGGCGGTTGAAGAATGTCTTGGTAGGCAACGTGCTATGTGGAAAAGTATTATACAATATGCATGGACTGTTGGCAAGACACGGCACGGAATCAATCGACCGACCACTGGACCACCCAGGCGGGACCAATGCTGGCACCCTATGGCATGGTTTTTGTTGTTGGGAGCCGGGTTGCATTGCAGAATGCAGACCCTTCTCTTGAGATGGGTTCCAGACAGAAGAAGGTTGTTTCCCTTCCACCGAAATTGAGCCACATCAGGACTTGAAATTCTCTAGCGCAATTGTGAACGGGTCCTCGGTGTTTTCATTCGCGATATGTGCAGAGGGGCAAGATGTCAAAGCGAACCCCAGATCCACCGCATCTCCGCATTCTAACGGGAATCGGATAGGCGCAACACGGCAGCGCTCACCATGCCAAGGTCCGGGGACCAACCTCAACCTCGCGTGAGCTGCCTGATTCGGCTTGAGAAGCCCGCAGAAGACCAACAAAAGTGATCAAGCTCCAGTCAAGCACCATTTGACCCGCTCGTACAAGGTGGTGTATCGTGTGTTTAGGTTTGCGAAGGGGGTCCTCAGGTAGGTATTGTCTTTGATCGGTAGGTAGGTAGGTAGGTGGGTGGGTAAGCACATCGTTGACCGAAGAATTGGAGACTCCTACATCACTGGCGGACCTCAAGTGTATCAAAAGAGCGGTCGACTTCCTACCTATCTTCAATCGCCTTCATGAAATTTAAGGTCTTTCAAGACCCAAGGTCCACCTCGAAAGGGCCTTGACTACCAAGCTCATGGTTCCAACCACAAACGTGTTGGACAAAATCGTGACATGATTAGAACACCACACCCATGCCTATAGCCCGAGCTTGCCCATAATCTCACGTGTCATTCCTTGAAGGTGGGCTTGCGCAATAAAGCCTGCAAAACCTTCGAAGGGCTCAAGCGGTGGTAACCATTTGATCGACGAACAGACCACATCTTGATTTCAGCGCCTGCATACGCCAAGTCAGCCATCTCGTGGTACTGGAACGAAGGTCCCCTCTTCACCTAGCCGCACCGTTAATCCCCCCTCAACTTGGAGCTTGGGCCTCTCTTCCACACACACCCGTTACAGGTTTCCTCTAGGTGGCGATGATCTCGCTGAGGGAAAAGTGGTGATACCCAGTTTGACGTGCGGTTCGTGTTCGTAGGGTCGAACTATGACACATTATTGTTTCTGCGGCACGCTCCATGGCGTCTCTTTGACCTTCATTTTGGGGAGAGCTGCTGCAGCTCACCACACCCAGTACAGGAGCAGATCATCAAAGAGCTTTTCCTGGTGACGGAGACGAAAGCGAGATGGTGGTCTAGACCGAACGCCATCCCCTCAAGTTTCCCAGACATCAAATACCCCACAACTGGCTAATATCCGGTTCCCTCTCGCCATCTGATGGACCCTTTGAGCTCTTAGACTCTCGTTGTATTTTGGAGGCCACCCAAGCCCATCACTGACATTCCCGCCGTGAGACACTATCAGATGTTGACCATCTTCCACCATGACAGACGCAACATCAGCCAGTCCGCCACCACCACCGCTCTCGTCCAACGCCCACGAAGACAAATCCTCCACGGTGATTGGGGCTATCATCTTCTGCCTGGTATGGTCAACTGTAATGGTAGGCATGCGCCTGTGGACGCGGGGCAAGATGATCAAGCAGCTTGGGATCGATGACTACGCCTGCATCCTAGGCTTGGTGAGTACAATGCCCCTTTGCCAAAATCAACCAGTCTTCAAGAATCTAACATGACCACCTCGCCCAGCTCACGACATGTGGCTCAGCCATCGCCATCGGCCACATGACAACCTTTGGCCTGGGAAGGCACATCTCGGTCATGAAACAAAACGATATTCCCCTGTACCTTCGAGACTTTTACGTTTCCATCGTCATGTACTGCTGCGCCCTCCTCTTCCTCAAGCTCACGTTTCTCTTCCAATACTACCGCGTTCTGGCCGTCCAGCATATGCGCATCGTTTATCTCGTCGCCATTTTCATCGTCGGGGGCTGGGCCCTCTCCCAAGTCCTGGTGGGCATCTTCATCTGCACTCCCATCCGCGCGTTTTGGCTCGGGGTGCCCCGATATCGAAGGTGCCACGTGTATTCCAAACATACCTCAATGATACATCAATGCCGCGGGCAATATCGTGACGGATGTGGCTGTCTTTGCGCTGCCTTTGCCGGCTTTGTGGAAGTTGAAGCTGGCCAAAGGTAAGAAGTATGTGCTGATTGGCATTTTCAGCTTGGGCTTCTTGTGAGTCTCTCTTCCGCACCCCCTTTTTTAACCCTTTTCTTTGTGAACCCTGCTCACAAGTCGACCCTCTGAGGCAGCACCGTCATCATCTCCATGATCCAGATCAAGTATCTTCAACTGTACGAAGACTTCCCCTGGGAAACCGTCACGTCCTCCCTCTGGTCCGTTGGCGAGCTGACCTCGGCTATCACTTGCGCCTGCCTGCCTACCCTCCGCCCCTTCTTGGCGACCTACTTCCCCAGATTGGCATCGGCCATTGGTGGTAGCAGGGCTCATCCCACGGGCGCTATGAGTGCCGGCGCTGCTGTTGATGGAACCGGCCGCATCCGAACAGTGGATCCCGAAACGGGCGTTTACTACGTCGGCAGAGGACAGCACTCGCGCGCCCGCAGTGGCGCGAAAAAAGGTGCGGCGGTAACGGTCGAGTACTCTGACGGGACCGGTAGTGAGGTTGAGCTGTCGCCACAGCAGACGAAGGTCAACCCATTCGAGGCACATGTGATCCACAAGTCGGAAAGTCTAGATGGGGTCAGTATTTTCAATAGGGACATTCGATGATCTGATGGGGATCAATGTGGACTTAAGTGTACATACCTGCATCGCTGTACCATATATGAAAGTGCACATCGCACACGGACGAGTCATTTGTATTATACCCCTTCCTCACGAATACAATATTCTTCGAAGCTCAAACTGTTCTGCCCCACGCCGAACCCAGGTTGTGAAACATGCTGCGACTGGTCAAGATCAATTCAAGTGGGACGCGCAATAAACCCAGGAATAACGCCCTACACGATACACACACATTCATCTTTCATTAAAACCCCCAGCAGACATTATCAAACAGATCGTAGCTTCGTCCCAAGTGCGCATACAAAAACTGCTAGAAGTAAAACTGCTGCTGTGGTTGGCCCGGTGGTGGGTGCGCAAGAAAGTCAAAATTCATCGAGTCTACCGGAGTGCCGAACGGATCAGGAGTGTCTGTAGTCAACCTTGAATTAGAACTGGGTTCCACTGTTACGTGCAACATCGTACATGACATACCCCAGAAAATGTGGTCGTACAGGTCCATGGGTGACATGTAGGTGGCAGGGTCAAAATTGGAAACATCGCTCAATTGTTGCTGATTTTGCTGTGGTGGGGGGAACACAAAGGGCATGTTGCTGATCGTTCTGTCAGTAGCTGTCGATGGGAACATATGCATCCTGGTATAGAGAGATACATGCCTGTGTTGCATGTCACCCAATTGTCCTCCGTTCTGCTGCATCTCTGCCATGGCCAAGGCTGCATTTTGATGTGGATCCAAACTAGTGGGCATCCGGGAAATGGAGTCCTGTGGCAGCGGAAGACCATGAATAGGATATCCTGATTGAGTCCCTGGCTGCAGTGGTGTTCGGGTGCCAGAGCCCGCGCCAGAGTTCACACCGCTCTCCTTCATGGGGCCGGGGCCGATTACGGATCCATGATCGTAGATATTCTTGAGTGCCATCAGAGCACGGGACAGGGGACCCGAAAGTTCAATATCGTGGTCAGACCGATGGATGTGCGGTTGGGGGGACGTTTGCTCCTTGGCTGCTGTTGCCGAAAGCGCCGATATCAGGTCCCCTTGCAGTTGGCGGACTTCAGGATCCCCTTTGGAGTCACCCAGAATTCCCAGAAGCACAGCCGAGGAAAGCCCATGGTAGGTGAAGGCCCATGAACGAGTGGGAATGACTGAAAGCTGGTGCATGGCGAGAAACATGCGCACTGTCTCGGTCAGATTCAGCTTGCATCTGTCGGCGAGGAACTTCTTTTGTGGCGCGTCGAGACGGGTACTCTCGGAACGCATCAAAGCTGGCCGACAACAAACTGACAGAATGAACGAAGTGTGTAACCGAATGGCAAAATGTTGTAGGCGGTCCAATGCTGACTTGCAAGCATCCTTGTTCCGCAGCTGATTCAGGCATTTATCCCGGATATGTTCGACAGCCTTGCAGTTATCCAAGATCTGACTGTACGTAGCGTTGGAGGCAGCGTCGGGGTTGAGCCGCTGAGATATGATCTTGCAGAGATGGTACATGGCCTCGAGGTATGCCCAGCCCTCTGTCTCGGCAGTTTGGGACATGGGAATAGGGCAACATGGTATGTTGGTGATGGGGGAGCTAAAAGAGTTCTAGTAAGGGACGCAAGGAAGAAGGAGGGTGCAAATCGGAGAATGGGACTTACCGATCAAAGGAAAGTGATGTTAGGGTATCATGCCATAGGCAAGTCCACCTGGAAGGCGTCAGGACAAATTATACATGTTGCGTGGGTGAGTAGTCGGGCGTGGTACATACCAAAGTTTTCGGCGTGACACCTCTCTCTTCTCTGCTTCTGGGCTCGGCCGACCATCTAGTTGTTGTGGCCGATGAAGGCCAAGAGACTGTGCTAGGCGGCAAGTGAGGCCCATCAATGCCCACGATGCCTCGGCCTTCATGTCGTTAAGCAACACAAAGCTCGTCATGAGCAAGGCCTGGATGGAGTCCAGATTTGGTCTGGAACAATGTCAGCAAACCGCTGGTATCCTGAACAGCCAGGCGCATTATTACCTCAAAAGGAAGTTTCCAAGACGAAGAAAGTGAAAAGATATCTGGATGTATTTTTGGGAGTCCCGGGTTCGCACATGATAAGGTGAATCGTGATACTGTGAGCCAACAGCAAGAACGGCAAACAAGATGGCTAGCCATGACGCAGAGACGGGTTTCGTGGCTTTGGTGGACGCCCTGGCATTTTTGGCTCTGTCCTCCAGGTACACCATGAGACGAGATTCAAGGTCGTCAATGTCAATGACAAACCCCCAGAATGGCTGGGGAATCTCCTTGTAGGTTCGGAATAGCCTGCAGACACGTGAGCGGGGTGTGCGTGGGAGGACGCAACTGGAACAGGAGACAGTGACATACTTCATGACTTCCCGGTCAGAGGGAAGTTCGGCCGAAATGTCAGAGGTCAGCCGGTCGAGATGACGGGAAGACATGAGCGGGAAGGGTGCCGAGTTGTCGAGGCCGAGGAGGGACCGCATGTCTTGGCGTATCTCGTTGACGTCCTGGGGTTCGTTTGCTGCTGTCCGTTCTCTGAGCAAAGCTGGTATGCTGTTCTGGCCAACATAACGCGTGGTCTCGGCCGTGTCTGGTTCGTAAGTGCTGATGGTTTCACGAGGGTCGTTGCTCTGGCTTCGGGTGTCTGCATCATCTGGAGACCGTGGGCGTTTCTTTCCCGGAGTGAGGGACTCGGTGCCAAACGAGCCACTCTTGCTTGTGGCTGACCGGTTGGGCTTGTAAGAGCAGAGCGACGGATGTTCTCTCTTGACGCAGTTCTCACAGGGGCTCTTGTTGTCACACTTGACTTTCCTCTGTCTGCATGGCCAGCATGCAGTGCCTAGGAATCCCGTCAGCGCACTGGCAGGAGGTGGAATATTGCAATGTCTTGGGCAAGGCAGAGTGGGAGGATTGGATGGGATGAGATGAGATGAGATGGGCAGGGGCGCTTGACACAAGTAAACAAACAGGATGGAAAGGGGGACGATGGCGTTGGAGACGAGTTGTCAGAGCCAAACGGCACAGCAGAGCACGTACCGTATCTCACTTTGCGGTGGGAGTGAATGATACGGTTGGCCTCCTCGGGTGTGAGATCCTCGAGGTTGGGCCCCGGGCTGTCCTGTGTCTCCGACATTGGGGATTACAGCAAACGGGGGGGCGGCCGTTCAGGCGTTCGTTCCAGGTTGGAGGTACGATTGCTATCTCGAGGTGGCCGAATGAAGACCGAATGACGAAGGTGGGCCTCCAAACTTCAGCGGTGCTCCAGCGAGTGGCCCGCGCAAGCAACAGGGCTGGGTTCGCAGCTGGTTCAGGGTGGAGCAGCGGCGGCGGGCGACCAGGGCTTGGAGCAATCAATGAAGTGGTTTTCCCAGGGCCGTCACGCTGTTCCTTGGATGATGGCGGCCGTTGATGGTGTTGAATTCCGATGCAAAGCCGAGATGTCGTTGTCTGCTGTCGAAAAAGAAGCCGAGCAGCGACCAGCATTCAATTTTGAGGTGGGGTTCTCGGGATTAGCGGGTGGACGGATCACCATTGCAGCTCTTCCCCACCGGCCTGGTTGCTGACTGAGCGCCCCTCCTCCAGTCTCGACCCCGCAATGGCATCTCTACCTTGCCTTATACATAAAGGATCCCATCAGCCCATTCGTGTATCCAGAGGGACACTCACCTATCGAATGGACCATCCATCCGAGGGTCCCGTCCACGGTTCCTTTCGTCGACAACCTACCTGTCACCTGAAATCTGTCCCTGCATCTTCGCCCATCGTGGGAGTGGGACCCACACCTACCCGCGTGGCCTGTGCTTTCACACATGTGCCAAGGTTTCGACGACAGGAGAGCTTTCTTCTGAAGGTAGGGAGGTACTGGAAGAGATCAGATGCTCAAAGTAAGGATTCAAGTACTTGATAATGATCTTCTGAAGAGTGAAAAGAGCAACATTTGACCGGTTGTAAAGTTGCTACTTCGTACTGCAAAAAAACGAAATAGCCATCACAAGCAAATGCTCCCAAAGCCTTGGGGAGGAGGACAAGGCTCTCTCAAGTCGCTCACCGGGACTCCAAACAGGCGCGATTGCCGCCAAAATAAATTCAATCTCACTTCGACGTGCTCTTCCCTATGGTATCTCCTCCTCTCGTCTTTTCACACCACCTTCCATAGCAGACGCCGCACCATCCCATCTGCCTTCTTGTATCACACCCGACATCCTTTGCGCCTGCCAGGTCTTCTTTCACCCCAGAGTGTGGAGCCTCTCCCCTGCGGCGACCAGTCAGATTCACCATTTGCAAGCTGAAGCTGGAGCATCCAAATTAGCTCCCGCCTGCCACTTTCCCCAGATCTTCAACACTAGATGCCCTCACTGTCTAACACAGCAACACGACATCGACGGCCACAGCACTCTCCCTCCGACCTCACCTCTGCCACGCTTTGCCCTTTTATAGCCCCAATGAGGCACCGGCCCACATTGCACAACAATGCCAATGCCAGTCCCAATGCCAAACAACAGGCCATTGATTCCTGCTACGCCTAGCAAGAATGACAAGGTCAATGAAACAGTTATGGGCCTCAATTTTATGTATGGCCTCAGCATACAGGTCCCCGATGTCTCTCCCACCAGAGCCGCCGGCCACGAAACGGAAGAAGCTGCACGCCATCGTCGTATCATCTCGGCCATCCGCTTTCTCTGCTACAAAGACAACGAAGCTTTGGAGCATATACTCCATGATTTTTTTTATCAGGCAAAGTCCGCCAGCCAGCAATGGGTCCACAAGCCACGGGCAGATCCAGCAACCCTGCCCTCGTCTCAAGATTTACCCCCAAAAGCCGTCCACCCCTGGGAACGAGCCCAACTCGAGCAAATTCTGTGCAATCTTCTTGCGGAACGTCAAAGCACTTTGCTGAGGGCACAGACCTTGACTCCCGCGGCATCCAGGTCCTTCGCTCGATCCCGTAGCGATGCTGCTGCTACCGCAGGAATATACCAGGCCGTTCACGATGTGAGACCAAGGTCACCCTCTTCTGCTGGCTCTGCGAAGCGCCGTTCGGATGACGAAGATTACCCAGTTCGAAGCAGCAAGAAGCCACGGGATCAAGCTTTTGCTCCTCCATCACTGGGTCGTTCATCATCCACTCCTGTCTCGGCTGTCCCCTTCTCCAAACTCTTGGATACCGTACCGACTCGTCAGCGTTTGAATGGGGCAGTAGTGCTCGAGACAAGCCGAAGGAACAACCACGCCAAATCGACAAACTGGTCACAGCAACCGTCTTTTGAGATTGACCAAAGTTCGAGTTACTGGAAGACGGATCAACACAGCCTCTCAAGCCATACAACGGCGGTGAACGAATCCCAACCGCTCAGGACCAGCCACTACACAGCCATTAAGAAGGAGGATGTCGGTGTAGCGGAGGTGGTAACGATGACAGTCCCATTCCGGCTTTCACAAAACAGTGTTTCTCGGCTATCTCAACCTTCAGTCACCTCAAAATTCAACTGCACTCAGCAACGGGCCGGTGTTCAGGACGAGCTTTGCGAAGGGCAGAATCCAGCCGCATATCACTTTCTTCAACAGGACACAACCAAGCGGCTCTTGTTTCCCCCAAGCAATGGAGCCCCAATATCAACTAAGCCCCAAGTTGAGCCAGCAGAGGTCATAGATTTGACCAACGATTTCGATACCGACTTTTCAGAAGACGTTAGGGATGCGGTGGAGGCCGAGTACGAAATCGAGCATCTTGGAACACGGCTGCAGCCGACGCCCACCCACACGCCTCACAAGCCACCGGTCTTGCCACCGCCTTACCGTCAGCCTACACAACACCATGCACAACATCACCGCCACCAGCCACAACAACAGCAGCAACAACGGGTCCAACAGATCGAGCAACTCCCGCCACGTAAGCAAGCCACACAGCCCCCCAGGGCACCAAAAGCAGCACTGGCAAGTTTGGCCACGATTCGGACGCGACTGGAGCACACCTGGCGTATGTTTCTTTCCCCATAGAACGAGCATAGAAACTGACATCTTGACAGCAAGATATCCGACCTGGTTAGCGGATGCCCCTCTGGCAGTGGCATGGGAAGTGACGAGGATCCTTCACCATTGCAACGTGGACCCAGAACACGAATCCCTCGTTTATCTACCCGAGTGGGCAACATCGGATATCACCGACATTCGAAGCAGCTTGTACCGACTCGACATCTTTCGAGGCAAGACCTTTCCAGAACGCCCGCCTTCGGATGTTTTCGCTGCCGCCCTGAACAATTTCGAGCTCAACGGAAGTATCGTTCTTATGTCCATCAGTCTGGACTTCAATCCAGACAAGGATAAGCAAGCGCCCCTATTTTTGGTTGATATGAAACCCCTGCGACTTGACCAAGGGTGTAGGCTAACGCGTCGGTTTGGCGCTGACCGGTTCCTCGAGGTCCTTCTGTCGTCACCTACTGCTAGCTCGGCTCCTGATCTGATCAAGAATGCCGAGCCACACGGTGCTGAAGAGGTCATTAAATGGCTTACTAGCAGTGCTCATAGCCTGGTTGGACGGCATTGGAGAGCTTTCTTCGCCAAGGATGCCGGGTTCCGCAGGCCCATCAAAGAATACAGCCTGGCGCCTGAAGAGAAGACCAAAATTGTTTCCAAAGAGCGCCTGCACTTTTTTGCCGAGACAGGAACCAACTTCCAACGGGCCAAGGCATTGACGGTGCCCCCCCTCAATGAGCCCATGGGTCGCCACACTGATTGTACAGTGAGCCAGATGCTGAACTGGCTACTCAACCTGGACGAGCCCAAGAATCAGTCACAGCCGCATCTCAAGCTTTTCTCTCGCATCCAGCTGGGATTAAGCAAAACCTTCCCAACCGTCATTTTCAGCGCTTCCCAGATTTTTGTTCAGCCGCAAGACATGCTGTCACCGATTGGCAAGGTCATGAACGACGGCGTCGGACGCATGTCACGAACGGTGGCTCGAAAAATCAGAGACATCATGGGTCTCACAGAGATCCCCTCGGCAGTTCAGGGCCGCATCGGCTCCGCCAAAGGAATGTGGATTATGGATGTACTTGATACAGGCGACGAAGAATGGATCGAGACATGGCTGTCGCAACGGAAGTGGGAATGTGACCCTCAGACGGTCGACATCCACCAACGAACTCTCGAAATACGGGCGTACGCAACTGAACTCAAGTCGGCTGGTTTGAATCTGCAGTTCCTCCCCGTCTTGGAGGATAGAGCCAAAGACAAGGCTCAGATGAAGCGTGCCATAGGCGCACGTCTCACCAATGATCTCAAAAAGGAGTTTGACGACCAAAAGGCTGCTTTCAAGCATCCTCTCCTGCTACGTCAGTGGTTGCATGAGAACTGGAGTGGACGGGCAGACAGAGTAAAGAACGGTGGGTTTCTCGCCTCTACAGTGCTTGTCGCTGGTAGCTAACATGGAAATAGGAGAGGTGGCCTTTCTGGGAGGGCTGCCCGAGAAAAAGGAAGAAGTTCTGAATCTGTTGCTCCACAGTGGTTTCGATCCCAAGCACCAAAAGTACATTCAAGACATTGCGTGGGAACTCCAGAAGCAAAAGTGCGATATCTTGAGCACAAAGCTCAACATCAAGGTGGGCCGATCGGCCTACATCTACATGGTCGTTGACTTTTGGGAAGTCCTGGAGGAGGGGGAAGTCCATGTCGGCTTCTCTTCCAAGTTCAGGGGCGACGCCGATGACACCTCCTATACCCTTCTCTCCGATTGTGATGTTCTTGTCGCGCGGTCTCCTGCCCACTTTGCCAGTGACGTGCAAAGGGTGCGAGCTGTCTTCAAACCACAGTTGCACGCCTTGAAGGACGTCATTGTCTTCTCGTCAAAAGGGAACGTTCCACTCGCCGAAAAGCTTTCTGGTGGAGACTACGACGGTGACATGGCTTGGGTTTGTTGGGATCCTCTGATCGTGGAAAACTTCGTCAACGCAGTGGTGCCAGAAGAGCCGGATCTGTCGGCATATTTGGGAAAAGACAAGACCACCTTTTCCGATCTCATGTTGGCGAGGGGTGAACAGAGCCCAGATGCTGCCGTGTACGACATGATTGAGAAAAGCTTTCAGTTTTCGATGCAGCCCAACTTTCTGGGCATGTGCACAAACTACAAAGAGAAGCTTTGCTATCACAACAACAGCGTTGGAGATGAGACTGCCATCTGGCTCGGCGCCCTCGTGGGGAAATTGGTCGACCAAAGCAAACAGGGTATTCTTTTCGACAAAGGCAGCTGGGAGCGTCTGCGAAAGGAGAAGTTTGGCCCACACAATATGCAGCCTCCAGACCCGGCATACAAAGGCGACCACTGGAGCGGGCAGGACGAACCACGGCACATCATCGACTACCTCAAGTTTTTCATCGCCAAACCGGCCATTAGTCGTGAAAAGGACGCCCTGAACAAGTTGATCAACTCCCGTGGCACCGACACCCTTGCCAATAGCAACTCAGTGGCACATTATTGGGATCCATATCTTGTTAGCTACTTCAAAAGCTTTGAAGAGGCAGGCCAGGGTTCCAAGACAATCCGCGGCATACTCCAGTGGCTGAAGAACGATATTGCGCAATTGGAGAAGGACTGGAAGACAAGCATGGCCAAAGGCAAGGGCCGTAACTCCAAGTTCTCGTACCCAGAAACCGTCACTCAAATCTTTGGAGGGTGGAACGTCATCCAACCGCGAACATCCGAGTCGATGCCCCTCAAACTAGACCCTGAGATGGCCTTGCTTTTTGGTGGTAACGGCCCGTATGACCCATGGACTGTGCTCAAGGCCAGTGCGACTTTTAAGCAGTGCTACAAAATGGCGCCCAAATTTGCCTGGGCAATGGCTGGTAGACAACTGGCGTATATCAAGGCATTGAACTTGGGACCATCTCAAATTCCCCTCGTCCTCACGCCGCTCATGTATGCGGGACTCAATGCAGATGGTAAATTTGTCAAGCAGTTTGTGGCTCGACTCGAGCATGACGGGACTCAGTATGGCGAGATGGAGGATAGGGATTCGGACTGGGATGAAGACTAGAAGAGCGCGGGACATAGAGCTGGTTGAACGGGCATCTCTTTTCATATTCCACCTGCGGTGTGCTTTTCATTCGGTGCGTTTGCATATTTGCTTGTTCTCGTGGTTGGTTTGTTGTCTAGATACCTCTTGGGTTTGTTGGTTTAATGATGACATTTCTTAGACACCTCCCCGTGTTCTTTAGGCTAACTCGTTTGTTTGAATTGATGAGAGCCTGGTTCGAGCAAGTCTTCTTGGTGTCGCCCCCCAAAACGGAAGGCCAAAATCTCCGGCTATAATGTTGCGAAGCTGAGAGCATCGATAGGTTGCAACTTGCCACTCCGGTATCCCGGCAGAAGGCGTCAATACACCCTTCCCCACTCGGTACGTCTGGGCCTTAAATTGGGGAAAGACGAGGCGACAAACGGCAGATCAAGCACAGTTTCCATGTAAGGTAGGTGTCCAACATGGTAAGTGCCATGCCTGCGTGCGCGATGCCGCGCTGGTTTCCCAGAAGCGACATGAGCCAGGACAAGCAAAAAGCAGGCCTACGGTGAGACGAGAGGGTTTACGCAATGCTTGAGCCACCTGCATCACCTTGGGACTTACCAAGTGGCACATCAGCCACAGAAAATTGCGATGCCGAATTGCTGTACATTGCAATCAGGTACCGACCACTGACGTTATTGGCTGCTGCTTCAAAGGACATTTTACGACATCCGCCTTCGCTCAACTTTACTCAACTGCCCCAATCCATTTACCGGCATCCTTATTACCCTCGACACACAAATAGATTACCTTCACTCCAACTCGGATGTCCAGCCGAGAGGTGGGGTTTCCGTTTGCCCTGACCATTTCACCATTTGGAAAAAGTCGTCAGGGGATGCCAAGACCCTCTTTGGTCGTTGTCAATATCGACAATTCGATGTTTGAGGCGAGCTCGGCTGCATCGTTCCGAGATAAGTGGGGAGGCTGGTGCTCACGAACAAAGTACAAATGAACATACTGTCGCTGGAGGTATTGACAATGAAGCTTTGCTGGCTCTCTACCCCCTTTGTCTCGTTGGCGGCCAAGATGAAGCTATCATTGGGCTCCTCAAGCAACGGAGGCGGAGGCGCTTCCAGCCTCTTGTCACTTTCTCTTTTGCTGACTCTCAACCCACTCACAGCAACTGCTCAAACGGCCCCCCGAGATGGCGCCATCTACGATTACATCGTCGTTGGGAGTGGCCCCGGAGGCGGTGTTGTCGCTTCAAATCTTGCCAAAGCGGGCTATTCCGTTCTGATCCTCGAAGCTGGTGACGACAGTCCGGGACAAGGCTTCGGTCGTTACACCCCCACCGTTACGTGGGATTTCTTCGTGAAGCACTATCCAGAGGGCGATCCAAGAGACAACAAATATAGTCATCTCACCTGGAGGACAAGAGAGGGCAGGTATTGGGTTGGACAGAGTGGTGCACCGGCTGGCTCTACGCTGCTTGGAGTGTATTATCCGCGCGGTTCCACACTCGGTGGCTCGTCCATGATCAACGCCATGGTCACTTGGCTGCCGAGTGATAGTGATTGGAACTTTCATGCCAATGTCACAGGGGATGACAGCTGGCGGTGTGTAAATCCATTCCGCCCCTTCCCGTGTTGATGCTGACACAGCCTTGAACAGAGCCGAGAACATGCACGCCATTTTCAAGAAGATTGAAAAGAACAACTATGCCACCCGTGGAGCTGCCAACGCGGCAAACCATGGCTTCGACGGCTTTTTCCAGACCAACATGGGTTCCATGACCCAACAGCGCCAGCTCGGCCAGCTCTCGGGCAACCGTGTGATGCAGACATATGCGCAAGACTGGGGCCTATCCGGGCAGTCCATGAACAACTTGTTGACTCGTGACCCGAACGAAATCAACCCCAACCGCGATCAGACCTCCTCGATCTACGGTCTCGTCACCCACGCCTTCTCCAATGGCAACCGATACTCCTCCCGCAACTACATCCAAGACACACAGCGCACTGTCGGCTCCAACCTCACCGTTTCTCTTACCTCCCTCGCGACCAAGATTCTCTTTGATACAGCCTCCAAATGCGATGGCACTGCGGCCAAGCCCCGCGCCACTGGAGTTGAGTACTTGTTCGGACGCTCTCTGTATAAGGGTGACTCGCGCCGCGCTGCCAATGCCCAAGGCACCAAGCGCACTGCTTACGCCCGCCGCGAGGTCATTCTCTCGGGAGGTGCCTTCAACTCCCCTCAGCTCCTCCAGCTGTCGGGTATTGGAGATGCAGCCCTCCTGAAGCAGTACAGTATTCCTTTGATCAAAGATCTGCCCGGTGTCGGTCAAAACCTCATGGACAATCAAGAAATGCCCATCGTTGGCACTGGCAGCGCCGGCTCCGGTTTGGCGGAAGTCTCCATGTTTAAGACCAAGCACCCGGCCCACGGGGAGAGAGACATGTTCCTAATGGGTGGCCAAGGGTTCCTGTTCAGAGGTTTCTGGCCTGATAACCCGGTTCGCACCCCAGCTGAGCCGCGCAGCCCGTACGGTGTCTCCATGGTGAAGGGATCCTCCCTCAACAACAAGGGCTGGGTCAAGATTAGAAGCTCAGACCCGACCGAGACTCCAGAGATCAACTTTAACCATTTCGCGCCCGGTTCTGAGTTGGACATGGAGGCCATGAAGGACACTGTCGCTTGGATCAGAACGGTGTACTCCCGTGTAGGTATCACCACCGTGGAGCCACCGTGCAATGCCGGACCAGATGCGAATGGATACTGCGGGAAGGAGGATGAAAACTGGATTCATGAGCGGACCTTTGGGCACCACCCTACTTCTACCAATAGAATCGGGGCGGACAATGACCCGCTGGCGGTGCTGGACAGCAAGTTTAGGGTTAGAGGGGTGAGTGGGTTGAGAGTGGTGGATGCAAGCGCTTTTGCGCGGATCCCGGGGGTCTTCCCTGCTGTGTCGACGTTCATGATCAGCCAGAAGGCGAGTGACGATATGTTGGCCGAGTTGAAGGATGGGCAGGCGGTCAAGGTCTGCGTGAACGGCGTGTTGATTTCATGAAGAGGAGATGAGAGTACGCTAGGCTTCAGGTAATCCAAGTACCTAGTGCAATCCATTTGTGGTTTGTTTACTTGCATGTAATTGAAAAGGGGAAAAGGCCAAACCATCATCACGTCGACCATAGGTGTTGGTTTCAATTCCACAAGCCATCAAACATGTTAGGCCGTGTGGTGTAGTGGTAGCATACTTGCTTTGGGAATAAACTCCCACAGCTGTTGCAAGTGGTCCCAGGTTCGAGCCCTGGCTCGGCCCCATATTTTGCTTGTAAAATGTGTTGATTGATCAACACATTTTCTTTTTCACGGGTCAGATTCCCAAGTTCTATGCGCGAAGTTCATGACGTTGAGATTAAACTGGAATGTAGACGAGGCAGGGTGACTTTTGAAACGTCTCGGCTTGGCTGGGAATTCCAGAGCGCGCTCATGGCTGGGAAGACTTTGTATGCCCAGCCCCTGTCTCAGAATCCCCATGGCATGAGAAGCAACGCCGGCCTCAGTTATAGCATTGTAAACCAAGTTTATGATGATGCGTATCCAGATTCCATATGCTCCCTTCCACTTATGTTTCCACTGCTCTGCCTAGTTTTGGCCTTTAAAAGCCCCTGCTCTCTCTCCAGTCCCGTCTCATGGCATTGTCGTTTTCCCACAACAGTGTTCGAAGCGACATCTACGGCAATTGTACCGAACCTATTTTGCCAAATCTTCCAAGACTTGATACAGTAAGGTCGTCAATATGTACACATCTACATTGACAAGCTACCTCGGTGCTGTGGTCTTGCTACTTTCTAGTCCAGCTCTTGGTCTTCCACGACCCATCGCCTATTATGGACACTATCTGCGACACCCTGACGAGTTCAAGCGGGCCATGGTACCTCTTCAAGTTCGAGAACAACCAACGACACTTTCAACAGAAGCCCCGCAAGCCATCATTGCTGTGCCGTCAGCCACAACGAGAGCCTCAACCATATTTTCGGTAGGCCTCCGTGACATCGAAGAGCCAACAGAGCCTACCACCACTACCACTATTACAATAATGACGACGAGGACCCAGACGCAGACAATCGACATCAAATCCACGATGACAAGAACTGTTTTTGGTGGATTCCCACATACTACGGGAGAGAGCTTAAACGTGGTCTGGATCAATGGGAATGGACAAGTGGGTTACTTTGAGGGCTGAGAAACATATAAAGGGCTTTGCTTGAAGGGGTACTTGAGGTGCTATTATGCATCTAGCCATGTTGTATATGTAACGATAAGGTAGCATAGAAACACTGCGACAAGCGAATAGATTTGTAGTACCTTATTATGATCTATGTTGTAGTAGACATTTATCTAGCATACCTAAATGAAATTCAAACCAATGCAAAATGACTTTCTGTGAAATCAGATGTAGTGATAACACATGAAGATCCAGTCGGATTTTGGCGAGCTCAAGTAGCATGTGCCACGAGCACACAACCAGTCTCTCATGCCCATCGTCCTCCGGGTTCCCATCCTAAATCCATTCAATGAGGGCCAGTCCGAGCACAGCACGCAGCTGTATATTCTCGCCGAAAATCCTTGGGCAGACGGGGATCTCATATGGCGGACCTGCTTCGAGCCGTCACGGACTTGGTGATAGGAATACCCAGGATCCGAGGTCATCCTCTATTGCCACTGCACATGTTTCGCTGAATAGTAGTGCGTTGTCTCTTAAAAACCCAACTCAACTCTGCCTAGAAATTCCCATTCCTCATCCTTTCCGCCGCCTCTTTCACTGATGTCATGGACATCTTCCAGCAGCGGGGCTTCTCGCATATGCGCATCATCAACGCCGAGGGCCCATCCAGCGGTAGCCAATGAGTCACGTTGTTGACTGATGTTTTCTTGTTCCTTGCCGGTTGATCGTCCCCTGAAGCCGAACCGCAATCTGTTTTGCGACAACCCAACCAACTCTCGCTCATGCAGTGACGCCATGTTTGTCTCCTCTCCTTCCAAACTCTGAACCATCTGTGGCCAGCAAATCTCACCCCGCACCGCAGCTTTGTACCTTTGTTTGTCGTACAGAGCCTGTTCATACCCAACAGCCCTGATCTTATCGCCAAGATCATATTCCTCTCCAACACTCAGACTCATCTCAGGAGCAGGAGCACCCCCAAAGCCACGACCCATCCTCATCATCATCTCCCTCCTTCTCTTGGAAGTTTCCTCATCCCGAAAGGCATCCTCCCTCTCCAAACTCGGGGGTCTCCTTTGCAGCTGTCGTCTTTCTGATCGCTCCCTCTCCCTCTCATAGGGAAGTTGAACAGCTGCACATTCCTGGTCCTCCAATGCATATTCCGCCAGCCGGTTCCAGTGTCCTTGTTGGTCCTTTCTTCTCCTTTTGACCAGATCACACTTTGCCCATGTCCTAGCAAAGGGTTCGATGCCCGCTCTTTTTGGCCCGATGGCCTTGTTGCTGGCAATAGCGCGAACCTGATGAGGCTTGATGCGAAGGGGAGCTTGCTTGGAGGGGTCGTGGTGGGACCAGTAGTAGTTGCCGGACCAGAGCCAGTGCTCATGGGCTTTTTGGTGAATTGTGTGGAGGCGTCGGGTGGACCATTTGAAGGGGTGGTGAGGATGTTTGGCCTTTGGGTGACGGCTATGTTGGGAAAAGTATTGTTCGTTACTTGGGTTAGTCTCGCTGAATTCGAGATCGGATGTTGGATCGCCGAGGCCTTTCCCCCCAAATTGGGGAGGAAGAGATGGGGGGAGGTAAGTGGAAGAGTGAAAACAAAGCCCCATGTTTGAGCGCAGTGACTTGGTATTTATCTGAAAAGCAAGATGCGGCCTGAAATCTGTCCTCGGATGCAGATCAACAATTAGCAAGTGAGGAATTCACCGAAGACACGAATTGTACACAGCAAGGCGTGAAACAAAGGGGAGTAGAAGAGACTAGAAGATACCAATGCTCGACTTTGGCAGGGGACCTATTATACCGCTTTGACATTAAAGGCGTCGCTGTCATGGCCTCACAGGGTATATGATTGGTTTCAATCAAAATCGGTCAGAGTCACCGGGGTTTGCATCAGATTCAGTGGGTTGATATTCAATGTTATTGGCGGAGTAAGGGGAGGCAAGTGACTCACGGGGTGGTTTTGGCTGTCATGGGGGTATTGCTACCTGCTAGGCATTCGTGGGAACCCCACGGCACAAGCAGGCAGAGGGCGGCGCCATGAGAGACCCCCTGTCAGTTGAAAACAGGGCGGAATCGATGTCAGTGGAAGAGTGTTGTTGGGATTAACAGTGAAAATAAGCGCGACGATGAACACACCTATGAGGGCTTTTTTGAGTACCCAGGTACATCAAGTGGGCAAAAAACGGAAAGAACAGGTTACTTGCCATTGCCCCCCCCCGGTGTTCCCTCTGTTTTCAAGCCTGTAAGATGTCAAAATAAGGCTTGCTCCGGCGGCCCTCGCTAAGAGATGACACTTGGCGCGCCAACTTCTCTAATAGGCCTCCCGAATTGATGAGCACCGGGCTTGATTTGAGGACAGCCTCATGCCTGCCTACTTTTCAGGGGAGCCTAAAATGTGATTTTGTGTCTTTCTTCAATAAAATAACAGCTAGAAACACAGCATTTGTTCTAAGACTTGCGGAAGGCAAGGCTGCCTACCATGCAAGTAGGTAGTTAGGTATGCATCATCTGTTCATGAATGTTCTCGGGGAGACCGAAACACAAATTTTTCCCACAGCTGTCTTCCATAGGGCAATAATAAACTGAAACTGACTGCAGACACACAAAATGATAAGAGAAGGAAAGGATGAGCTCGGGACTTTTCCACGTGAAATTACCGGAAACGGGGAGCTAGTGTGTGGTGTCACCTGCCGTATTATAGGTAAACATATAGGAGCCTGTACATATATGCCCCATTTGCCCTTCAGTAAGTCCATCATTACCATCACTGGCCTTCTCCCCAGTTCAAACTGAGCTGATTCTTCAAACCGACCATGGCGCGTGCAACTTGGGCCAACAGCCTTGTGGTGTTCTTCCCATCATTCACTCACCATGCCTTTGCCCTTTGGCCCCTGGACTCACTGACAGAAAGATTCACTGGCCTGGATTTTTCTCGACACGGGAGCCAGTGGTGGGCTGAATGATATGCCCAGTGCTTCCTATACTATGGCCCAGAGATCATGGGGCATGTTCCCAAGCCTTGCTACGATACTGCGGTCGCAAATAGCTACTGCGATCCTCACGACATTGACGTGTGGGATGTCACGTACATTGATGTACGACTCTCTTCCCGCTCTGAACTCCAAACCAGCATTTCTAGAATATAAGACTGAACTTCTGGAAAAGGTGCAAGGTTTCGAAACTCTTTTGCCAATGCATCTCTTCTCCAACGACTATCGAGATCCTGGCCACTGACTTCGGGTACCATTCCAACCTCGCTCCCTCGGCAGGTCACGATGAGAATGAGTGCTGATCACTGAAACACAGCAAGGTTCCCGTCAAGGCTCGTCAGTGGATCGATACAGTGTCAAGCTACCCGGGCCCCAAGGCTGCTCAGCCTGGAACGGCGGAGATCACCTTGACTTCTTTTCGGAGATTGCGCCGCAAAGTTACCTTATCTGTATGGTTCCACGAAGTCGCTCACAGCTTGGATTGCTGGACCACACCTCGCCCTGCCAAACTGCCCGAAACCTTTTGTTACAGGGACGCCCTGACGACTCTGATGCATGGAGGATGAGGAAGGGGAGAGAATCGACGCCTAAGTTGAGGGCTGAGGAGCGAGTTAGGTTGAGAGGGAGCAACACAAAGTCTAGGGTTCAAAGAAGATTAAGCTCGTGATTGTTCATGTACCTATCGGTGAATCATTCCATCTGACCCATAGCCCGCATCTCAGCATAACCCTCTACAAATGTGAATCGATACATTTAGGTATCCAGCACGGTCCAGGTCTCTGCCATTTATGTCCTCAAATTTCCAACATCTGGTGGAACCCAGCGCCCACTCGCACGTACTTTGGGCTACGATTCTCCTTTGTCGAGCTGCACATTCGGAAATGTTGACTTTGTTGCCCGTGCAGAACGGCTTTTGCGGATACATCTTCCTGATAGGCAGATGCTGGCAATGCATATGATGAAAAATACACCGGGAGAGACAGAGATGGCAATTGTCTGCTTCGTGGAAAGAGAACCACCTTGCCCTGATCCAACCCGGCGTGGTTGCAATGAAAGGCGTGACCACAAAGGCCAACATGTTGTAAGCCGTTGCGTACCTAGGTAGCCAAGAAGCAGGGCACTTGTGTAAGGCAGGATGCCAGGCAGTTTCCCCTGTTGTCACACGATATCCATCGGCTTTGAAAGTTAACATTTCTGATTGTTCTCAACCTGGAACGAATGCACCATAAATCCTAGAATCCGAAGAGTGGGCAAAATAATTCGGCACACCCATCAGAAAATGTCTCGCAATGCACCGCGGCTTATGTCCAGTGCTCAAAGTGGAATAACGTTAATCAGACAGTCGCCGTTCCGGGTTACACGCAGGATAAGACGCAGAGAGCAAGGGGTACACTAGGATTCTGGTCGGTCACATACCCACATAACTACTACCTAGTATGTCGTGTTGGTCCCTGATACAGTGGTGCTCAACGTAAGCGGGAACTCGGAGTGTAACATAAATGGCCCATATCATGACATTTTCCTTGAACACCTTACTCAAGTTCTACAGAACCAACTGCCAACAACACAATATGTTGGACCTTAGCGTGCTGTATAGGCCCAACAAATACTACCTCGAGATCCTGTATAGGCCCAACAAATACTACCTCGAGATCCTGTATAGGCCCAAAAAATACTACCTCGAGATCCTGACAGTGGCAGCATCCACTTATCTAGGACACCGCCGGAGTGAGCCGCGATTAAGCTGGAAATGGGCGCGGTGGAAGAATGAAGAGAAAAAAGCTATAAGAACCACGATTGTTACCTTTCGTAAGTTGGAAGAGACAGAGCATCAGGATCTTCCATAGAGTCCCCCAGAGCCCCAAAACCGACAACTTACACCTCGTTACCTCCGCTGAGCCTTTGGAAGTCGTCAAGATGAAGCTCTCCAGCAGCGTTTTCTCCCTGGGCATGGCCGGTCTCGCCGTCGCCACTCCGTATGTTGCAACACTGTCCAGGACCTTCAGAGACCCTCACAATCCTGTGGGACACATCAATGTACCTTACTGACATCCTTCTGATTGCCCCTCCAGGGTCCCCGTGCACCTCGACATCCGCGCCGATAAGTGTACGTCAAGTTACTCCCGAGACACAATGAATAGGTTAGAGCTCAAGACTGACATTTGTTGGACAGACTGGTACATGAACGGCTGGGGCAATCCCAACTGCCAGGGTTCCTTCTTGTGGGCCTACCAGGGGAACGGCAACGCATGTGTCAATGTCCCGGCGATGGCGGCGTCGGTCAGCTTCGGCATCTCCCCTGGTGTGGCGGAGCTTGGACTGGTAAACTTACCAACCTGTGGACTCGCGCGCTCCGCTCTCGTCGCCGGAACCCCCGACGCTACAACCAGCGACTTCAGTCCCACTGTGCAGCTGATCGAGGTCAACGGTGATGGCGACAGCGGCCTCGAAAAGCGACAAGTCCACACCAGTTGCAACAACAGCAAGGAAGGGGTTTGGGCTTTCCGAATCAGATGGGTTTGATCGGGTAGACGAGGAGTGTTACGTAAAGAATTTTTCGGTCATGGAATCATGAGGAAATTATCGAGGGTAGTTGCATTGACCCGATCTCGGTCCGTTGCCTGGTAGACGGTTGTGCTGATAGGATGCGATGAACAAAGAGACCTATTTTACAGGAATTACAACTCATGTCATAAATACCTAAGCAGTCATTACCCTGGGGAGCCAGATTTTAACAGGACGTGGGCCGCTTTGAATGGAGCTGTTCTTGACATTACGGTTCATTTGGCTTCTCGCACTTTCCAGTATGAGATGTTGGGTCCTGTCGTCCTCCAAACATGAACACCTATGCTACATCATTGGCGCCTACCGCACCTAGAGGCTTTCCTCAGAATATCCAATCACCTTATCTATACCGCGCTTCGGCACATTTCCTGTCTGCATGCTGCCGTGTCCAGCGGGCCTCACCTGCGTGATTGTGAGGTTGTTGATACAGGGCAACATCACGTCTGGTCTTGGCAGTAGGCCTCTCTGCCGCCGTCTGGTGTCATCATTGGACAGCTGCTGTGAAGTGTGCACTTCCAAAGTACCACAGAGTATGAGATTTACGCCTACCATTGGGATGATTTTGGCATAAAAGGGGGGTTCCCATCATCGTTAAGATTCATTGCACCGGGCAGTTTGCGTTCAACTTTCCTCCTTCAAGAGACATCGGCTTCGAATCCACTCAACAAAAGCGAACATGGCCCGGAAAAGGTGGTACGCTGTGGCAAGGGGTCGCCAGCTGGGTGTATACGAGACATGGGAGTATGTTGCGTCACATTTTACTCTTCACACTTTCATCATGGCTTCCCCGATACTGAAACTAGGTACTGCAGGCAAACCGAGGCGCAGGTTCTGGGATTTCCAGATAACCGTCACAAATCCTTTCCAACAAAAGAAGAGGCCGAGAAATTTGTAGGGGAGAACAGAAATACCAAGGCTGAGCCGCTTGGGGATGCTGAAACTCGGGACGCATCCACGCAGCCATCGACAGCAGGTGGTTCGTCTCCTTCGCCGCCACCATCATCACCCTGTTCCTGTTCCTCGTCCATTTGTTCCCGACCTACACCGGTAGTGTTTGGAGCTGACACTGTGCCTGTGAAGAATAAACTTGTAGATCACAAGCTCTCAACACCAGGCGGGGGGAAGAAGGGGTATTGGCAGCGCCAAGGGAACAAGGGCCAAGCCAACAAGGGCCAAGCCAACAAGGGCAGGTTGGACATCAGAGTAAATGTTTCTCGGGTGTGAAGTAGCTAAGGATGAAGCCATCATGAATTGCCTTAACTCATTCAACCAAGACAGGTAGCTGCACGGTGTGAGAATGACACGTGGCCAATAAACAGGATGAAATTTTCTATTGTTTTTTGATCAATCGAGTGTTGTATAATACAGCATCAAGTGGCCAGCGCCTCACATCTAACCCATCTCGGCTCTCATGTGTACCACATTTCCCGGCATCGGGCCGCTGTCCAATTCTGTGGGCATCTCACCTCCCATTTCTACTGGATGCTTTGTTGAGTATCACCCACCGGCCTGGCACCAGAATAGAGGGGTGGCATCTTGTACTGAAACTCTGAGCGATAATACCCTCCTGCATGAGCGTCATGCCCATGAACCTCTACCATATCACGAGAGGCCCCGTGTAGCTCTGCCACCGGTCCGTTGGAGGCCTTTTTCTTCTGCCGCCTGAAGAACAAAAATGCCAACAAAGCAGCAACTAACACAGCACAGGGAATACCCACGCCTAATCCTATCTAGAGTCCGTTGTTATCTTCGTCCGAGGGGGTTGGCGCTGGTGTTGCTGGTCCGGCATTCGTGGGCGGCACCACGATTTCCGTTGTCGAGGAAGAAGATGTGGATTCGGAGGACGTAGAGGAAAATGTAGAGGAAGATGATGTTGAGGTGGTGGGCACAGGGGCTGTTGTTCTGACGGTACCGGTCTCGCTTAACGGGGGGAAGCTGGTGGTAGCACCTGTTGCTCGAGTTGATACGATTTCCCCCCCTTCATCGAGAAAGGTCCCCTTGCCATCCTGGCAACATTGTGGATCGTTGTTGCAACAAGGCTACCATCGCGGCATTGTACTACACGCGGCAGAACCCCATTGCTGGCGGCTGTTTCGTCTAAATGGTGCGCCATCGAGTTAGTGATTGTCTGTGGCTAGATGCAAGGAAACGTACTGTAAAGACAGATCTGTCCGCAGCTGTCATCCCATTCCCGGATTGCACATGGACCCCTCACCCATAAACCCTCTGGATCGTTTGGGTTGTGACATAGTCGATTGGATAGACAGGTTGCTTTTCGGCCGCAGCAGGCGTTGGATCCAGGACAGAGCGTGTTGTCTGTGTAGGCTTGGCCGGCAAAACCGTAGCATGTTATTTGAGCGTCCACTGTGGCGGGATAGGCGAAGAACAACAACAATGCTGGCAGAACAAGTGCTATATACGCCGAAATAAGTGAGGGATGCCGGTTAGCGCCCTGGCCTGATGCGGGTGATAACATGACGATTGCAACGGGGCCGGAAAGCATCGCCAAGGACATGATCCTGGCTGGCCAGTTATATTCGATCGACATCGTTGTGATGTCTTGGATTGGCTGGCTCGGATTTGACCATGTTTCTGTGAGTACATTTCAGGTTGCTTTGCCGCAGGGAGACGGCGGGACAGACCCGCTCCCGAAAATGACCTAATGCTCAAAGTTCCTGTTGGCACCGTCAGCTTGATCTTTCAGTCGAAAGAATAAGCATACCTGGAACCGACTACACTTGTGGTCATCAATATGGCTGGAAACGGGAGAGAGAACCCCAGTCTTGGCGTTCTGTCTCCTGGCTGCAACAGCGGGAGCTAATCTCAGAGTGGCTAGCACAGGCACTGCCCCACCTTTCCACCCCACCATGTTTTCTGCAGCGACTCCAAAAATTGTTGCTTCCAACTCCCACTCCCGAATCTCTCGATTGTCATGAGATTGAGCGCCGCCCGCCTACTGCAAACATGGCCTCTGACGAGATCCCTGCTGCCGCTCCAGGCCCCGATGCCTCTTCCAGCGCCACTCCCGTCGCCCAGGATTCCAACGACTCTCAGAACAATGCCGACCGCAGCCAGAATCGCAACGGCAAGCGTGGTGGCCGCGGCCGCGAGAGAGGGAATGACAAACCCGGCGCTCAAGGAAAGCGTAAGCACGGCGGCTTCGGAAGCGCAAAGTATGTTGTAAACCGCTGTATTCTCGAGAAAACTCAATGCCGACTTCTAACCCAGCCGACAGAGGCCCCGTCCCCGACAAGCGCGAACAGGTCCGGAATAACCGCGATGCCAAACGCCGCAAGGTGATCGACGAGGAAGTTGGCGGCAAGAGCTTCATGAGCATCGAGTTCACCCCCGACGAGATCAAGGCCGAAGACCGCCGACCGAAGCGCAAGGTTGCCGTCCTGATTGGCTACGCCGGCACCGGCTACCACGGCATTCAGATCAACCACAAGGAGAAGACAATCGAGGGCGACATCTTTGCAGCTTTCGTCGCTGCCGGTGCCATTTCCAAGGCCAACGCCGATGATCCCAAGAAGTCAAGCTTGGTCCGCTGCGCGCGTACAGACAAGGGCGTCCACGCCGCTGGCAACGTGTTGTCTCTCAAGCTCATTGTCGAGGACGAAGACATTGTTGAAAAGATCAATTCCCACCTCCCCGAACAGATTAGGATATGGGGCATCCAGCGCACAGTCAACGCTTTCAGCTGCTACCAGTCATGCGATTCGAGGTGGTATGAGTATCTCATGCCCAGTTATTCGCTATTGCCTCCCCAGCCACAGAGCTTTCTTGGAAAAAAGATCCTCGAGTCGGCCAAAGAGAAGGGCGTGTTGGAGGAGCACCTCGAACGCTTGGATGATGTGACGGGATTCTGGGACGAGGTGGAGAAGAACGATATCGAGCCTATCCTTGCTAGACTAAGCCCCGAGGTTAGGGCTGAGGTTTTGCGTAAGCTTCAAGACAGCAACGACAAGGAACTCGCCGAGGATGGACAGCCGGTCAAAAACGACCAAGAAGAGGCGAGCAAAGATGCGACCGCTGACAAAGATGTTGAAATGTCCGATGCTGCCGAGCCCCAGCCCGAGAAACCGGCCGAAGAGGCCAAGCCAGTCGAGGAGACACCGCAAGAACCAAAGCCTGAGAAGGAGTTGAGTCCCGTTGATGCGGCCGTCCGAGATATCAAGGCTGCCTACGTCGCGGCGAAGAGAAGATACAGGATCTCGCCAGCCCGTATCGAGAGGCTGCAACAAGCCCTGAACCTCTACCTGGGCACGCACAACTATCACAACTATACCGTGATGAAGTCCTTCAAGGATGCATCTGCCAAGCGTCACATCAAGTCGTTCGAGGCCAACACCACTCCTATCCAGATTGGCGATACCGAGTGGCTGTCTCTCAAGGTCCACGGCCAGAGCTTCATGATGCACCAGATTCGCAAGATGGTCGCCATGGCGGTCATGGTCGTTCGCTGCGGCGCCCCGCTTGATCTCATCAAGGAGAGCTACGGGCCTCGAAGGATTAGCATCCCCAAGGCGCCCGGTCTTGGTCTCATGCTGGAACGTCCCATGTTTACAGAGTACAACAAGAGGGCCGCCGGGTTCGACAAGGAGCCCATTGACTTCTCCAAGTACGAGGATCAGATCATCAAGTTCAAGGACGAGCACATCTATCGGAGGATGTTTGAGGTGGAGGAGAAAGAGAACTCGTGAGTGCTGATGCCGCACCAGGCACATGCTGTATAATGTTGCTGATAACCATTTTTGCAGGTTCCACTTGTTCTTCAACCAGGTCGATAACTTCCGCACCGACTATTTCCTATGGGTGACGGCCGGGGGTGTGGACGCTTCCCATGAGCGGTCTGATCGGACCGAGAGGGTGCCCAAGGCGTTGGAGGCTGAGCTTGGCGATGAGGCTGATGGGGTGGTGGAGGATGGAACGTAAATACCTTTGCTACAGGCAACTTGGTCCAGAACACCAGCATCATGACAAAAGATTGGTAGCGGAGCTTTACGTTGCTCGAGCTTGTTTTCCACTTTGTACGCCATGCTTTCCCGTCTCTTGGAAGTGCTGCTGAGGTTTCAGCTTACTATTTACTGTCCAGTGCGTTTGTTCGCCAGACCATGGCCGTTGCCTTCGCCATTGGATGCCGCAGGTGAGCGCTGTAGTTTGTGAAACATCTGCAGATGCATATGCATCTTCCCTGCCCCCCCCCCCCCCCCCTTCCGGTGACAAACGTGTATTTTGGCCCGTATAAAAATGCAAGAGAAGTACTCAACGGCCTCTTGTTCTTGCCGGTTTCTTCTTTCTGTCGTTGTCCGGTGTTCCTCTTACCAAATATTTGCAATCCGGTGGTATTTCGTCACTCATCACAACCCAAATGTCGGTCAACAGACGGAAAGTGGCGACCATCAGCGGCGTGCGCAGCAAGTTGGAGCGATACTGCCACCATGGTGACAAGATGCGCGAGAACAACCTCTCACAGGACGAACTGATGCTCATGTGCCAGGAACGCCCAAACTATTGTTCCCTCGGCAAGGTCTTGCGGCAGAGATTGCTTATATTCTTGAAGATTGAACCTGAGGAGGCAGCGATTTGGAGAAGGACGCTCACCGACAAGTTTCCAGAGTGGTTTGATCTTCCTTACAAGCAGGAAGACGTGCCCCAGCATTTCCTCCACGACTGGGAGATATTCAAGTCACTGGGGTGGATTGGGGAGTGTCCACTGAGGCCTGGCATCCTCCCCGCTACGGAGCAAAGATCTAGCGACAAAATCACCCTGCCTGACACACAGCTTAACAGGCTGGTAGCTGTTAACATCCTGGTTGAGTCTCTCGTTAGGGATAGGTTGAAGGAGGAGAGGAGGAGTGCCGACGACTGCCGCTATGTCAACGCTGCTGTACAGACAAACGGGCCATCTCGAGGTTCGCCAGGATCATCAGATTCAATGGCCCAGCCGCCTTTCCTCATGGCATCGCAAGCAGTCCCAAGCAAAGGCCCCGGCTAGACAGCAAGGTCTGGAGGAGAGCGGGCACGCATCCCGCAGAACCCCAGAATCACTGACATGCCACCCTTGCTTCAAGACTCACTTGTTAGTCGCCGCGTTCTGCTCTCATAATCCTCCAAGTCTAGCGCTAATGAATCTTTTTGGCTCAGTTCCTGACAGGAACAAGGGGTTTCCCGTCTGTCTCACTTCCTCAACGGCTCCCATCCGCGTCAGGAGCTCAACCCTCAGGGACCCCAGCCGAGAGACCGCACAAGCGTCGACGACGGACTTATACGTACTCATAATCGTCGTCATCGGAATACAATCCAGATTCTGTTTCACTGGCGTCGTCGTCACCATTACCATCGCTAGCGGATGACTCTCTCTCCATCCTGGAAGATATGTCTGTCAGGCCAGAAGGGTCTGACATCAGCCAGCAAGATGATGGGCAGGACTTCGTTCACCAGCGGTTTGACTCCTGGAGGGAAGAGCAGGCAAAACAGCGGAGAGTGGTCACTGATGGGTATGTTCAGTCACTATTTGAACCAGCATAAAAAAAATAGGTCTTCACGGTTGCTCAGCGCGCGGTCGTTTAAAAATAGATTTTGGCATGATCGATTATGAAGCATGTCGCATTATTTTTCCCAACCCCCAACTTCAAACGCCCCTTGCTGTAAAAAATGAAACAGGAGAATACCGGCTGAAAGCAACAAGAGCTCACTGGTGCACACCAGGTACCTGTCCTGCCTGCGTTCTCCCGGGATGGCCTTCCAAGTTCTTGACGTGGTACCTCATCGGTGACTGTTCAGCGGCGCCAATCTGAGCCAGCCTCTGCTCATTCCTCAAAGCATTGACCAGGTTGAAGGTCTCCTCCGCCTCCTGCTTCATGTTCCGTCTGGCTTCCTCGTCACCGGCGCCAGGCTTGGTCAACGGGCCAATGATCCACAGCTCGCGGATCTCATGGGTAAGGGAGAGCAAGTCCTCGGTGGCTCTGATCTGCTTGACTGTCAGTACATGATTCTGAGGGGTAAGGGCGAGATATTGTAGACATACGAAGCCCGTCATGGCGGTCTCCATCGCGAGACTGTTGATGGCAGCTGAGGAATTGGAAGCATTGGCGGGAATCTGCTGGGTGGCTGTGTGTATCATGTCGCGGTAATAAGTCATGAGCTCGGCCATGAGCTTGTTCTTGCGCTCTACAAATGGGTTGGGCTTGTCAGCTTTGAATGCAGCTTGTGATTTGGGGCAAATTTCAGCATCAACGATGGCATCGAAGGCCTCAAAGAACTCGGAAGAAGAAGAATCAGAGTGATCAGGGTTGTAAGAGGGGCCATGGGAATTTGTACCAAGAAGATTGTGAGCTGCATCAGCGTCGCGATTCATCTTGATATACCAGTCGAGGAAGAATCCAAGGATGTAATGAGATTGTCTGGAACTAGGGCTTTTGTTTCTGGGAGTTTACTGTGACTGTAATAATGAAGAAGTTTGCTGGATAATATAAGACACACACAAGTTGCGGCAGTCGATGATTGTTGGCGATGATGGTGAAGGTTCGGTTGATTCACTTGATTGATTGAGTGAGAGCGGGGACCATAAAGCCTGGAATCCACTGTAGTGATGCACAGGAAGACGCACTGTGCGCACGGGAAGATCTTGGCAGACTTGGTGGCTCCACTATCATGATACACAGTAATTCCACAACAAGAGCCCGATTTCAGGACAAAAACTATGCATCTTCTTGAGGTATGAAGAGCCAATATGGGCATTCATAAGGCACCTATGAGAGGTGAACGGGTCGAGGGTCAGGACATGGCAGGTGACCGATTCCGGAAGGTGTCACGTGTGCCGCCGAAGAATACGATTGGCAGAGTCCCCGCTCATTGCTGTGAGGGTTGAGCGCTCTGTCTCCCATTCTCTCTCGTTATTTTCACGACGCCGAGAAACAAGAACACGATGGGCTGCTGTTCTGGCTGTCAGCCGCCACCTGCTCCCTCCTTCACGGGGCAGCAGAGAGCTGAGGAGGAACAAGATGTCAGCGACCGCCTTCCGGAGCAGGACAACGCCACGGCACGCCTGGAGCCTGACTGCTGCAAGGGTAAAACATTGCCTTGCTGTGACATCTCTTGTTTGGACCGTCTCGCCCTGCGTGCTTGCCATGATGGTGGCTCAGAACACAAGACTCAAGATATGTAGCCGTCACCAGAGCCAGCATTTGCTTCCACCTGTAGCTAACAACTAGCGCTTCTTTCCTCTAGCTCAAAACTGTCGCTCAAGCTCATCATGCCGTGGACGAAAGAGCAAACGACCCTGTGGCCACCATGCACGCAAGACAAGAGATTCATACGCAGCCACACTGGAGGCTCTTGGTTGTATTTGCCGCGCTCTGTTAGCTCTTGGCCAGGAGTCTTGTTGTATCCCCAACAAGGGTCCTTCGAAGGAGCGTGAGCGAATCTCCACATCATCGTCAGATCTCGCTGTCTCAGTCGGCGGTTTCTCTGCAAGGCCTTGCTGCCCAGCTGCTCCCAAGGAAAGAGACGGCATCGAAAACTGCCAGGAGAGTTGTTGTGACGTCAAACAACAAACCCCAGCGCAATACGGCGCCTGTGCTGGCTCTTCAGCGACTTCTCATCATAAGGATCGGCCAACACTCTCTAGCACCGCGCAACACCAGGTTCATTCAGGCTCCCGCCCAGGAGGGCCAACCTGCTGCCATGAAGGCCCTTCTATGGAACCGATGCGCACAACTCTGGACCGTGAGCAAGGCCTGTCTACTCACGAACACATCGTCCTCAGTATTACAGGCATGACTTGTACCGGCTGTGAAACAAAGCTCCATCGCACCCTTGGCACTTTCCCCAGCATCAAGAACCTGAAAACCAGTCTGGTTCTTTCTCGAGCTGAATTCGATCTTGAGAAGAGGTCCCTAGTTGATGTTATGAGGCACGTCGAGAGGACCACCGAGTTCAAGTGCGAAAGGGTGAAAAAGGGAGCCTCGGTTGATGTCATCGTGCCAGGAGGTGCATCGGCATTTATGGGGGAGCGGTGGCCGAAGGGTGTGACAGACATGGCCTTGGTCAACGACACAACTGTCAACATATCCTATGACCCGCAACTTGTTGGTGCCCGGGATCTAGCTGAGAGAGGCTGGGGCGTGCCCGTTGAGCTCGCCCCCCCTCAGCCAGATGCCTCTCTGTCAAATGGGAGCAGGCATGTCAAGCACATCGGACTCATGACGCTCGCGTCCATCCTTTTGACCATTCCTGTACTGGTTCTTGCTTGGGCACCGCTCCACGGGCATGAGATTGCATACGAATCAGGCTCGCTTGCCCTGGCTACTCTGGTTCAATTCTTGGTGGCCGGACCCTTTTATCCCAAGGCCCTCAAGGCTCTCGTCTTCTCCCGTGTCATCGAGATGGACCTTCTCATTGTCCTCAGCACCAGCGCCGCTTATGTTTTCTCGGTCGTGTCCTTTGCATTTCTTGTGACTGGAGAACCGCTGTCGACCGGTAGTTTCTTTGAGACAAGCACTTTGCTTGTCACGCTCATCATGGTCGGTCGCTATGTGGCGGCCTTGGCTCGTCAGAAAGCCGTGGAATCCATCTCGATTCGATCTCTTCAAGTCAATACCGCCATTCTCGTTGACTTCCACGGTGACCACGGCAGGGAAATCGACACCAGATTACTTCAGTTAGGGGACATCTTCAAAGTCATGCCTGAGTCCCGAATTCCTACAGATGGTACTACTCTTGCGGGAACGTCGGAGGTGGATGGGTCCATGGTCACAGGAGAGTCTAGACCAGTCGTGAAGTCCCCCGGGTCACCTGTTATTGCGGGAACCAGCAACGGATTATCTCCACTGCTCGTCCGTGTCACTCGCAACCCCGGAGACAATACCATTGACACCATCGCCGCCATGGTTGACGAGGCCAAGCTATCCAAACCCACGATGCAACGCCTCGCTGACCGCGTGGCAAGCTATTTTGTCCCTGTCATATCGCTTCTCATGATCATCACGTTCGCCATCTGGATTGCGGTTGGAATCAGAGTACGTGGTGTATCGGCAAGGGAAGCAATCATCGAGGCAGTTACATACGCCATTACCGTCTTGATAGTTTGTTGTCCTTGTGCCATCGGCTTGGCCGTTCCCATGGTCGTTGTGATTACTACCGGTGTTGGGGCCGAACACGGTGTCATCTTCAAGTCCGCTGAGAGTATCGAGGTGGCGTACCAGGCAAAATATGTCATCCTTGACAGGACTGGCACTCTGACCGAGGGCAAGTTATCTGTCGTTTATTACGACGGAACGGATGGGGAGCTGGTCAACATGTCGCTCCTTCTCGAACTGCTGGAGAGCACCAAACATCCCGTCTCCCTCGCGGTTGCTACTTTTCTGAAGGACAAGGGTGTGTTGTCCTCTACAGTCCAAGACATCAGGTCTCTGCCCGGAAAAGGAGTTCAAGGCCTTGGCTTGGATGGCCAAATCCTTCAGGCAGGGAATGTCCGGTGGCTCGATGTGGAGTCTGACCTCCGTGTCCAGATGCCTCAAGAAGCTGGCCACACGGTATTTTGCTTCACGATTGATGGCAAACTTGCTGCAGTATTTGGGCTCCAAGACACACTGCGAAAAGAAACAGCAACCACCATTCAGTCCCTGCAAAACCGCAACGTAGCGGTCCACGTTCTTTCAGGAGATGACGATGGCCCTGTTTGGGCCGTCACTGATCAACTGGGGATACCCTGCTCCAACGTTCGCTCACGCTGTACACCGGCAGATAAGAAGTCGTACGTTGAGGATATCCTATCGCGCTCTCCGGAATCCGTCGTCATCTTTTGCGGCGACGGGACCAACGACGCAGTGGCTCTAGCACAGGCTACAGTGGGCATCGCCATCAGCCGATCCCTAAACTCGACGGCAGAGCTGGCAGAATCTGCTGCCGACATCGTGCTCATGCGGCCTGACTTGAAAGGCATCCTAACCGTCATGGATTTAAGCCGCAAGTCAGTTCATCGTATAATTTTCAACTTTACGTGGAGCTTTGCCTACAATTTATTTGCCGTTCTGCTGGCAGCGGGCGCATTTATGTCACTCAACAATGCAAGGATTCCACCAGAGTTTGCCGGGCTGGGAGAGCTGGTCAGTGTGTTGCCCGTCATTCTGGCAGCTCTACTTTTGAAGCGGGCAAGGTTCTGAACAAACCGGACGAATTTATTGGCTGTTTTGTCAATAATACATGGCTCAAGAAGAGAATAACAACACGAGTTCCCACACGAACCCATGCCACAAGTGGAAACATACACCCAGCATTCCTGAGCTCACAAACTAGCACGGTGTGTAGCCTCCATATGGCCCCGTTTAATCCCCAACCTCACCCTCCTGATCCGGTCCATCTTATCCAACACCCTCGTCTCCAACCGCAACACGGTTTCCTTGTAGAAGGTCTGCGTGGTCCATTCGAATGAGCATCCCAGCGCCCTCTGCATGCCACCCTCACTTCCGCAAATGAGCAGGGCTTGGGGCGGCCTTCGAGCCTGGAACAACGTCGCCGTCATGCTGTACGTATCAACCAGCGTGAATACCTACGTGATGCCGTTAGTCAGACGTCTGCCATACAGGAAACAAGAAAGGAAGCGACATACCCTCAAATCCCCCGGCCCAGCGTTCTTCGCCTCCTCCACCATCCTCCTCGTCTCCTCCACAACAGTGGGATCCTCACTCACAATGTATCTGCCCTCCTCTTCGATCTTGTGCACCGCCAGCGGCGAGCTCGCATACCAGCTCCACTTCAGCCTGCCCATGTCGGCACCCCATATCTTGCGCTCAATCTCGCCGATGGGCATGTACCCCTCGAACCCGAAGAAGAAGGGCTGGACGCCCCAGAACTTGCCACCATAGAGGGTGCGGATGATGAAGGGGGAGGCCACCAGGATGGAGAGGGAATAGGCGAGGATAAATGCGCCAAATCCGCTGACTGGAGGCGAGGGGATCAGGGCAAGGATAGTGCCGACGATCAAAGGGATGATGTTGACGCGCAGGAGCCACTTGAGGATGCGGCGGAAGAGGGCGGGATATGAGGTTGTGAGGGGAGTGCAGAATTCGGACCAGTGAACTGTGGCGGCGAGGCAGCCGTCAAGGATGATGGTATCGGTCTCGGGATTAAGCTGGGCATGGGAGTATTTTGGCTTTTGCTGCTGGGTGGAAGGACTCGGAAGTTCGGTCATTTCTGTGACGGTGGGGGACCAAGACTTTTGGAGGGGGGAGTTGTAAGCTGGATGCGAGATCGACGTGGGCGGGCTGAGGGGAGCTTGGCTTTGGAACGAGACCTGAGAGCGGGAGGCAAGATGGGTTCGTGGCTGGCTTGCAACTGAAGGGGGGTATTGCCGCTTGGAGTGGGATAGGGGACTGGGTGGGAGGACCTTCTCGGAAGTAACCCCGTCATCATCTCGGTGGAAGAATTCCTGGTCAAATTCGCGCTCATTTACCGCGTCCATCTCGGCTTCCTGTTCGTTGTAAACTCCGATGCCAGCCACCTGGACGCTGGGCTCAATGTCCCAAAGTCGGGCACCATACACGTCGGTTGTGTCGTACCACACCTGCTCTTCATGTTGCAACAAGCAAAGCATCCTCTCAAACAGTCGGTTGTTGTAATTCTCGAGAGACAAGCGAGCGAACGCGAGGAAGGCAGAGTCACTTCGGTGAACTGATGGCCGTCTGCCCAACAATCCCATGAGTGCATAGGAGTAGTCACCAGGGAGGTACTGAGTCCCGGCTTGACGGGAGCTGAAGCATTCCAAAGCAACTGTGGTGAGCTCGAGATCGCTCAGTTTGAGGTTGCCGGAGTAGTGGTCGATCAAGCGACGAACCTGGTAGCGATCTCTCGACGTCTCGAGACACCGGGCAGCAAACTGGTTCTTCGGAATGATTTGCTTCCGAATTGTGCCATATGGCGATGCTGAAGAATCCCGGAACGGGTCGGAGGCCTTGGCTGACGGCTCTTCCTCATGATCGGAGAAGTAGTAGCATGTTATCGTGGACCCTTTGCTGAGGAGAAGTTCTGGAAAGGTCCAGATGGACTGAGACCAAGAAGACAAGAGGGCGTAGCAGGGGTCCTTGTCGCTGTTCATGTCGGCCGAAGTATCCTCATCAGACAGTCTGCCGAGAGCTATCGCCATACCGCTCGAACTTCGTACAATGTCACTCATTCTCCAGACGTCCAGAGACAACTCCTCCTCAGGCGCTGTGAAGCAGTTGTCACTGATCCAATAGCAGCTCAAACCTGCCTCCTTGGTTGCACGCCGGGCCAGCTCATGGAGGGCTTCTTTGTCTTGGAGATTCTCTGTTTGGAACTGAGAGACTCTCCAGGCAACGAAGAGATACTCGGGACAATGCTTTGCGTTCTGTTTCATCCACTTCAAGATGTCAGTTGGCATGGCGAGTTCACGGGTGGGTGTGGTGACAAACCTGCTTGACGTCGGTGGACTGATACGCCTGGTACTCTTCACCATCCTGGACAACAACCTGCGGCTTCGTATCCAACCAACACAGACACCGAGGTAGCAAGATGCGCTCAGTTCTCTCCGATACCGCACGGGGAGTCTTCTCAGAAGGGGGGGCGGCAAAAATGGCAGGTCTTTCTGTGACGGTCTTTTGGAACTGGATCTCTCCCTGATGGATACTGTTATCCAGGGGGTTGCGGCTAGTTTTCGGGCGTCCAAAGTATCGGTACGGCACAGCATCATAGTTCCCGCCATTCCTTACCTCTCCTCCTCCAGGTCTCACAGCAAGTTCTGCTTGACAGTCAGCCTTCCTATCTCTTGTGTGGGGTGGGCAAAGTATCTCACCAAGAACAGCATCAAGGGTGTGATGGCAAGAGTTCGTCCGATAACTTGAGCAATGTCGCCAAAGCTGTACTCTTTGATTGGCTTGTTGACGTCGTCAACGTGACCAAACACCCAGTTGGATACCTTGAGGGGTGTGGGCCCGACATTCTTGATCTGTTTGCGCTTCCAGGTGCTGCCGCCTTTGCCGTTGCGAACATCATCGGTTGCCTGGACTTTGAGCTTGATGAATCTGCCACTGTTGTAGGAGATGGTGCAATCCGAGTAAACATCACTGTACGTCCGGCCAAAGACATCTCGGGACTTGTGCCGGGTCAGCTGGGTGTATTTGTGTGTCGGGGTCATTGTGACGAGAGACGGGCAAGGCACAGGGCCTAACGGTGGGCCACTTGGGCTTTGCTCCCGGTTTGAGCAGCGGATTGGGTGTTGGATTGTGCAGTTGATGTCGGCTTGGGTCCACCTGCAAAGGTGGATGGAGGTGCTTGCTGAGGGCGTGTCTGCTCGGTGGGGGGCTGCTCAGTAGGGGGCTGCTCGGTAGGGGGCTGCTGAACTTTTCGTCGTTGAAACCTGGGTTTTGCTCTGGACAGTCCGTTTGACGATTGGCCGTGGAGGCGGTCAGGGGCTGGCCATCCAGGAGCCTGAGGTCAGTGTCAGCTTGTGTGACCAGTGGCGGGGCTCAATGGAGGATATATACTTGCCATTCCAATGCTTGTTGCTGGGGCTTTGGTGCAACAGATCACTCTAGAGTGTTCCCACTTGCAACAGAACAAGCGGAATGTGAGTGGCGGGCAGGGTGGTGCAGGACGACGGTAAGAGCGTCCATGGGATCGAGCGGCTGAGGATGTGCACCTAGATATAATTTCCTTTAGGTGTTGCCATGAGTTTCGAACGAGCCATGGCTCGCTTGTTCCTGAGCTGAGCATACACACCACACACCATACCTTAAACGCCAAAGGCTGAGTGCTCGAGACACACCACACCGAAATCAGCGAAAATAGTATGCACCCTTTAATCTCCTGATGCATCAAGTATGCCTAATGGGACTGTCAGCTCGCTAGCGCCAGAGGAAGATGGTTTTATCGAAGGACACAATCTCATAATTCTGCATGTTGGGTGGTATCACGACAGCTAGCCGGGCGCGATGTCTTGGCCTACCATGGTGAATAAAGGGGGCAGTCTCTCAGCTGAACTGATGAGCGCTTAGTGGCTCATGCTATGGGCTTGGAAACATGCAGGCCTTCATTTTTCGGAATTTGCCGAGCCTCGTCCTCACCGACACGTTTGTGACAGTTTGGAGGGCTTCTTCTCTGTTCGTGTTGAGTCCTGTTGCAAGAACGGACTGTCCGCTGCCGTCAAGAAGCAGGTTTTCCACGTTTCAAAAATGTCACTATTCTTGGACAGAAGATTGTATCTTGAGCGCTTTCAACAAGATCGTCCCGCGCAAGGCGACGAATATGGTTGCACGCTCCTTCAGTGGCCCGGTGGTGAGTGCCCCAGGGCCATGGCCAGTTAAAGCCAACCGTGTTGGATCTTAATGTTCTTCACAGCAACGACAGGTACACTTTGCCGGGATCACCTCACCCGAGCGACCGAGATTACAGCTTTCCCTGAAAGCGAACTTACTATTGTGTCAGTATTTTTCCGCTATCTCTCTATCTTGGTCACCTGCTCATGAAATTCGATAGCCTTGCTCCCATAGACGATCCGTCCCCTGACAGTCTTGCAGGCTTTGAGGCTTTGGTTGAGCGATATGATATCCCAGGTGCATTTCTTGAAGAAAGAACGCAAGGAGTCTTGAACTCATTTGGTTATATTCCAGAAGGCCCCGGGTCATACTGTTAGTATTCTGCTCAAAACCAAAACCGCTCTCTCTTAGTTATAATTATGCTCACCTAAACACACAAGGTGTTTGGACACACTTTCTCCTCAAGGACATTGAACGAAATGAGACGTCGGGCGCCATTGAAATCTCTACAAAGCCTCAACGAAAGCCCCTGAATACCCGCCTTGTGAACTATTTTCGACGCATGTTTCTCTCTTCAAAAGCACCAACCACGACCTCAGCTCAGCAATTCGAAATGCACCAACCGCGAATGTCCTACATTGAGACAAACAAAGACGATGCTGATGACTATCTGCCAAGCTGGACGTCGAGGTCCTTTTTTCTTCGTGTAACCAACCACGGCGGTAACAATGCAAGAATCACGCTCCTCTGCTTTGAGCCCTCGCCTTTCTTAGAAGAGGAGCTCGTCAATTTGCCCCAACGCATCGATTGTAGTCAGATCATGGCGAATCCGTTCATTCTTCTCGAGATGATCATGTATGACTTGTACATGCAGCTCGATATCAATCTCTGGGAACTGCGCGACATCTTTCAGGTTGAGCAAAAGCACTTTGGTTACCTCACCGCCAATCCAACACTCCCACTGGCAGACATTGACTTTTCGGCTCTCCATCTTCTGGCAGACTACATCATCATGCTTCGAGAGGGATGCCATGGTTTACTGAGCACCGTTGACGCAATTGTTGATCACTATCAAAAGTACAGCACGGTTGAGGATGCTATCCTGCGAGACAAAACATACGAGGCATTCAAATATCGCCGTCGTCTTGTCGCTTCGACGTCCGAACGTGCCGGCACATTCGAGAAACGGATCAACAACCTGACGACTCTCTTTTTCAACCATATCTCCCAGCAAGACAATGCAATGCTGATGAGGGACAGCTCAAGCGTCAAGGCCATCGCTGTCGTCACCCTGGTTTTCCTCCCTATAACGACAGTTGCGACTGTATGCGGCTCCGAGTTTTTCTACACGAGGTCAGAAGGGGGGATCAGAATGGATCCCACAGCATGGATCATGTTTGGGCTTTCTGCTGTGCTGAGTTTGGTGTTGCTGTGGATGTGGAATTTCTACACGCAAAGTTTGGAAGAAAAGTTCGCGCGAGGAAGAAGAAGAGCCATGAATGGGAGAGGAAAACAGGATGGGAAACTGGTCTTTTCTGCATAGACGCAGAGTTGAAGTCCCTCCCTCCCTAGGTAGCGAGCTCCTACTGCGCTCCTGTACCGAGACTCACAAGCTTCCAGTAAACTCTCTCAAACCTCAAGCTCCTTATAAACCAGTCATCACCGACCTTGACCCAGACTTCGTGATAGTATCTGCGCCAGTCCCATGAAACCCCCTCGTTTCCTCACCATCGCCAACATGAAAGATAACGCTCCAGATTGCCTTCATTTCCTTCCCATCTTTCCCGTCCACAAAGTAGAGCTCCCCCGGTCCCACAGAGTGAATGTACTGCAAGTCCTTGTTTCGTTCCTCAAAGTAATTAAGAAACGCGTCGCGATGGGAAAATGACATGCACTGGCCCCCCTCGGTCATTGGAATATCGGGGGTGAGGGCATCAACAAATGTGAATGTGGCTTCAGGGAGAGCAAACTCGGAGAATCGACGCCATTGTTTGGTATCTGCGGATCGACAGTAGAGAGCCTTTTTACGATGAATAAGCTCGGCAATCTCGTAGGGGACGATGTTAGTGGCCATTATGGCTTGGCTGGAAGGTTTCTGTCTTGACTGGCTTTTCTCTGCTTTGATGGAAGAGTCTGAGCGTAACCAATTTTTAGGTATAGTAGATACCTTGTCTCGTCGAGGTTGAACCCCGCTTCTCGATGGAGTTGTAACACACGGTGAACAGCTGAATGAGTGAGACAGGTACACACAAGTCACGGTAGTAACGTGATTGGGCTGATCGACAATATATTTCCCCGCTTGGGAGTTTTGCATCCCCCTCAGGTGTTGAAACCTGAAATGTGCAGGATACCTACCGTGAGTCGAGGCAGTTGCTCACTACTCTCTCCATCCGTATCTCATCTCTTTTTAAAACAATTTGCCTGATCTTTGGAAAATTTGGGCGTTTGACACCTAGTCAGCTTTACTGAGAGTTGAGAGCATATACCTAGGTACCAATTTGCTGCGTTGGTGGTTTCCTGCGAATTCAACCGACCATTTACACTTCTTGATTGTAATCGAGAAAAGGAATCCCTTGTGGCTCCAGATCCTTTCGTGTAATATAAGGCTAAGAGGAGTACAAGCGAAGAAATTAAAGCACATAAATACTTACACCATTAGGGTTGGCGCAGCAGCCATCACGAATCCCTTGGCTTTGACAGCTAGCACATTCGAGATGATACAATTGGCTGTCAGCTGGTAAGGCTGCGCAAGATCCAGCTGTTAATTTTATTTGCCGTATGCATTGCCTTATTTTGTGCATCTCATTTGTTTACCGACTCCCTATAAGGCCACCAAGATGGAGCTGTGTCTGGCCTCACCCTTGGCAGCCATGTCGCTTCTCATGATTACCACGTCCGCCCCTGAGTGTCTGAAACTACCCTTTCTTGACAGATAACAGCGACCTCTCGCTGTACCCCGAGTTTCAGCTATCATCTCTCCTCTCTTCAACACTTCACACCGGGCATTGTTTCCAGTCTCTGGTGTTTTACAATGCTGGTTCTTACCAAGAGGGTATCGCCATATCGTGCGGCTACTTTCTTTCTCATACTTTGCAGGTGTGGGGTTGAAACAAGGATATCAAATACTCCCTCCACAGAGAACTTTGTTAGAAGATCTGGGGTAACAGGTAGGTTCGCTTCGTGTTAGCCACACCTTCTGTTTGCGTCCTTGCATTTGTATTCTGACTTTGAGCCCTGTTTAGCTGTTCTTCTAGGGGATTACGTTTACATCGATGGAGGCAACATATCCCGGCTGGACGACGGTGTAATACCTAAGGAAGGAAGGCACCTAGTCAACACGACGATATCCATCGACATGTCCCAGCCGTGGAAGAGCGAGTCCGTGGCCTTGCGAGAGATTTCCAGGTTCAACGAAGGCGTACAATGTAGAACAAGGGGCGCCATTTGGGCGAACGCTGAGAAAGGCGAGTTTTGGATTTGGGGTGGCTACCTGCCAAAAATTGCTGATGGCATGAATGACACGTTTATCTGGAAATTTACCGCCGACGGTTGGGGCGGTGGCTCTTGGGCTAAGGAAACCCCTTTAAACTTCGAAAAGCTTCCCAGTTTGCAGCAAACGAAAGATAGTGCGTTTATGGTAGCTCACGACAAGGGCTATGTTCTGGGGGGTGTAGGAAGCTGGCTACCGTCGGACGAAGATGCAGGCCCCGGAATGGTAACCTACGATTTTAGATCCAAGGTGGTGGACAACGGGACAGGCCCTGCCATTGGCATCTTGGGTAAACCAGCCACATTGACAGGAGCAAACCTCCTGTTTATGCCAGGGTATAACATGCCAAACGGGCTTGGTTTGGTCCTTGGGGGGCATGCTCTTGCTACTTTCGATGGAACAGCAAAGGTTGAGGAGTCGCATCCACTGGACTTGCACAATCTGACATTCTTTGATCCGGTAACCAACGAACAGTACTGGCAGCTGACAACAGGACACATACCTCCCTCTCCCCGCTCACGCGCTTGTGTCGCTGGACCCTTCCGCACACCTGGAGGAAATTACGATTTGTAGGTAGACGTTTCAGTCTTGTCTCATCTCATATTGTGTTCACTCTAATGCAATTGCTAACACGTATATTTGACAAGATTTCTTTTCGGCGGAGAAAACAAACCGACATACACTCGGTATGATGATGCCTACGTTTTGAGCCTTCCTGGCTTCGTTTGGACCAAAGTGCCATCCCCAGCGCCGGGGGGGTCGCGTGCTTACCACTCTTGCTTGTCTGTTGGAAGAAACCAAGTGCTGAGTGTCGGTGGGACGCGTGGTGGAGGCTTTGATAATGACTGGAGGTCTCCCGACCCTGTGCCCCAAGGCTTGCTTTTGTTCAACATGACCTCTCTGAGATGGCAACTTGAGTACTTCGTCGAAGGCGACCTTGTTTCGGGATATGAGCGAGCAAGCACTATCAGGAATTGGTACCAAAACGGGTTCGTCTAAGACCTATACCCCTTACCTTTTTTTTTTAGGAAGTTTTGAACTAACCGCAGTCAACAAGTTCACTGGATCGTGTCCAATGGTCTTCAGAGAAGGTGCAAAGAATGTTTGGGGGCTCAGGGGCGGTGAAAAGCACTGTGCCAGATGTATCAGATTCGGATGCATCGCCTTCCAACACTACCATCAATGTCGCAACAGCCACTGTAACATCTGAACCTAATCCGTCAACGATACCATTAGCAACAGTAGTGGGTGGCATATGCGGAGCTTTTGCTCTAGCTTTTGTTGTTTCTGTCTTGGGCTGGTTCATTTACCGTTCGAGACAGAAACGAGCACCGGTGAAAGAGACAGATAAATGGCCAAGGAGTCAGGATAAGTGCATTGAGACAGGGCCGGATGGATATTACGTCTACGGGATTCCAGGCGAGTTACAGGGTACCACTGTACGGGACAGTTCAATGAACTGGCCAGCGCAAGAGCTTGACTCGGGCCATCAGTATCCCGAGCTGTCTGATGGCCGGTCATAGGGTGTGGATATATGTTATGCAAAGAGTATCAACTTCTTGGAGAGTGGAACACTGGAATCTCAAACTTGTGTTTGATATCGGCGTCAACCACGCTTATTATCGGGTATTTGGCCACGAGATGGCATAAGAGACCATGTAGAGGTGCATACCATCGTCGTATTGTAAGATCAAGTATATCGGGTTGAGCGAGGCTTGTTTAACTCATGCCTGTAAAAGCCCAAGGATTAACTAACGTTACCCTCTTTTTAAATCTCATCTCCCCGATCTCATCATTATCATTGACTTCACCGTCAACACCTCCTCCCTCAAGAACGCGCACCCCAACACTCCCACACTCAGCGACAGTTCCATTTCCACTCCCCAACCCCAGCTGCATCCCGCAACCAGCCCACTCCCTCACCTCACCCACATCAGTCCCGTTCCTCATCGCCCCACAGCTCAGTCCCCCATCTTGTGTACACCCCAAGGCAACATAATCATCGCCCCAAACATCCAACATCTCTTTGCTCACCATCCATATCTCGCCTCTTTGCCCTTCTTTTACCCCAATAGCCGCCACATAAGGTCTTTGCTCCTCCGTCTCATCCACCAGCCCGACAACGCAAAGGTAACCACCCGCTTCAATGCTAAACCGGCTCGCTTGAGAGCTGCGTGAGCCAAACAAAAGAGCGCGGGCGGACAGGTGGACGAACCAGTTGTCGAATGGGGTTGAAGGGTAGGATATCTGCAAGGAGAAAGGCGCCGAGGATTCACCGCACGAGGTCGGAAAGATTGCAGTCGGGGTCGGAATCGATGACGTTGTGGTTGTGTTGGCCCAGCGAACGGTGGTGTTGGCAAATGTAAAGGTCGTGTTGGCTGTGAAGAGTCGAGGCCCGGTGGTCAGTGCTGCTGTGGGGGTGGCTCTGGTGGTGTTGAGCCACAAGGGACGAGAAGAGGTGGTGTTTGACAGGTGGGAGAGGCCTGTTCCAGTGGCAGTTCCTGTGAGAAGAGCTACCTTGTGGGCTTGAAGGGAGGTGGTGTTGGTGCGGGAAAAGAAGCCGGGGGCCGTGATGTTGAGTCGCCAGAATGGGAGGTGAAAGCCCTGCGAGGGCTTCGCGGATGCAGTGGTGGTGTTGAGGTAGCGGCCCGTCTGGCTGATGTGTGAAAGAGAGCCACCTGCTGAGATGCTGCCTTTTTCTGCGGTGGTTACTGTGATCAGAGTCGTGGTGTTCATCACATACACCACTGGACTCTTGCTTGGACTTGTTGATGAGACGGTGGTGTTCAAAAAGCGGCCTGTCGGTGAAGTTCTCTCCGTGTTTGGACTTGCTCCGGTTAATCGAGTCTGTGGTCGGGCTGTTTCTTGGGATGAGCTTGTTGCTAGTGATGATGACAACTTGAGTGCTTCGAGAGTCTTTGAAGTAACTGGCAGTCGGCTACTATTGTTCAAAGAGCTGCCCAATTTTTTCGAGCTTACCGTTCGAGTTATCATCAAGGTGGCAGTCGACGATCGGATGGTTGAAGTGGTTGTCACACGCGTGATGCTCACACAGGAACATGACGAGGCAAAGTCTGCGATCGACGAACAGAGGATTGTTGGAGCTACACCCGAGGTCAGGTTCGAGAGAAACCCATCCTTCGTGTATTTGTCCTTCCACAGTTTTCCATATCTGTTATCCGTCGCCAGTGTGCCATTCTTGGGTGAACTGGTTGGGTTGAAGGACTTGGTAGTTGTCGCGGTGTCAGACTGAGAACCGGTGAGAGTGACTGTCACAGTTCTTCATCGAGGCTTGTATCAGTAAATTTTCTTCTTGCTTGGAAAATAGCAGGTCGTTCATACCGTCCTGCGACTTTGGTGGTGATTTGGGAGGTCAAAATGCATTCAGGTATAAAGCTCGACCGAGTCGAGTTGTTTCCCGCTGCAAAGACGATGGCATTCGAGAAAGACCCAGCCCAAAAGACTAAGGAGAAGAGTTTCATGTCTGCGTTCTCTCAGCACTTAGTCTTGCATTATCGTGATGATCTCCGTCGACGGCGCCGTGAAGAACTGAAGATCAATCCCCCACCAGACGCGACCTGCGCGTGCAGAAACACTTTAAATGACAGACATGGAGCAACGCCTTGTTTTTAAGAATTCCATGTTTCTGCTTCCAAGAAACCGGTTCTATGACGGAAGTCGACTGTTTTTTGGTTTCCTTCAGATTGCGTCCCCTTGCTCTTAGTTGCGGTCTTATACCCGGCGTCCAATGACGCCCCTGGGTGCCCCTGGCGGATGTTGATCATTGCCCGTCTTGGCCACACTCTGATCAAATACACCATATTACCATCGAGAGCTCAATCGTAATTTTTCTCTCTATAGTTATTATGCGTCAGGCCAACCCGGCACAGATTAAATAACCCAACAACGCTGGAATACTAAAGATTGACCAAGCAATGATAAATAATTGCTAGTGATATAGAGTGAACGCCCAGCGGCTCAGCCAGCTGATCGCTACGACAGGGGATAACCCCTGTAAATCTTCCGTAGTATAGTGGTCAGTATGTGAGCTTGTCATTAACACCGACTTCGCTCGAGACCCGGGTTCAATTCCCGGCGGGAGAGATCATAACTTTTTTGCATTTTTGCCAACGAAACCGTCTCTGTTTCGGTCACAATCCTAACCCTAGTGGAATTTCTTCTTTTGTTCTAGGCCCGACGCGGGTCCCGCTTTGCCATGTATGTGCCGGCAGCGGGTTTTAGCGGGAATTTGGCGGGGAAGCCGTTGTCACAAGCTTCTGTTGTTCTCGAAGCATGGAACGGCCAGTGATCATCAAAGCAGCGCTTCACTCGTCCCATTTTCCCAATCGGAAGACGGCGAATGGCGCGAGGTGACTCAGCCATTCAGGCAGATGTGCTCCATGGCTTCCCGGGGATGCAACGGCCTGATCTCCTGGATAAGTCAACGCGACCGCGCTTCACCGTCCTCCTTCCTGTTGCGGGCTGAGGGGCCTTATCGTCGGTGAAGCTCTCTCCATCGCCAAGTACCGTAGTGCCGATTTTTTGTGGCAGTCGCCTTCTCATTGCCAGACCAGCAACACAGGCAAACCTTGCCACTGTTGATCAAATAATAAAACCGAGACTTTTTTTCTCCCCATTTCCTTCTTTTATTATTATTCTCACTCATTCACTTTTACTCACCATCCGCCTTCACAGACACCTCACTCCCATCCGTCCATCGGTAGCTGCTTCTTATCGCACACCCCGCAGTACCATTCGTCATTAAAAAACTGACCCTGCCACCGTTACAAACATGGCCGAATCTCAGGAGCTGTCCATGGACCTCCCCGTTATTGACCTCGACGTCTTCCTTCACAACCCCCGTGACTCTGCTGAAGTGCAGGCAGAATGCGTCAAAGCCGCCAACGCTCTCATCACCTACGGCGCACTGGTGCTCCACGATTCGCGCGTGTCTGAGGATGACAACACCACTTTCCTTGACCTCCTGGAAGATTACTTCGCCCAACCAGAAGAAGATCTCAAAAAGGATGAGCGCCCTGAGCTCAGCTACCAGATTGGTGTCACGCTCGAGAACACCGAAAAGCCCAAGTGCGCCGTCGATGAGCCATGCCTGAACGTGATCGAGAGACTCGCCCCTTCAGAGCGCCCCTTGGATATCAAGGGCCACGAACCCGACCCGAAGTGCAGATTCTTCTGGAGAATGGTCGAGGCCCCTCCATATGAGACTCAGTTCCCAGGCTTGAACGCCGACAACATCACTCCTGATGCGCCCCATATCAAGGAGAGATGGGGACCAGTCATGAACCAGTGGGGAACATCCATGAAGAATGCGTAAGTCCTTGCAATTTTTTGTGATTTTAGATGTCCAAAGTATGTTGCTAACATTGGCTATTGCTGCAGCGTGGAAGGCCTCACCCAGATGGCCGCCGTTGGCCTTGGCCTCCCAGCCGACACCTTCAAGGATGCTGGCCGCTACGGCCCTCATCTCCTGGCCCCTACTGCCTCTGATCTCCAAAAGTATGGCAAGGTCAACACGATCCTCGCCGGCTTCCACACCGATCTTAACTTTCTCACCATCCACGGTCGCTCCCGCTATCCCGGCCTCCACATCTGGGCTCGCAACACAGGAAAAAAGATCCCAGTCAAGATCCCGCAGGGCAACTACTTGCTGGTCCAAGCCGGTAAGCAGCTCGAGCACATCACCGGTGGCCTTATCAAGGCTGGCTTCCACGAGGTCGTGGTCAACGAGAGCACCGTCAAGGTAATCAACGATCGCAAGGAGAAATTCCCCAACAGGCCACTCGTGAGAATCAGCAGCACCTTCTTCTGGCACTTGTCCAGCGATTACGACTTGTTGCCCATCCCCGAGCTGAAGGAAAAGGCCAAGGAGGTCCGAGCTGCCCAGTTCAACTTGGGCAAGGATGAGGGCGAGGAGGTCGAGTACCCTGCTCTCAAGGTCGGAGAGCAGGTGTCCAATGAGCTGAGGCACATTGCGCTCATGGCGAAATAACTGACAGGGTTTTTCCTGTGGTATTTCTTTTTTGCTTTTTTCGGTGTGATTCAAGCCACGGCATATGACAGGTGTCAAATGGGTTGCACAGCATTAGCGCTGCGGGATTAGGTCATTTTTATGAGGTCATGTGTAATGTCTCAACATGGTGTCTTAGACCTTGGGTACCTAGTAAACAAGCGAGTCTTCAACGACTATTGTATCATATCACAAATGCATTTATATTTTTGCATAATCCGGGGTACATCTGGCAAGGAGAAAATTACCGGCTGCACAGTGAGCTCTGGGTCCAGTGACAGTGACAGACCATCAAGGTCCTCCGTCCGCTCGCTCACCGCCTTCAGATCTTTGTTCCAGCTTTGGCCGCTCAACCCCGAGTCTACAGTAGAAGGCAGGCATCCAGTTGAACACTAGGTATCTAATGAACTCTTTCTATAGTGCCCTTACCCACCCGCCACATCTCAACTCATGGGAGCCATGATGAGCGATGGCCAACCGTAATCAACAATTGTCACCACGAACAACGACATTCCACTTGTCTGCTTAGAACGCTTGTCCCTTGATACGAAGGTCGTTATCCGTGACACATCCATGCTGGCGCAGATAGTATGCGCCATTGCCAATCTACTTCCACTGGACCTCCTGCTCGTGATCATCCTATCTGTTTGTCAATACCCTGGGCGTCTGGGAGTTATGGTGAAACATAAGATGCGGACAGCTTCCATCATTGCACCAGTAGATGGCTGCCCACCACGAGCAGCTGACGCGTCCACAGTTGCCAGGACCCGGTCCGTTCTTTGCGGTGCCTGACATAACCCCACAGGTAGTGAATCCCATCCAAAATCTGGTTGTTGCTGGCCTTGGCAAAGGGGACATCGCACGTGAAGGACTCGGGGTCCCCGGCGGCGGCGGCTGATGAAATGTGGGCTGATGTAGTCGGGATTAGGACTTGAAAGGTTGCGTTCCGCCCAGAATATCTCGCCTCCATTTGCGCAATCGCTTCCTCGATGGTGCCGGTGACAGTCGCAATAACGCCGGTAGGATCGTCAACTTTGACAGGAAGGTCCCAAGAGATGGGAGCCATTCCGTAGCCCCCAATACTGTTTGGCTGCTCGTTATTGGAGGCCGGAGCGCTGTAGACACCCTTTTTCATGTTAGCAAGTGTGTTCTAACGTAAGCTATCTACCTACGGTAGCCAAGGTGCTTGTAATATCATTCTTACCTCGAAAAAGGCCATCATGGCAGCGAGGGAGGTGAAACTGAACCACATGATGTTTGGTTTGCAAGTATGAAACGCAGGTTCTCGGAAATTGGTGATGTCTAATGTGAAATAAGAGTCTACCAAAGGGAGAGAGGGCAAATATACGCTGACCAAGAGAGACGTGGGCCGGCCGTAAGAGTTCCGGGAGCCAGCGTGACCAAAATGACTGTTGCTCTTATATTCACTTCAAGCGCTTAGAAAGGCAGAGTCTTGGATACCTTATGCTATCTAATGTTCTCAATAGATTGTCTGCTCTAACACATACCTATTAGATTAAAATGTTTCAGATGGCGGGACTGAAAAGTGATGCCCCTACCGCATGCAATCTGCATCCCAACACAAGCCTGTAGAACTATAGTGGCTTGCCAGTTCATGAGGTCTCAACCATTGAACCCCTGAACCGGGTGATACGGACCGACATACATAGGTAAGCACACTCAATAGTTGACTTTTCAAACGAAATCAATTTCCAAGACCAAACTACTTATCAACTACCCAACTACAACGTGCCATCACAACACGACATTACATTCCGGAAATCTCACTCGGCACATTCATCTGCCCACCATGTTCGCATCCCCCTTCTGACCCAGCAGCTGAAGTGCGGCAGTCCGCTTCTGAGCAAGCATTAGCAACCTGTCCGCCTTCACAACTCCATTGTTATCCCTTCCGCTCAGCATCAACGCAGTCTTGCACAAGTTCTTGATCTCTCTGCCGTTCATTTTCAGCTCGCACAGACGGTCCAGGTCGCTTTCGCCAACCACAAACTTCTCAGCTCCAAAGTGTTTGAAGAAGTTGAGCCAAACCTGCCGGCGCTGCGTGGAGTCGAGGTCGTAGTAAGGCAAGAACAAGTCGACGCGGGACCGGAAGGCGTGGTCGATGGCAGAGAAGCGGTTGGTGGTCAAGAACAGGATGCCTTGATAGTATTCGAGCTTGGTGAGGAAGACTGTGGTTTACACCGTTAGCAAGCCGCCACTTGGAACCACGATGAAGAGGCTGATGTAGAACACTTACTGGACACCAACTCATTACGAATTAAGCCTTCATCGCTTCGAGCACCCAGGAAGACGTCTGCCTCATCAAGAAGAAGCATGGCATTCCAAAGTCGGCACAGATTGAGAGCGTGATCAAGAGCTGCTTCGACCTCGGAAGGAGTGGTGCTCAAGACACCGGCCGAAACCAGATACAATGGGACCCGGGCTCGCTCAGCAACAGCTTCGGCAGTAAATGTCTTGCCCACACCGGGGGGGCCGAACATGAGAATGGTAATCCCACGCCCTGTGATGGCACGGTTAGTCTATGTTGTTGATCAAATGGTTCCCTCAAAAAGCAGATGCGTACCTTTGTCAGCCACAAAGTCGTCGCACTCCTGGGTGCTCGCCTTCTTGCTCGCCACGAACTCCCAGGCAAGCTGCTTCTCACCTCCCTTGGACACCAAGTTGTCAAAGGCGCTGTCGTTCCAGTCAATATCCCGCAAGTTTTCAATGCAGTAACGCCCCCAGTCCTTTGCTTTGATGTCGAATCCGATAAGCCAGGGGGTGGTCAGTAGAAGATGCTCGTCGGACAACTCCGGAAGGCTGGAGTCGTCGACCCGGTCCGAAGTCTGAAGGTTGACGGTGGTAGCGGCCATCTCGTCCTTGGATCCTGATGATTCCTCCTCTACAGGTGATTCTTTCGCCACTTCCTCTTCGTTCTCCAACGAAGCGAGCTCAGGGACAGGTTTGTTCTCGCTATGGTAGTAGGCATAAGGGTCAATGACAACTCTCCCAGACATCTGGTTGTGTCACAGTCAGTACAAGATCGTCCAATCAGTTAGAGAGTTGTCCCACAGGACGGGAACACATAAACTAAGCTGAACATCCTCCTCCTCCCCAACCTTGAAGGCGATCTTGTGTCCCTTGTACTGCTGATATCGGTAACCTCTCAGCCCCTCCCATCTCTTTCCTCTGGCCAGCATTCTGGCCTTGATCCCCTCTGGATTGGCCGCCATCGAGAGTGGGTACACGCTCAAGTTCCTAACCTTCTGTCTTCCCTTGAAGTGGTTGATGGTGACCCACGTCTCCTTCATCCCGGTCATCTGGCCATTCCAGTCAACGTACTCGCACATGACCCACATGTTGCTGCTGTCGGAGCTCAAGCTGTGCTTCCGGGAAACACGGCACAGCGTCTCGACGCCGAAGAATTTGGTGACGACCAGCTCACCGGGTGGGAAGATTTGCCACAGGTTCTCATGTCTGACGCGCCCAGTCCCGAGCGTCTCGTCAAGAGTGGTAATGGAGGACTCCAATAGTGGGTTTAGAAAGTCGATGAGGTTGTTGGAGGCTTTCTTCCTCGCGGTGACCTCATCCGCATCATCGCCGTCGCTCAGGAGTGCCTGGATGGACTCGTGAGTTTCATTGAGAATCTTCCAGCGGTGAACCAGCGGCTGGAAGGAGGCATTAAAAGTCCAGTTCTCGGCGGTGAGTGTGTCTGGGTCTTGATAATAGTTCTCGAGTGCTTTTGCGAGTACGTCACGCATGCTGGGGCAGTTGACGGTGATGCTGTTGGTGACGTGCTGATCAGAATCGGGATGGCGCTGGATGATGGGGATGTTGGAGACTTCCGCTTCGAGAGAGGACCGTTCCTCATCGACGTTGACATGTTTAGACAAGCGGCTGGGGCAACTACCGCAACAGCAATCGGTTTCGTAGAGCTTCTGCGCCACCACCGAGTTATCCGGCTCGGAAGGAGTCTCAGGAACAAGACCTTCGTCAGCACTAGAAGACAGAGAAGAGGGTTGGCTGACTTCGTTCTCAAACACCTGAACACCAGAGTCATCGACTATCTCGTCGGGTTCGGAACCACAAGGGGTTGCTGATCGAGTGCTCGGGGCCGACATGGCTACAGGAACGAGAGCTGAAACAACGTGATAGGTATGGAACAATGGTGAGATTTATACAAGAGGAATGGCTGTTGAAGGTCGTCAAGTCTGAAGTGTGGTTTTCCATTGAAGCTGACTTGAAAGTAGTTTCTGCTGGGCTACTTATATGCCATGAAGCTCTACTTCTGTGTAGGGTAGGCCTAGGCTTTCCATGATCCCAGCCTCCAATTTCTCATTGACAGCATCCTAAGCTATATGTCTGTCACTTCCAAAAAGGTGCATTGCAGGAGAACGAATCGATAAGCGCCAAGGGACTGTGTTGCCTAGAACTGCCTGGATGGAAACCAACAACGTATGAGATGCTGGATCACCACCCAACCCCATCATCTAAAACTCACAAGATCAGATACCTCTCGTGAATCTCACTCCTACAGTCGCCTGCTGCTGTGCACGCCAATCTTCTTCTTGCCTGGTGAGGCTTGTCTTGGATGTGTTGTTATGATATTGGATGACAACCAGGCTACCAGACCCACCAGACCAAAGCTACTACCTATTTGGGTACTTCAACATGAAAGAAAAAAAGGCACTGGGGTTGTCCAGACTCGAAGCCATCAGCACTTGATAGATAGGGGCAAAAATGATACTCTCCCGCCGGGAATTGAACCCGGGTCTCGAGCGAAGTCGGTGTTAATGACAAGCTCACATACTGACCACTATACTACGGAAGATATACAAGGGTTATCCCCTGTCGTAGTGATTGGTTCATGAATGATTTGCTAGACTGTGAGTATATATTGGAGTCAATGCATACACCAACATCATGGGGAATTCGAGCCCCGAAATCTTTGGCTCGGCTTGATTTGCTTGTCGTGCTTCTCAGGTTGACTTCGAAAATACAAGCAATAACTGAAAAAGGAATTTGACGCTTGCGGAGTACCTTCAATAAAGAGCAACAAAGGACGCTCCTCGCAAGAGACAGGTGGAGGAACAATGGCGATGTTTACCTTAGTTGCTCCTTTGTATTGACACCTCGAGTAATACCAGGTATTCGAGCGTGCCCTGGCAGGTAAGTTCCTCGCTACGAAATGGCTTTGTCCATTTAAAAACCTCGTTGCGCCGTAGCAGTGATCGGCCTTCCATGGGTCTCGAGGTGCTGGAGGAGAATACAATACGGGTTGATATGGAGGGAGGTTATCACCCAGAATACTATCACAGCATCAGTCATGTCGTACGGTCATATCTTCAAGGATACAACGGGGCAGTACCTCTTCATCCGCGAGCTTGGAACGGGCGTCTCCTGTCGAGCTCAATTAGTCCGTCACTTGCCGACAGGCGAATATCGAGTCCGCAAAGTCCTCCATCGACGTGTGCCGATTGGCGAAGATCTCCCTCGCAACATCAGATACACGGTAGACGCAGATATCCAAGCCATTATCCAATTCAACAACGAGACTGCCATCGTTGATCTTCTCCAAAAGAGCGGCGAGCGAGACCAACTCAAAATCGCCGCGCTCTATTCACACTCAACCCATGTCGACGAAAAGAAAAAAAAGTACTCGCGAGTGTCGTACTGGTCTCTCTCCAACGGTGGCGACCTCGATTCCTTCCTTGTGGACTATCAGCACCACATTCCGCGACCTTTCATTCTTCAGTTTCTTAGCCAGATACTCACCACCCTCCAGCACATGTACAACGCCTGTCACGACCGTCTCGGCCCCATGGTTCACAACGACTTTCACGCAGGTAACATCCTTCTTCACTATCCCAGCGATGCTCGAAGCCCCATCCCCGAATTCCACCTCATCGACTTCGGCCTTGCAACCCCGTTATCTCCGGCATCCATTGCCGATGAAAATGACTTCCTGCTTCCGGAACCTGGCAACCCACCTGTCTGGGATATTCCTCGCCTGTTGAGAGTTGTTGACAAGCTACTTGTCACTTGGCCCGAAGAGTACCGAGTTTTCCTTCACTCGGGAGGAGATCCGATAGGTACTGCCTACAGGCTGCTCTTGGACCTGGACCGTCGGTTCCAGTATATACTACAAGAGCACCGAAGATATGTCTACGAGACGAAGGACTTTTCGCAACGACTAACCCTCCCCGACCTGCGACCTGTCATCGAGTATGTCAACAACTGTCGAGCGACTCTAGACCCCGACGGGGTAGAGACAAGAGACCATCCTCTCTGCAGCCAAGCATACATGAGAATATCTGATGCCAAGCTCGCGGTACCACAGACCTACAGCGAATTGGAGACAATCGCCCATACCAGAGACTTGCCTGGACCATGGCACATTGGTTATCTTGACCCAGAGCGAAACTATCAAGTGCTTGATCTTCTGGCTGTCGGCAACAAAGACACTTTCCACCGTCCAAATGAAGACAACGAGAACAGTGACACTGACTCAGCGTGGGGAGATGAGTAGAATGTGGGCGAACAAGGGGCAGAGGGCAAAAGAGAAGGTGGCACTTTGGTGTGCAAGAGTCTGGTGGTATTTCCTCTCATGATTGCTATTCAAGGCCTGCTGAAAGACACATCCAAAAGATAGGCACTGGGGAAGAGGGACTCAGCGACCTGGCCTCTTGGGCCGGCCGAAGGCTTTCTTTACCTCGACCTTCGGGTGCAGCTCTTCCAACACGGTGGCCTCGCTAAGTTCGTCAACTTCCTCGACTTCGAACCTCTTCACGGGCTTCAAATCAGCCTCTTTCTCAGCAGCAGCCAACACAGCCCGCTTCATCAGCGGATACATCATTCGGAATTTGATGGCTTTCGTGCCTGGAGAGGCCGGGCATGTGTAGAAGAACAGCAGAGGACTGCTCTCTTCTCCGTTGTGGGTATGAATAAACCTGTAAAAGGTGAACCTGGGTTCAGTAGACGAGATTACTTGCAGCAATTCCGAAATCGAAGAGGGGTTCGAGTTTTCGGGGACAAGTTCGACGGACTCGGTCTGGGGGTTAATTTTCTGTGGAATGGGCATCTAAGTCAGCCTGGGAACCTAACAGCCAATGGTACAAACAGAACACACTGACCAGCATAACCAATGATGGCCCGTTCCCGCTTCCCAGTTCCCTCAGCGCATCCAGCGCGTTTTCGGCGATAGGCGTAGCCAGATTTTGACTGAGATGAATCTCGCGAGTGCCCGTGCCTTGACCGGCTTCCTGCTCTGCCTTCCGGACAGCGCCCAGACTCCTCTCCTCTTCCGTCAGAGGAGCCTCGACGGCCGAGTGGGCGTCATGTTTATCGAAGCCAGCCGGGGTGAGCTCGTCGGGTGAGGTCGCGAAAAAGGTTTCCCGAAAATGCTCCGTACCCAGCTCCCGAACCAGAGTGCGCTCCGTCGAGGCGAACAACATCTTTTGGCGAACGGGAGCGGTGTCTGGAACATAGGTAACCCCCACCAGAGCCGGGCTGGAGGGATAGCGACGAAGGATCACGTAGAGAGCTTCATTGAGTTTTACGTGGGGCTTGAGGAGAGAATTGACATTGTCGGCGAAGGCGGCGCCAGGGGACGAGGTCAGGAGCTGAAGCGGCTGGAGCTTCTCGGACGCGATGGTGACGAGCAGGCCGAAGTGGGATTCGGAGGCGAGAAATTCGCTAAACTGGGAGACCAGCTCCTGTGAAGCTGAGATGCCGGACTGCATTGCAAGCTAATAAAACACCCAACAGAGCGGCGGGATGGTGATGGGCAGGCAAAGTGTGTGATGTTTCGAGATCGGGAATCCAGGAGCTGTTGCTACTTGCTAGGTAGCACCACCACAGTGGAGAAGTGGGGGGACCAGGGGCCTGTTCCCCAAAAGCAAGGTCCAGGCTCTGCGGCTTGGCAACGTCTTCAGCCAACAGTCAACATCCAACAAGCAACATCGCAGCACCAAAACATGGCACCTGGCGCCTGTGCAGTACACTATCGTGACTACACTATCTCGAAGTGACAGCGGCATGGCATCCTGGACCAGGAACGAATCTCCACGGATCTGATGCCAATGGCTCTGGCCTTCTCCCACCCGCGGGGCATCTGGCCATATCTGCTGATTCTCAGCGTCGCCCTCCCCCCAGTCTGCAGAGATCAATTCCCCGATTGGGGGCACTGCCGTGTCTGCCGTGGTGTCTCTGAGGTCTGCCCTGGTCTAGACCCTTCTGGAAGCAAAGCAGCCGCATGCTGCGAGAGAACATGCAGGCCCCTTCTCCCTCCTTCCTCCTCTCCTTGTTTCTCTTTCGACTTCAGCCATGGAATCTGTGTCTGTTTCTCGTGGTCGAGATAACCACGCTGCCTTGTTTGACACTTGGGGCCTTTGCTGTCTGTTATTTTCGATTCGTGTAGACCAGTGACAATTAAAGCATGATTCATTTTTTTTTTACTAGCTCGCCGGGTGCCCATCTGTTTGACTGACCATGGTGACAGGCATCTGTCTAGATATTCAGCAGGCGAAGAACATCTCGAATAGGGACCGACAGCTCAGCACACGATTGACGGGATCTGCTCCGAAGCATTTGCACCCACCATCTTACCCAGCCTCCCGTCTTCATACTGTCTGACCAACCATAGCAGGCCGGGAGATACTCCGTAGCGTCGTGAATGGATCAAGCAGCCCTGTCTCTACACTGTACAGTACAATACACACCCGTCCAGTTGGAATCATCTAGGCCCTACACCGGTCTCCTGTCCCCATCCACCCCCCTACCGTCTCCCAAGAACCAAGTTGAACGGCACCGTTGAGCGCTGAAGGCGCCTGTCTGTCCCTGACAGCCCGGGCACGTGGAGCCGATACTTCAGATATCCTGGCTCCATCGTTCGTCTCCCGACCTTGAATTTGCACCTCCATCCCGCGCCAGACATTTTGGTCAAGAGGCTTGCCGTCAAAGCCATTTTCATGGCAACGCCGCCGTCCCATCGGCCTTTGAGGGCCCTTCTTCCCGCGGACACGGAGGGAGCCGGGGGTGAGCGCGGAGCCTTGTCTTCGGCTTCGTCAAGTCTCGGACCCCGACCAACATCGGTCGAGCTAGCACCTCGGCGGCGGACCGCAAGAGCCGCATGTATCGAATGTCGCAAGCGGAAAACAAAGGCAAGGAACCGTCGCCATGAAAGAGGGCTGTTTTGGTGCGAGTGCTCGCTAACCTGTGCCTGATGGGTCCCAGTGTACTGCTGAGCGACCCCGTTGTAACGAGTGTACTCGCCGCAACTCTGACTGCGAATATGACGCGGGCGGCGATGAAACTCCCGGAAAGGCTCTGAAGCGACGTTTTGTTGACCTGGAGGACAAGGTGAACATTTACGAGCAGGTCTATGCCATCCTCAGGTCTCGTCCACAGCATGAGGCCAACTCGGTCTTCAAGCGAATCCGAACCGGTGACGACCCGCAGAGCATCCTTCGGCATGTCGAGCACGGCGATCTTCTTCTCCAGCTCAGAGTGGTCCCGGAATCCCGATACCGATACGAATTCCCCTTCATGTCCCCGCTCCCCGCCCGGCTGCAGACCGAGGACAACCCCTATTTAGGATCGCTCATATACGAGTGGGAGGTTGAGCGCCCTAGATCCCCCGTCAGGTCGCCGAAACGAAGAGGCAAGCAGCTGGAAACCGACCGGTCAGCAAGTAAAGAGTCTACCACGCCGGGCCCCGGTCCCTATGTGAAGCCGTTTCATGCCGCCGAAGTGCATGACCCTCTTATCGACTCGGCCGAGCCGTCAAAATGGACCGACGTCACGACGGATAATACTCTCCTTCGAAGTCTCTTGAGGTCCTATTTCCTACACGAGTACCAGTGGTTCTCGGCATTTCAGAAAGAATACTTTCTCTCCGATATGATTGCAGATCGACGTCAATTTTGCTCCCCCTTGTTGGTCAATGCCGTTCTTGCCCTTGCTTGCGTAAGTTGACCGGAACGCGTCCATCATTCGAGGTCATACACACAGTTGACACAAGCATCCGACCGCAGCACAGCTACCGTGAATTAACGGACCGGGCCGAGTTCTGGAACCCTCGAACACTTGGCTATGGCTTCCTGACCGAGGCCAAAAGACATTGGGAGTTGGAGCAGGCGGGGGGCCGAGGCAAGCTCACAACGATTCAAGCTGCCATCATCCTCAACATTGTGTATAACTTGAATGCCATGGTCAAGCTTGGGTGGCAATACACGCTCCAGGCGATTGATATGGCACACAAGATGAAGCTGTTCAAGAAGCCTGAGAACTGGGAAACGTTGAATACCAGGTTAAGGGCTGGCCGAGATTTCACGGCATGGAGCCTATTTGGCTGGCAAAGGTACGCGGTCTCGATCCAACTTGTTTTAAAGGGCACTCAGTCAGCGCAGGTGCTGATACATGGTCACTTTAGCCACTGTACCTACACTTTGTTTGAGAAGCCACTCGTAAACGACCCCCCGGAGGTGCCGCTGCCTACCATCACAGCTGACCCAAGTTGGTATGGCGAGGTGTGGCTCAAGTACCCCCTCGAAAGTATCCTGTATCCGAGCCATTTTGCAGAATTTTACAAGGCCAACACAGAGTTTCGGGTGATATTGAACGACATTTCCAAAACGTTGCACGGGGAGGCAGGGCAGAGTCGATCACCACCAGCCGAATCCAAGATTGCTGCGCTTTACTGGAGATTGCAAGCATGGTATGCTGCGCTGCCCGAATCACTTTCGCCTAGGACGATTGTGTTTACTGCGCAGATGAAGCTTCAGTAAGAGTCCCTGTGCTCCGACTCGGTCATCTGAGAGATTATGGATAACTAACGTACTTGCCCGTGCCAGCATGCATTACCACCATGCCATTGTTACCATGATACAAAGCCTCATGACCGGCGTATCAGATATTACGAGCTCAGCTCCGGCTGCGTCTCCGGCGTCAGTGGCGTTTCCAGCACCGTCACAAAACGTCCTCGCTATTTCTTCTCTTTTGAACAGTGACCCGCCATCAGAACCAACAGGGCCACCACTTCCACCCCTCCAGGCCACATTCTCGTTGCACCGAACACAGTACGAAACGCTGCTCAGGCTGTACTACCTTCGCCACGGATTCGAAGCTCTGGACGTCTTCATCATGGTGTCACTCATGACACTCGCGTTTATCACAACCAAAGAGCTCGAAGACACCCGTCTCTCCTCGGCCCAGCCGCCTTCCGAAGAACAAAAAGCACACATTGATTCCCTACGAGCCACCCTTGTCCTGTGCACCAGAGGGCTGTACGACCAAGGGAAGAGTTACTATCTGTCCCAGACCATCTTTCGTCTAGTACGAAGTGGGATGCATGTTGACGAGAAGGAGCTGCTCCGCGAATATGCCTCTCTACCTGACGAGGAAGACAGCGCGGATGCGAAGATGAGAGAAGAACTGGCCCAAAGGTTGTGGCCGCATCCCCACCCCCAGGCGCAGAACGACGGGCAGGAAGGCGTCGAGACGGAACATGCATCCGGGCCAGCGGCTCAGGAACAAGAGGGATGGAAAGTGCTGGATGTATTATTGAAGAAATATGGAGAGGTCAGGATGGAAGCTCCGGAGAGCGGCGACTCGGAAGATCAGGGGTAGGTGCCTAGGTAGGTAGGTAGGTACCTAGGTAACATGGCCAGGTTACAACAAAATGGGTATTTAGGAAAATAACAAGACTCTGCTTACAAAGAGGCTTTAATGAGGCTGTTCAGAGATGATGTGCGTCGCCAGATATTGTTATCGCCAGTACGGAGTACCATCCGTGAGGGGCACTCTGGTGCCTGGAAATGGTCATTTCCCGTGCACAGCGCCATTGGCTCGTTCAATCTCAAAACCGGGGTCATGGAACTTGTGTTCGTTGGGCCCTCACAACTGCCAATCACAGAGGGGCTTTGGGAATAGCTCCCCGTTCTGGTATTCTCTTGGCTCGAAACGGGCACCACCCAGCTGGGTAAGGGTCCAGGACGGTGACTCCCTGTCCCGTGTTCGTGGGTTTTGTTTTGTCAGGCACCGCTTCATCCACATCTTGTGTTGGTTCACCTCACAGTCGTTCTTTTTTTGGAGGATTTGTCACTCTTTTGTCTTCGATCTCGGGCCTCTCAACATGTCAAGATAGCGTTGGACTCTTCAGGATATACTACAGCGCACATCATGGTGCCGACTTACACTCGTTTATCGACACTCGCTGTCTCACTTCTGGCAGTCAGCGCAACGACGACCGCGCATGTGCTTCTCCCATTTGCACAGCACCACGAGCGCGGCCACCAGCTCTCTGCCCGCAACGATGGCACAACTCAGCTCTCGCTCGTCACAGAGACGTATGCTTACGCCGTGGAGGCTGAAGTTGGGACGCCTGCCCAAAATATGAAGATGCTGGTGTCGCCCAATACCGGGCATTCTTGGGTCATCAGCAGTTCATCGTCAAACTGCCTGGACTACACTCGGTATAGGTACTGCACTCAGTACAACGATAGGTATCCCTACGATCCAACAGAATGGGGCGATCCGGTGGGAACGCCCTGCACCGAGGGAAAAGTCGTTACACGGCCAGGGCAGTGCTTATGGGGAACCTGTACGTCGCCCTCTCTTTTAGGTTGAGGTTTTCCATCCCACATCGTAGCTGACATGATGGCAGACAACTCGAGCCTTTCATCTACCTATTTGACAGCCAACCAGCGATACATGAACTTCGAGGCGAGTACAGCCGAAGGCAGCGTCTCCGGAACCAACATGACGGATCATCTCAAGATTGGCGGCCTGACAGTGGAGGACTACCCAATGGGCCTGATTACCTCTTCTAGCGCCCATGTTGGTGTACTCGGGCTCGGCTTCAACAGCTCCGGCTACTTGTACTCGTCGTATTCGTCGTCGTCGTCTTACACAACGCAAATGTACACCAACTTCATCGACCGACTCGTCCAGGGAGGCAAGAGCAAATCTCAAGCCTACAGCATGTGGCTCGACGATGCCGAGGGAAAGTCGGGCGGGCTGTTGTTCGGTGCTGTGGATAGGTCGAGATATACGGGCGACCTCGTGCGCCTGTCCGGGTCGAACGATTACCTTTCCGTGGCCGGCAACATGGTTGGAAACGTGTTTGGCACCGTGATCAACACCATCAACGGAACCAAGGGTGGCAAAGAACTGCCGGCTCTGCGCACACATGACTTCCCACTCGACGTCTCGATCAGCCCAAGCAATATTTACTCGTTCCTCCCCAGTGGGATGGCGGATCAGATGGCCGAAGCAGTGGGGGCGACCTGGAACACCACCCTTGGAGGCTTTGTGATACCCTGTGACGCCTCCCTATCCAACGCAGTTCAGTACCAGATCGAGGTTGGGGGACCAGGTGGCCCGGTTCTCCACGTCGAGACGAGCGATCTTATCGTCCAACCAAGCGTTTACGCCGGCCGCACCAGCAGCTCTGCGAGAGGCCTTGAGCCCGCAAAGCTCATGGGCGCAAGCAACCTCTGCTTCTTTGGCATTCAGAAACGAACCAACAGCTACAGCTCGTCGTCTCGTCTGGGCACATATGCCAATATCGGCAGTTCCCTTTTGCGGCGCAGTTATCTTGTTTTCGACCTCAGCAACCATGAAATTGCCATCGCGCGGGCCAAGTTTGCCTCGAATGGAAACAAGCCCTCTCCAGACATTGTGCCGTTCAGTCGGTTCGGAGCCAGGGTGCCCGGTGCCAAACAACTCCCAGTTACTTGCTCGAGCAGCGGTTGCAAGGACAACTTGGACGGTGGGAATTTCGATGATGGGGACTCAAACGACCGCGGATCCGGCTCGGGCTCGTGGTCTGGCTATTACCCCGGGAGTTCAGCGGCCGCTGAACGTCTACACTGGCGAAATGTGGCTCTTGGGTTGGGTATAGCCGGCGGTATCCTCTGCATCGTTGCCGTTGTTGCGGCCGTCGTGGTGTGCAGGCGAATTAGGCGTGCGGAGAAGAATTCGGACAAGGAAGGAGAGGCAAGCGATGCGAACTCTGGCGACGTGGCCGTGGGTGTTGCGCAAGCTGCGCCCATCAACAGGAGATCGTCGCCGCCGGTTGTCCCGATGCCTGTGATTGAGGAGAAGCAGGAAGCGTCAGGTTCGACAGAGCAGCCAGCAAAAGGCAAAGACAGTACCAGTTGATAGCCTTGATTCTTAATGATGATACCCCTTTTGCGTACTAGCCCATCTGCCTGTCATGCGCCCACGGAACGATCCGTGTTGCAACGTCATTGCTGATTACGTCTGTTCATCCCATTCATTGTTGCTCAAGTGTGGCTTGCCTGCCCGTCAGGGTCCAATACTGACGTCATCTGTCCAAGTTCATCAGCACCACCCACGTCAACGCCCGTTTTTTGTCTTGCCCACGACGGCGGGTTGAACAGCCCCGTTGCAGGTCTCTCTATAAAGACCAACCGGTTCGTTTTGTCTGGAACCATTGTCCAAGACTTTCTCCAACAGATAAACACCAGCCACATCCAGCTCGCAACTTACACGCGGTCCATCCCCTCAACACCATAACTGACTATCACCAACCAAATACTACAACAACCTACCTAAACAACCGCAAAAATGGCCATCACCAACGCCATCACCGACCTCATCTCCTCCTTCCTCGAGCTCTTCTCCTCCCTCTTCCACACCGTCTTCGCCATCACCAACTCGTTTGTCTCCGGCATCCTCAGCCTCTTCAACGGCTTCTTCATCTTCATCGGCGACATCTTCAAGGGTGTGTTTGACGTCGTAGGCGGCGTGGGCAGGTTCCTTGCCGGTAAGTCTCCTTTCCTGTCTTTTCCTCCCGCGCCCATCTGCCCGGTAAGAAAGCTGACGATTTCCTACGCAGGCAACATTGTCATCCTGGGTATCATCGCTGCTGCTGGGTATGCATATGTCCGCTTTGCTGGTCAGCAGACGGGCCGGTCGGGGCGACCCGTTGCGAATGGTGTCGGAAAGGGGTTGAAGACGCAGTAAAATGTTGGTAACTTCACAGGAATCTTGACGAGACAGGAAACGAAAGGGGGTTAATGGCAGGGCGGCTCCTTTGTTTTTGGTGATACCTCATGTACCAATATGATGCTTTTGAACATTAATACCACACATGTTGCATACGGCAAAGGGTAGCTGTATTGTTGCAATAAGATCATGAGGATGAAGTTGAAGGATTCTGATGAGCAAATATATATATACAGTATCATGCAAACAATAGAATCACTAACGAACACAAGCGGAGTATCACAAAGAAAGGGAAAACAAAAAGCACCCCATCTCCCATGCGCCACGCATCTCCTTACACCCACATATACGATCCGGGTGTGCCAAGTCCTGCCTGAACCCCCAGCTGCCAAAATGCACACAGTCAAAACCTATATCTCCTCCTCTTCTAACGCTCCTTCGCTATGCATGTCAAGTCATCAATCACTCAGTTCTCCAGCTGTGACTCCACCGCAGTCTCGTACTCTTCCTCACCCTTACCCTTCTGCACAATTACTGGATATTTGGCCATTCCATCGTCCTCCTTCTTCTTGTCCTTCTGGCTCTGCTCTTCCTCACCGCTCTCGCTGCTGCTCCCACTGCTGCTCTCACTTCCGCTGCTCTTCTTTCCCTTTTTCTTTCTCCTCTCCTTCTTCTTCCTCTTCTCTACCTCGCTATCGCCTTCATATGCCGCCTCCTCCTTCTCACTCTCTTCGTCCCTGTGAATCTTGGTGCTCCGGGCGCCACCAGCGTTGGCCTGGGCGTTATCCAGATCGACTCCGCCCTTCTCACCCATACCACCCTCACCAAGCTCACCGCCTTCCATAACCACACGAAGCTCCAGATCTTCATCCTTGGAGTAGACTCTGAGGCCGACCACGCAAATGGCATTCCACGGATCGGGCTCGTTCTCGTCCTCGGTTTCGTCCCGATACTTGCTGACGACGGCTTGACCAGCAGGGGGCGGGGCGGCCATGCGCGGCTTGCGCGTCATGTCGTCGCTGCTGTAAAGCGCTTCCCAGTCTTCGACCGGGGAGGCGCTCGACTCGCCATCTGAGGTCACGTACATGTTGGGCGGCTTCTTTTGCTGCACGGGAGGAGGTGGTGGGGAAGGGTTGGAAGTGGCCGGTGGCGGGGGAGGGGATCCAGTAGAAGTGGGAGACGAGGCCGCAGCTGCAGCCTTGTCTTCATCCTTGGGCTTGGCCTTGTCCGTATCAGGGGTGGCAGCATCGCTCTTGGGGGTGAGCTGTGGAGTGCCCGAAGACTCCGAGGTAGCTGCAGACGGTGTTTTGGCATCTTCATCCTTGGGCTGCTCGGGGTTGTCCTCACCCTTGACTTGATCCTTGTCCTTGGTCTTGTCTTCTGCTTTGTCGTCAGCCTTGTCTTTTGAAGTCTCGGTGGCCTCCTTCTTCTCGTCAGGCGTCGTCTCGGTCTCGTCCCCAGATAGTCCAGAAGCTTCGTGTTCCGTCTTCTCGAGAGAAGGAGTCTCAGAGGGAGTGGCGAGCGGGGTGTCTTCACCTTCTTCGTCGGAACTCTTGGCATCATCTACTACTACCGGCGTGCTGTCTTCTCTCTTGGGCTCCGTCTCGGCCTTGGCTGGATCCTCGGCCGCTTTGTCGGCTTCCTTCTTCTGTGTGTCCTGCCCCTTGGTCTTTAAGCCGGGGGTCTTGCCATCAGACTTTGCATCCTTGGACTCGTCTGTCTTGGGAACATCAGTAGCCCTGGCCTCGACAGGCTTTTCCTCCTTCGGGGCGATGTCGGTCTGAACGCCAGCATCCTTGGGCTTCAGCTCCTCTTCCGCGCGCTTCTTAGCCTCACGGGCAGCTTGCTTAGCCTCGAGCTTCTTGTTGTTCTTGCGGCCTTGCTTCTTGGTGATCTCCCGGTTAAGGTGACGCTTTTCCCAATTCTTGCGGCGCTCTTTGACACGAGCCTCGCTGGCCTTCTTCTGGTCTGCCTTCTTACGAAGCTTCTTGACAGCTTCCAGATGGGCAGCGGCTTTGCTGTGAGCCAGATCATAGGCATAGCCAACCTGGGCGAGCTTCTCATTCTCGACGCGCTTCTTGCACTCGCGCTTGACAACCTCCTCAATGCTCAAGGCCTCAGAATCTCGTTCGCCAACGACGCTGATGAACACGCTGTAGTTTCCAGGCAGCATGGACGGGAGTTCAATAGAGACAGAACGATCCATGAGATAGTTTCCATGGCTACGGACAATGTAGTCTTCCGGGTCTGGTCGGTCTTGCTCGTGCAGTCGGAACTGCAGTCGGAATGAGTACTGGCCATGAAGTCCCTTGAAGTAGCGGTTGTCGAGCTGGCTCAGAACAATGACAAGAGGAGACTCCTTTGTCAACTTGATGTGGAACTTTTCGTTGTACTGAGGCTTCCACGGCACCTCGACGCCGATCCATCTCTGACAGCAGCGCCAGTCTTTCTCGCGGAACAGACGGGTCCGGTCGAAATGCTGGTACTTGCGAAGCAGGTCCTCGTACGAGATCCAGAAGACGCTGTCGCTGCCGAAATGGTGGCCCAGTTCTTCCTGTACCTCGGTGGTCCACTCCTTGGAGCCATCAGACCACGCGCCTTCCCAGATACCCTTCTTGGTCTTACCCCAGGGGTTTCTGAGTTTAAGAAGGCGAGTGCCATTCTTGAGGGTGCGAGCTTCCATCACGACGTATGCGTGGCCTTCTGAGATGCCGTCACGATCGCCGTAGCCGCCGTCGAGAAGACCAGTGCTGCAGCCAAAAAGAAACTCCTCGTTGACTCGGCTGAGTTCGTTCTCCCAGAATCCGTCAAGATCCAAGATGTCAGATGCAAGAAGCTCGGTGGTGACACCTCCCGAGAGGTCTTCCAATCCCTCTCCGATCCAGCCACCAGCCAAGGAGGCGTAATCGCCGTGTGCTTTGGCATATGCCTTCTCGATGAGCGGCACCCAGGTTTCGTTCTGATCCTTGCATTGAGCAAAGAACAGGGCTTTTGAGCCTGTTTGATACGTCTGTCGGTAAACTCTTTCGACGTCCTCGCGGTCAATTTGCTGCAAGAGATCGCGCTGCATACTAGGAGAGTCCCAGCAAGGCGACTTGAGAAAGAGCTTGTCGTCGATGATAGAGTAGATCCACTCGCCATCTGATGGGGTTGTTAGTCAGACTGTAGGGCAGGCCGGACAATCAAGAGCAAAGAATTTTACCTCTGTAGAAGACAAAGCCGTAGATACCAATGCGGGTATCGTACTCGACGCAGATGCGCTTGATACCATCCTCCACATTGGCCAGTCCCGAGAAACTAGCCATCAACCAGCAGTCGCCAAGACTACCCTGCTTGACGTCGTTTCCGCTGAGATTGGCCATGAAGGTCGGCTTCTCGAAGATCTCGTGGACTCGCTTGACGGCCTTGGGAACAACGGAGCTGGGGTTGAGCATGGTCGACATGCTGAGGTCGTATTTGGTGCGCCCTAGGGTGTTGAGAGTATGCCCCTTTTCCATCTTGAGATCCCAGTCCTGATCAAAGATATCAGCATGTGCTATGGCAGATCTGAACAAGGAAGAACACCTACCAGATCCCACCCAGGATCCCGATATCGCATATTCACCCTTCGGCATTCTTGGATGATCTTCTGGACTTTCCGCCTACATTCAGAAGCAGCGCGTTCGTACCCAGCACTGAGAAGCTCGTTGGATCGCTCAGAAATCGACGGAGGGAGAACCGGGTCGAAGGGCAAGACTGCTACCGCCTTGTTGAACCGCTTGTCGCTGAAGCGTTTCCATATCCGGTTGATTCTCTGCTGAGGAGGCACCTTGCGTTTCTTCTTCTTCTTGTTGGCGTCGTTGGTAGTCGTGGTGGCAGGAACCGTTGCCTTGTGCTTGCGGTAGCTATAGTAGTCATCCGTCTCCGAGGAAGACGAGTAGCCATGCATGATGGACAGATATGTCGAGGGCGTCGACGGGAGAAACGAAGTGCAAGTCCTCGGCCTCTAAAGGGAGGAAACGTTGAGAGAATGTAGGAGGAGCTTGACAAGGCTCGGAGAGAACCTGTTGCAAGTCCAAGATAGGTAGGTCGTCAATATAACCAACACCGGCCCAGCCTGGGGGGTTTATAAGACGCAATTAATCTCTGCTTGATAACGAGGTATCCGTCAGCAAGAGGCACAAAAATATCCGATAAGCAATCTTTAAACAAAGACTGGCTGATAAAGAGCGGTGCGGCCTGTACCCCTGAGTGGTGGAAGGCCGGCCAGTGCGGTGGCGGCACCAGCCAAAAGGGGGCGTTCTAGATGCGATCGACACTCCGGTCCATGGCCGAGATGGGGGAAGCTGAAAGCCAAGGGTTCAATGGAACTCACTGTTGGGACAAAGGATGGGGAGACGGTCTCAAAGGCAAGTCTCCGATACCATGGTATTGTTGAGATTGTTCAGACGGAATTCGAGGCGGGCATCCTTCGAGAAGGTCGAGGAGAAGAAGGAATGGGATGAGAGCTCGGCGGTGTCCAGTATATACCCCTCGGACGCCCTCGACAAGTGAGCAGGCACACGGCAGCTTTGCGTCTGGCTGAAGCAGCGGACACATCCAGATCACGACAAGTCCCACAGGTACAAGACGAGCCAAGCAAGGGTCTACACCACCACGACCACTCACCGACGGAGCTGCTGTGGGTGAGTAGTGAGGTATCAAAGATGCCGCCATTCAGAAGCAGCACTGTGCCCCACCAGAGTGGCCAAGGGTGCCATGGGGTGACTCTGTATGATTTGCCTCTTGACAGGCATTGGTTGGCCATGGGGAAAAGTGCACTTCCTCCTCCGGGATTCAACAGTCAGGCGCCGCCCAGATGCGTTTCGAGAGGAACACGGAGGGGCGGGTGGGATGTCATGTCGGGTGGCCGACACTGCTGACTGAGGCGGGAATGGTGGCGTTGCCGACTTCCAGGTTGCCCTGCTTCATGAGCACTGCTGCTAGCCGGGCGTGCCGGGTTCTCGTGTTGTCGACATCCAACTGGACTCGGGATGGAATCGGTTCCTCGGAGGAAGTATGTGTGAAGGCAAAGACAGGACTCAACTGTGAGTGGAACCCCGAGTCGGAGCTTGGACACTCGAGTTCCAGTGGGATCGAAGTGGATCCTGGAATGGAACCTGGAGCTGCAGGGTGCACGTTCCCCGCCTGCCTGCCTGCTGCTTTGGTCGTCGCCCACCCCCACAGTTTGCAGGTTGGATTCCCCTCCAGGTTTGTACTACCTCATGGAGATGTTGAACAATGGAAAGTGACAAAGCTTGAGACGGGACACGAGGTTACCAACAGAGGGAGACAGCCAACAAGATGTTGATGAGTACATCGGTTCATTCTAGAACAATGAGGTGAGGCGTGTTGTTCTAAAGTTGCCACCGTGAAATCAATGGGGAATGCCAATCCAGGATTGCCCTGTTGCACCCCGCCTTCAGTGGAGCAGAGCCCCGGCATTTCGTGATCAACAACCGGCCTTGGGAGCGAGAAATCCATTTTCTGGCCTCCACGTTTCAAAACTCCATGTGGTCACAACCGATAAGAAGGTGCCGCCGCTGTCTAAGATGGCCTCCACGATGCCGCTGTGCTGACTCAAACCGTCAGAACAGCATGTACATGGAGATAGTTCAGGGTATGTCGACCTATCGCTTCTATTTTGGTGGGCGGGGCTTGTGTGCCGAAAGAGGGTGGGAAGAACCCCTTCTTGGGTCTCATGGGCTCTCAGATTTGTGTACGCTACAGTCAGTTGCCTTCAAAAGGCAGCATGACAGCCACTCCTCAAGGTCCCGTCTTTTGATTTAGGGGATCACGAGGCTCTAGGTAGTGTAGGCATCCCAAGCTCATCACCACATCACCTACTGCGCGTATCAGAAGTATCATCAACACGGCCCGGAATAGCATCGACTTATACAATTATCATTCTTAAGCTCCGAGCTTCGCACCGCCGATCGCCATGGAAGCGAGGTCTTTATGGCCGATCAAGGGTCCCTCCCGTGTGGGAGACCCTTGGATTCTCCCACACACACACTCCCGTGTGGACTGCGGTCCATATCCATCCAACCACTCAGCCTCATGCTCGATGCAGCAGCCCTGATTATCTGCAAGGCGGTACGAGGTGCATCGGGACGGACAAACTCGGCTTCCCGCCGTTTTGTTAGGTTCCCACGAAACCTGCTCAGGTTGTATGCCGATATCTCCATCCAACAGAAAGTAGTGCTGCCTGTACTCTTCCAGCTACTGTCACCTTGGTAACACCGCGATCCTTGTTAACTCGGGTGCAACAGAAGAGGGGACAGCCGGTCGAAGCCGTACAACATCTCACAGCTACCTTGGGTTGTCTCCAGTCTTTGCATCTTGGGCATCAGGCAGTCAAGAGAGTCACTCTGCATGACGGCCTGTGTTGCTTGAACAATCATACCTCGGGTACCTTATATTGATTCCAACTGGTTGACCTCTTCGCCGGTCAAGTAAACCACCGGCGTTCGCCAT